TTATACTAGCTTTTACCCGCAATCTCGTCCGCGTGACCGGGATATACCTTACTAATCAGGATAAAAAGTAGCCCATAGATTTCTTCATCTCATACAGTATACCCAATTTCATAGTGATGGGGGAAAGGGATTGTTAGTAATGGAGACTGAGAATCCCATTGCTAGCAATAAACCCAACCAGGTCGATCTCCTCGCGGTTCTCCCTGGAAACTATCATGGTTAATTCCTGATGAATGCAGCATGATAGGCTAACTGGCCTGTTTTCATTCTCATCTATCACCCTTCACTGGCGCTCCGCAAGCGTATACCGTTAGCGCAGGCGGGGTTACCATACTATTTTCATACATAAAAAAAAATTTCATAGTGATTGATTAAGCCGTTAAGACGCTATAAGGTAACAAACAAACTCATTTTCATATTTATAATATTAGTAAAGATTAACATTTTTAATGTAATGCCAGAGGTCTCGTAGGTGTATTGCCGACCTTTAAACGTAACTGTAATTAATTTATTATATCGGTGTTGCAGCGCTATATTTACGCGTATTTGTATATTTAAACTTTATTAACCAATAATATGTGTTTGTTAACAAAAAAAAAAAACAAAAATATACAACAACAATTGAACAATTCAAGTGAAATACAATAATATAAAGTACAGATTAAAATATATGCTTAAAGGTACAAAAGACAATCTTAATTTTTATTATATTTTATAATATCTTAAATTTATATTATATTTATTTTATATTTTAGTATTGTGGTTGAAACAATGAAACTGTCATATCTGCAAAACAAATCAATCTAGTTTGATTTGATGGACTTAACAATAATAAGTACTTTGTGTATAAATAAACCCCGTTTATAATGATTTACAACCGATTTTAAAAAGAAAGAGGTTCTCAATTCGGTTGCATTTTTTTTTTTTGTTATCTTATAACTCCGTCAGTTCTAAACCGATTTGGAACATTCTTTTTTTTTTTACCTGAAAGGATATAGTCATAACTATTTGGTCCAATGGAAATTTTATCGACATCGGTTCAATAGTTTAATTTTTATATCAAAATAACTGGTTTTGTCAAAATTGAAGTCGATTTTTTTGCGGGACAAAATTTTTAATTATCTGATGATGGAATAAATTCCTCCACAGGACAACTCTTTTTGATTGTTTCTTTGTAACTTGTATAGAAAACCAATATCTTCTTTATGTTATAAAAAAGAAATCGCTGCACGTCGATTGCCACTATTTCCTACTCTTGTGGGGATTTTAATAACCTTTTCTTTGTAGATAATATCCCATAATAAGCAACTGCTCATAATATAGTTTGAAGATTTCATATTTTTTTAATAGATGATAATGAATTGGTGACACTGGCGGAGCACGAGTAAGGGATGATAGGTTAGAATGAAATCAGGTCAGTTAGCCTGTCAAATTTAACAATAATTAATTCCAGGGGAACCCGATTGGAGGTCGACCTGACCGGGTATATTGCTAGCAAAGGGGATTAACGTCCCCATTACTAATAATCCTTCTCCCCACAGATTTTATAATTACGCATATGTCATGTTTATTTAGAATTTGATTTTATATCTACCTAGGTTGTCAATGTATGTTATTTCATTGATACTCGCAGTTTATGGGCTGTCGATTTATATTTAAATATTATATTTCAATTGAATATTGATTGGTTATTATAATTTACAATTACAATAATAACAGCAATATATATGCCGAAAATGGCCCCCGTCTGTCCCAATAATAAAAATACCTATAAACCTACCTACCTAACTACCGGAAAATTTGGCTACATCAACATTGATTATAAATGTTTTAATTAAGTAAAATATGTCATTTATTGTTAGTTTATATGCTAATGTTAATATATTTATAAATCTAAAGTTATAAACTCACACAACTATTCAACGAGTGACTAGTTCCTACCGCCAGGCGTCATTATTCCCGTACTAGAAATTTTAGTATATAAACTGGGTAGACCTATAAATTTTTAGATTGCTATTACCGGGATAATATTGACTGGCCGAGATAAAAAGTAGTCTATGTCCTTCTTGATCATCTGCTATCTGTATACTAAATCTCATGATGATATTTCAAGCTGTTGTTTGTAAGCAAGAGGTAATAATCTTATTTTCATATTTATAACATTAATACAGAATATTGTAAAAAAAGTGCCGTGTGGTCCCAGCATAAAATGAACCTGTGGGTACCCGTGGGTACTATAAGAAGCGATTAAGGAAACTGAATGGTCGAGGGATGGGCTGCAGCGTCCCTCTTCATCACCAAAGACTACCTGCAGTTGTCAACCCGCCTGTCAAGCGTGGCAAATACTGGCAAACAACCCCCCCCCCCCTTGTGGAGGAGAGCTATGCTCAGCAATGGACAGTTAACCACTGATATGATGACGATTGTAAAATTACCCACTATTAATCTCTCTTAACAACAAAACAACATTATAAATAATTTTCTATTTGTTACTTTGTGCAACTGATATACATTTTTAAATGTGGACAATTTGTTTATATAAGGTAAGACCTTAAGACTTATAGCCTTATTGAACTTAGATAGAAATGTAACAAAAATATGTTTTCGTATTACGTATACCTACAAAACAATTTATTTAATAACAAAAAAAGTTCATTGTATTTTATCAGTATTTCGTAATTAATTGATTGTTCTAAAAATAGACATAACTGTGACTTATAATTATTGCAAACTGCCTAACAATTATCTTCTCCCAAATAAGTATTATAAATAATCTCAAAGCGTGTTCTTTAAATTTAAGTAGATATTTGGATACAAAATAATTATGTTTGTTTAACTTTATTTACCATCCCCGTTAAAAAAGGGCGAGCACAAAAGATCATAGAAAGGTCGCAGTGCCACAGGTTATTCTGTCTGAATAAGCCCATTTCTCTTAATAATAATAAAATGTCCGGATTAAAAATAAATTTGGATTAAAAAAATATCCCAAAATACGTCATTTGGTGTAAGAGGAGATTAGGCGTGACAGATATATATCTATGTATGAGATTTGAACCTATACATAAATATTGTGAATTAGGTTGCAATTGTCCCTGTGTATTTAATAAATCATGTATATTATCGATCTAATAATTTCGGGGATATAATAAAAAAATATTTATTTATTTATATAATACTTTATTGCACCAAAAACATAAAAATATACAATGACAATTAGAAAATTCAAGTGAAATATAGTAGCACAGATAGTAGTAGTAGTAGTACAGATCAAAATATATACATAAAGGTACAAAAGGCGGCCTTATCGCTAGGGCAATTTCTTACAGACAACCTTTAGTTAAATTACAAAGTAACTCTCAATATGTAATTACGTCTTGAGTGATTTATCTAACCGCAATAAAAACAACTATATTTGTAACTTGAAAATGTGCACAATATATATTTCCATAATTACTCATGCAGTGTGCAAAAGCTACCAAGAGAGGGAAGTAATTATTAGTAAGAGGAAAAAATAGCCCCATTGCTAGCAGTATATTGCAGTATTCAGTCGACCTCCACACATGGTTCCCCTCTCCTCAGAAACCATAGTAATTTGAAATGATAATTCTTGATGAATTCATCACGATGAACCATCTGACCTCATGTATCATCCTTCACTAGTGCTCAACTAGGGTAAAACCGATATTGCAAACCATCTACCATCCAAGTGATAGTTTACAGAGGGAGACTTTGTACAAAAGGCGATTGCTTGGGTACCTCTGTCCCATTCGTGTTTCTACCGTGAAGCAGTTGTGTTTGCATAGCTGTGTTTCGGTTTGAAGGGTGGGATATGGCGTGAATTTACAGGGTACAGAGAAATAACATCTGAGTCCTCAGGAATGGCAACGCATGTGGGGTATCATGGGCGAAACAGTATACTCTGTTATGTCTATGGTACTGCTTATGTCTATAGGCGACGATAACTACTTTCCATCAGGTGGGCCGTTAGCTTGTTTGCCATTCTAAGTTGTATAAAAAAAAGTGGATCAGGACTGTTCCTTATGGAAGTCTATGAGGGAGTCCTATGTTCAGTAATGGACAGATAATAGCTGAGATGATGATGATAAAACCATTCTTCATTAGCATTCTATTTTCATGTATCAAAAAACTAACTAATGTAACAAATAAAGAATAAAAGATTTATTCAGATTTTTAACTGTGGCAAATAAAGAATAAAAGATTTATTCAGATTTTTGGAATTACGAACACCCACCAGGTAACTAACAAGAGACCCCGTATATATCTAGTAAATTTATAATGCTGTACAGGTGTGAAACCAGTTCTAGTAATAGTTATCGAGTTATTTGAATTATAAATACATTATCTACGCACCGAAAATATTTCCAAATAAACGAAATTTCTTGAAAAATTGATATACATATATATAAACACAGTAGACAAAATGTACACTTGATAAATAATCAAAATAATATACCTATTTAGTCAATAAAAATTACTTTACCAAATTTTCATTATTTCTATAATGTTGGAAACTCCAACAAAAATTAATACTAGCATAAAAACTTTTTATTATATTTTTTAATTTCAAATAAAGAATAAATAAAATTGTCATAAAAATGGAGAATAAAAAATTGTATTTCTAATTATCTTTGGCCTTTTACATATTAAATCTATGTATCTATATTGAGTACAATACATATAAAACATAATACTTAATATAGATTTATTAAGTAAACTATCTTTATTGTTATTAAGAGAAAATTGCTTTATAGTACTGAAACTCTTCTACAATAAGCGGTCACAGACAATTTCTAGTAGGATGTATTTAGTATCATTGTATAAAATCCACATAAGTAGTAATAAATTACGTTTTATTTACTACCTGAACACCCTGAGCATATAATAAATAAAAAATCAATAAAGGAATTCAAAGAAAATATATAGGATATGAGGAAATGGTAATTTATGATCTCTGCGTATCCCAAAAGAAAAGTTACAAATTCGTAATAGTCATTATTTATTTTCATACACGTTATTCAATTGCATACAAATTTTAATTATATAAAACATTGGAGTCTGAGTAAAATACGAACTTATAACATCCGTAATGATTACTTTTACATCTTCACATTAAGTAGATAAAATTTTATCCAAGCTACAAGTTCAGATAACAGCAAATATATTTATACATTTACTTATCATTCTCATGAACAACTTGGCCCTTATAATCTAATTCCAGAACCTTGCTGAGGCTGTTCACGTACAAATCCAGTCTCTGAGTCATGTAATAACAGCGGCGATCTTTAATCTGTCTGTTCAAGTTGAGATCCAAAACACCTATTAGGAGACCATCTCTGGTACGTGACAAACCTGGACATCTCACACCATCAGGGCCAGTAAAGTAGCTCGAACCGTAGAATAAGCCGAGGTCGTTATGAGCAGGTTTACCGTCAGCTGAAGTGAATTCATTGGGGAAAGTTTCGTAACCGACTCTATTAATAGCCGCTGTGAAGTAACAGTTGGTAATAGCTGCATTCCTTGCCTCAATGTTCCACATGTATTCGCTGCCAGCCTCTGCGGCAATCGTTGCTGATGGATTGAACACAATCTCTGCTCCATTCAAACCGTACATCAACCAATTTAGTACGTGGTGGCGTCCAAAACAGATATTAACAGCAATCTTACCATATCGGGTAGCAAAGACGGGATGACCGGTGTTGCCTTCCATATAATAGTTGGATTCATTAAAATCTCCCACCCTGGGAATGTGGTTCTTCCTATGCTTACCAATAACATTCCCAGTGTCGCTTATAACAACGGTTGTGTTCCAAAGAATTTCAGAATGATTTTCATCTCTTTCCAGGATTGACGAGACAATCACCATTGCATATTTGACAGCGAGTTCCTTTAAGAACCGCGTAGTCTCACCCTCTTCAGCAGACTCGGCGAATTCACACCATGGTTGCTTCTCGCGTGTGCAAAATGCGAAAGGCATATTCCATAATTCTTGGAAACAAATAATGTTTACGCCTTCCTGGCCAGCAACATCGATGATCCTCTTCACTTTGCTGAAAATAGCCTTCTTTTGTTCGCTGACTGGACGGTCAGTTGGGGCAGCGATGGAATGTTGGATCACGCCGACTTTGACGATCCTCGGTGGTCTTGTTTGTTCCTTTTTAGCTGGGAACGCGTAAGCAGCAATTTCGAAATCGCCCTCTTTGGCAGCTGCAATTGATGACTCCTTTAGCTTGACTTCAAGGTTATCTTTTCGGCCATAATAAATTCTATTGAATTCTTCGAGGTCTCGGCCGTTGAGGTTGTTGTTGATGATGGTTTCCAGACTTGGCGTTTCGTTTTCCATGGTGCGATGTATTCGTGCGTTATGTGAAGTGTTCTGGTAACTACTGATCCTTCTCGACTGGCGCCGCCTTTAAATAGGTGCTTTAATGGTAATGCAACGAGCGAGCTTGTTTATATGTGTGATCCGATCCTGATGGCCTTCGACCCATTCCGATAAAGATTGAGACAATACACGAAAGAGAAAAATATTTGTTTTATCAATAGTATGTCTACGTGACAACCCGGATGGTTATAACCTAAGAGAATATTTCTAAGAGAGTTAACATGATCCATTATCAAGTTGAATTGTTAATAATACCTAATACAAGTCTGTTTCTACCTAAGGTAAAGATTGTTAATAGGATATCTTGAATTTATAATATTTACAAACATTATAAAATTAATATAAGCAAATTCATTTCAAGTTAACGATAATACTTAATAATATTTACTTTGTTCATTGTTTGTTTTAATAAAACAGTAAGATAAAAACTGTCTAAGTCTAAATATAACGAATGTAGGTAATGTAGGTATGACATAATAGTGTCAATGAATAAAACAAATCTCGAACCAGTCTTATTTATGTACCTGTACAAACAGACTACAGTTGTCGCATACTTATAGGCAAAGTTTGATTATTAGGTGTCATAAAAATATTTCCAATACTTTGACATTTTCCATACGACTGTGCAGAACGCGTTATTTCCCAAGGGCATTTCCAAAAGTCTATTCTGTAGAAGAACTTTTAGGATCTCAATTTATTAAAAATTACCATAATAATTATATATAAATATCATCATACATCATCATTTCAGCCATTATCCGTCCACTGCTGGACATAGGCCTCCCCATAGACTACGTTAAGGAACGGTCCTGAGCCACCTGCATCCACTGACTCTTTGGCCATTTGAGGTCGTTTAAAAAAGCGTACGTTTAAAGAAATATATTAATTAAATATATAAATAAATTAAATAGAAATATTATACTCGTATCAATTTATAACTGTCAACTGCAAAACATAGGCCTCCCCCATAGAAGGGGATTTGCTAGTAATTATCACGCTTGGCAGGCGGGTTGGCAACTGCAGCCAGGCTTTGGTGATGTTTTAAGTTGGACGCTACTACCCATACCTCCACCATTAAGTTTCCTTAGTCGCCTCTTTCAATACCCATGGGAAAAGAAAAGGTGGCCCATTCTATGCCAGGAACACATGGCACAGGGGGAAAGGGATTGTTAGTAATGCGGAGGTTAGTCTCCATTACTGTCAATATACCCTACCTACCCTATTTTTGAAGGGTGGGATATGGCGTGAATTTACAGGGTACAGAGGAATAACCCCTGAGTCCTTAGGAATGGCAACGCATGAGGGATATCATGGGCGAAACAGTATACTCTGTTATGTCCATGGTACTGCTCATGTCTATAGGCGACGGTTACCACTTTCCATCAGGTGGGCCGTTAGCTTGTTTGCCATTCTAAGTTGTATAAAAAAATAGATCGACCTCCACGCGGTTCCCCCTGGAAACTATCGTGACTAATTTATCATCGCTTTCATCACGATGGGCTATTTGACCTTCCTTTTCATCCTCACCTACCATCCCCCACTGGTGTCCCGCCAGTATATATCGATAGCGCAGGCGGGGTTACCATTCCATAATCATCCATTAAAAAGAAACACGGCATAACCATTACATTAATAGTACTTATTTTGTTGTCTGTATATAGATAAGATAGTAGACTATCTAGGCACAGATATCTTACATTTAACTTCATTATAGTTGTAGTTTTTTGTAAGTTAATACAATAATAATATTTATTCTTTACTACAAGATGTGTGTAGAAAATGGACTTAATGCTAAAATCATTCTCATGTATATCCCTCCATAAAAGTTATTCAGTAACATTATAATAATAATTATTCCTTACTGATTAATTCAATTATATGCTATACAAAATACATTCACTTGCAAAGAGCTAGTTAAACTTTTTGTTCACTACTTCTTACGCGTGAATTTCATAAGAAGGAAACCATTTCTAGATGACGTATCAAGTTAAAACAGACTTACACAACGTTTTAAATTAGATCTTCAAAAACACAACTGCAAAAACTGCATCCAATTCGGTGCAGTAGCTTTGCGTGATGCCGAAACAAACACAGAGAAATAAAATTTCTAAAAATTATTAATTTGATTTCTATTGCTCTTATTCTCCTTATATTAATCCTTATATTACTCTTTTATTAATTTTCTCTAATATACTCATTATTATGTTTTCCTTAAATATCATCAATGTACAGACATTGTCTAGTAACAATCAATCAAACTTCTATATCTATACTTATAATAAATCTGTAGAGAGGTCAATTCTGTACATGAAATATATTTCCAAAATAACTATCAGGGGGTGATTAGTGATCGATACTGATGTCAAAAATGCAATCAGTAAAATTTTTGTCTGTCTGTCTGTCTGTATGTTCGTTATAGAAACAAAAAATACTCGACGGAATTTAACGAAACTTGGTACAATTATTCTTCATACTCCTGGGCAGGTTATAATATACTTTTCATCACGCTACGATCAATAGGAGCAGAGCAGTGAAGGGAACTGTTGGGAAAACGGGAGAAGTTACTCCATTTTTAAGCTTCCGTCGCGTGCGCAGCCTCAATGGCCACTTTTTAAAATGTAAAAATTTCTACTCGTGCGACGCCGGGATGGGCCGCTAGTTTTAAAATATAACAATACTGTATTATGTTTATACCTTTTGACTAAGAATTATCTGTTTATATTAAGCACATTTGTTTTATATTATATTGTTCACTATATTATATACAAGACGCATGTTTGCATCACGTGTGTAGATACCTGAGGTAAATAATCCTATACTCTTTGAATTATTTATCTGGGGCAAGCAATGTCAAATTTTATATATTGCGTCTATTGGTGAAAACTTATGTGATTTCATTGTTGCTATCTTGAAGTTATATATGTAAATAAGTCTTAGTGTTCCTTGTACAAATAAATATAAAAATATAACTCATGGTTATATTGTTGTAACAATTTTATTTAACTACATACGTACACCTATAGCTACATTCACTCTGTTTACCAGAAGATATGCATTACGTAAGTCGTTGTTATCAAAGACCTCGCGTTGTTGATACAAAATGTACCTAAAGCTTGAATGTATATAGTTTTGTGAGAAATAGAAATAATGAAATTATACTATACAGTCGTCCAACGTTCTTGATGTGTCCCAAACGAATACACGACAATCGGGACGCACTGCTTTGTACTAAAAAATATAACTACATTATTTTTAAATCATATTCATTTTTAAATTGTGACAGTGCATAAAAGTGCATACCAATAAATAATTTATTTACATCACTTTATAACAAAATGGAATCATGCACAAATGAAGATCTTGATGCAATTATAGAGACAAACTTAAATTCTGAGCAATTGAAACAATTCAATAGAATATTTTATGGACAGGAAGATCATTGTGAATTGAAATTAAGACTCTCGACATTAATGGCAAGTAAAAATGAAAATTTCCAAGTTTGTGGATATTCCTTTGCAGCGTCCAAAGAAGAGGCCAGATCGCCAAGGATATTAAAATTTGGGTTAGTGCAGCATTCAATTGTTTTACCTACACATAAACCTTTAAAAGAGCAAAGAGACGCTATTTTCCAAAAAGTTGGTAAAATAATAGATGTTGCCGCATCGGAAGGCGTTCAAATTATTTGCTTGCAAGAAGTATGGTCGGCACCTTTCTTCCTCTGTACCAGAGAGAAAAATGAATGGATAGAATTCGTAGAATCTCCAACTGATGGGCCAAGCATACAGTTTCTGGCGCCGCTGGCGAAAAAATACAGTATGGTAATTATTTCACCTATTTTGGAACTAGATGAAAATAATGTGTGGTGGAACACAGTCGTGGTTATCAATGAAAATGGTAAAGTTATGGGTAAACACCGTAAAAATCACCTCCCTAGTGTGGGCAGCTTCAGTGAAACATCTTATTATTCTCCAGGAAACACTGGTCACCCAGTATTTGATACTAAATATGGAAAAATCGCAATAAACATTTGTTATGGTCGACATCAAGCACTGAACTGGTTGATGTTTGCTCTTAATGGCGCCGAAGTGGTGTTCAACCCTGCAGCAACTATTTCAGAATTTGGGGAATCCTTTTGGGGTATTGAAGCTCGCAATGCTGCTGTAGCTAACAGTTACTTTACTGCTGGTATCAATCGAGTGGGCACAGAAGTGTTTACTGTAAAAAATAAATATGAGGAAAAGCAAATTTCTAGAACATATTACGGTTCAAGCTATGTGACCGCTCCAAATGGAGTTAGAACTCCCAGTCTTTCAAAATGTAGTGATGGACTCCTTATAGCCGAAGTAGATTTAAACTTATGCAGACAAGTAAAAGATCACTGGGGATTTAATATGACTTCTCGATTAGATATGTATGCGAAAGAATTAAACGCTGTAAAGTAAGAAATAAATGAACTTTTCTGGATTTTGTATTTTATTATTTTGTACAATACCCACATAAGTAAGAACATTATGTGCAAACCGTGTTACATCGGCCGCACATTGTTACAAGCACAAAGCAAATAATTAAAACGATGTTCCAACTATCGCAGGCCAGGCTACAAGTTATAACTTACTCACAATGTGTATTTTATTTTGTGCTAACTATAGTGTTTATGCCCCGTATTTTTTTTCGTTTTAACCCACAGAAATGACGAATAAACATAGCCCCTCAATTCCGTGCGATTTTGCGACACCAAAGAATCCACTTTACCCTGTTTCTGAAGATTCTCATGCTATGATCTCTTAAAAAAAATCTCACATGGTGACAGTATTGTGTAAAAATCAAACATGGGACAAGTTTCCTATAACATTGCGCGAACACATCACGAACGATTATTTGTTTCAAAAAAATTTTTATTATGGTCAAATACATTTTTCTTTGACAAACAGCGCCATTTACGATCTAGTAGCAAAAGATAGAACTAATTCATAATAGTAATTTTAGTTCCTAAATCGCTCTGCAGAGGCACCACTACCAGTTACTCACTGCTTTTTTTTTTAAGTATAAAAATAATTAAAAATTAAGATTAAAAGTATTGATTTTCTGTTATAGTAATAGTGACTTTAAAATTATTTTGATGTCTAAATGAACGATTTAAAATTGATTTCATGTTTAAATCATACAGTATGTAAATTCTTTTACTCAAATAAAACAAAATAAAAATGTTGTCTTGTTTATGGTAAAGTTGATCTGTCATTCTGCGAAGCCGGATGATATGTCATTTTTCAGTTTTGGTTTACAATAAATTTATTTGTATTAAAAAAATATCTTTAAACTAAAATGGTAAGAAATATATCATTTTATTATTTATTTTTTTTAAATTATCAACTATACTCGTGTGTTTCTATTGACAATTGAACAACTAGTAATTTGTAGTTAAACACAACATTACAAAGCAGATTCGTTGTTTTCGCACAAATTATACCAAATTGCCAATACATTATACTGTTACATTTATTTTCAATATAATCTATATAATTAACATATAAGTTTTGACATGATTCTTTCATATATAATTCATTTCAATATATATTTCGAAGGCCCAATTTTTTATAACCTGTTTAACTTTACAATCGTTACTTTCCAGTCGATCTTAGCGTACAATGGTGGTGCTGTAGTCGCGATGCGTGGTCAGGACTGTGTAGCTATCGCTACAGATAAGCGGTTTGGCATCCAGGCACAGACTGTCTCTACTAATTTCCCAAAAGTTTATCGGATGGGTCCCACATTGTTCGTTGGGCTACCCGGTCTAGCAACAGACACTCAGACAGTACATCAAAGATTAAAATTCAGGTATTAAAATATTTGTGTTATTAGAAAAGTGGATTTAGTAACAAACAATTATTAATTTTTACCTGCTTTATTCTTTGTTTTATATAAAGTTGCTAAAAGCTTTTTTCTATTCTTGTGCAACTCCTGTTTAAAATAAGTCTAAAATATGCTGCCACACCATACCTTTATATCTTCTGTATGTTATAATACATGACTAAAGGAAGAAAGCACAATAAAGCAATGTAATTAATGGAAAATGATGAGATGATTTGTTTTAACAAATTTTTCTAGTCATAGTAAGAAAAATAAGTGAGAAGTGAATACCAATAGATTTCAAATATTTTAATGAGGATTGAGTGGTCTACATAATTTCGTGTATTACATATTAGTCTAGAATAATTTTTTTTTTGTCTCATTATTAAAATATGAAAATTATATTCCATTCATTATTATTTCATTGTAAAAATCTAAGTTATTTTTAACCTACACTTTCTATGCCATGCTCAGGCTAGTACCCTTACCAGTTGATGTTCAATAAAAAGAAATTTTATTTTATTTCTAAAAATAAATCCAATGAGAAATTCATACAAATGAAACTGCATGAAATGGCTAGTGTACAAAACTAAAACTAGTCTATGTATATTATTTTCAGAATGAACCTATATGAGCTGAAAGAGAATAGAGTTATGAGGCCGAAGACATTCTCGGCAATGCTGTCCAACATGCTGTACGAGAAGCGTTTTGGCCCTTATTTCATTGAACCAGTTATTGCTGGTCTAGACCCATATGACAATCAACCTTATGTATGCAATATGGATTTGGTGAGTTATCTGTTATAAAATTATTCCAATAACAAATTTTGTACTTTGTCCATAAATCTAAATATACAATTAGTACTACCAATTATTAAGTAGTACTTACTTCCCTAGTACTATTAGAAGAACAAAACACAATATGCGAAAGAATAGAATTATTTATACAACTTAGAATGCCAAACATGCTGACAGCCCACCTGATAGAAAGTGGTAACCATCACCTATAAACATGAGCAGTACCATGGACATAACAGAGTATACTGTTTCTCCCATGATATCCCTATGTGTTGCCATTCCTGACGACTTATTCCTCTCTACCCTGTAAATTTACTGTCATATCCCACCCTTCAAACCAAAACACAGTCATGCAAACAACTGCTTCATGGTTGAAACACGAATGGGACAGAGGTGCCCAAACAAACGACTTTTGCACAAAGTCTCCCCCTGAATCCCAAAATCTTATGCCAAGCTGCCTACCAATATGGTAACAGGTAATAAAACTAAATATTTTCAAATCCATGCCCTCCTGCAAGACATAAGAAATGTTATGATAAATAGCTAATAATAGTCTTCATTCACTAATTTGATAATCTTTATTCACTCTTTTAATAAGTTAGTAAAGTTCATAGAGACCAAGAATCAATATCCATTTAAAATTAATATCATCTTACAGATTGGCTGTCCAAATGAGCCTGAAGATTTTGTAGTATCAGGCACTTGCTCAGAACAGCTGTATGGTATGTGTGAAGCTCTCTGGGAGCCAAATCTCAAGCCTGATGAACTATTTGAAACTATCTCACAGGTACTTTATTTTTATTAAAACTTTTGATCTATGTGAAACTAATTAATTGATGATTAATGGTGAGCCAGGTAATAGGGCCAGCCTTTGCCTATGCTCATGCACTTGGACAATTTTATGACAATGAAAAAAAATTTCATGACACTTTATCGATAGTCACTGTCTGGAGGTTCAAGGAACTTGAACCTTTAGATCTCATATTAATCTAATAAAAAACGTTATTTCGCAGGCGCTAGTGAATGCAGCGGACCGCGACGCCATATCAGGCTGGGGTGCTGTGGTATATATCATTGAGAAAGATAAGATTACAGAGAAACATGTCAAGACTAGGATGGACTAATTTATTATAAGATATAATTGTATTGGGTATTGTGAAAGTTCTTTTTTCATAATAAAATTCTTGAAAATTTTAATTTCGTTATATTTTTTCTTATGTCACATTTATAAATTTTATATATACTACAGCTCAACTGAGCTTAGTCCCTATATTAGATGGTTATATGTGGTGCGACCTGCAATATCTACAAGCCCAAAATTAAACAACTTCATGTAGTTTTCATATCATTTCTTTTTGAAACTTTCTATTTTGGCATAAAACTTGTCAAAAAAAGGTTTATAATTTTGACAAAACTGCTAACTATACAGATGTTATTGGTTGTATATCGTTATCATCATATCAGCTTTTAACTATCCACTGTTGAATAAAAACCCCCTTGGGTTGCCAATAGTTGTCATGCTTGGCAAACGTAGTTAGGCTTGTGGAGATGTTAAGAGAGATGCTACTGCCTACCCTCTCTTAGTCGTTTCTTACAAAACCTACGGGAAAGGAAGGAGTGACCTATTCTAAGCCAGGACCACACGAGAATTAGTTGTATGTGTATTAAAATAATTTATTAATGACAGGTTTAATTTTCATATCAGATGAGGTACTTGCAGCATCTACCTTTGTGTGACCCGATCTTGGGGTAGAAGGAGGGTGGAGGGAAGGTAAACGTAGTGGTGCACATGCTCAATAAAACACAACAATATAATGCAGAAACTTTATAAACCGAATGTTTAAAAAATTAAGTTTCAATTTTTCATACACATTTTTGTCTTTACAAGATTAGGAGACTAGAGAATTAACATTTCAATCGTGTTGCGTACATACCAAATAACCTATGTCCGTAGCGAAGCTAACGTATTTATTAATAAATATATGCCGAGACAGGCACGTGGCATCAACCGTCACCGTTTAACAAGAAAATAAAACCTATTCAATGTAACAACTACAAATAAAAATAATATTACCAACCTAAACAATGGCAACACGTATGACATAATATTATTAATCATTTCCATGACTAACACATTGTTCAGGAATCTACGTTGACATGTGAAGCCGAGTACAGTCAGGGCAAACAAGTTGTACACAATGATAAACAACGCGCAACAGTAGATGTTTATGCATATCAATTGTTAGAGACTGCAAAACATGGCATTGATATTGTGCTCAAATTATTTGCCGGTATGTAATTACACACACTTCACATTTAAGAGTGAGAAAGGACTACGGCCTGTTCACACATACATCCGTCAAAGACAATTCGTTGCAGACGATGAGACATCGTCAAAAAACAAAGCTTAAAGTAAATCATAAGGAATAATCCTGATGGCTTCGTTTTTAAATGTTACATTTACATTACAGTGTTCGTGGACCGCTCGAAAAATAAAATTTACTTGTATAAGCCGTTTTTATTTTTTAAACAGCACACGACCCAGGAATATAATTTGTTGATGTGTGAAAGAACCTGTACTTTAAATCCACTTAGATCGACCACTCCATAACCACGTTAGCATAAAATTGCCATTCAATTGGAATATTTATATAAAAAATGATGATTAATTAAAAAACAAACACAAGGAGTTAAAATCAATTAAATCGGAGTGATCTATTTTGTGTATAACTAAAAGTAAAATTAATATCTAAAAGTAAACAATATCTATCACAAAATCTATGCTTTGATAAAATAAAAAATACAAGCAGATTTAAATAGATATCGGAACTGTGCCTATTATGCGTACCGATATATTGCCCCTATTTTGGGAACCAAATTTACCCCTATTTTGCTTACCCAAATTTTGTCCTTTACGTAAAAAGTACCGATTTTGCCATATTTTGTGTACCCATACTTTGCCCCCAATTTTCATACCCAAATTTTGCCCTCAGTACACTTGGATCCGTAATCTGGCTCCATATGTGAAGTTGCAGATACCTCCTCTCCTTTTTTATTCACCATAATGAGATCTAAAAAAATACTAATATAATCTATGCCCCTTTATTCCGCACATTTCATACAATACTAAGGGCAACCTTGGTTTTTTTATACGACATTGATAATCAAATATACAGCCCGCCTGGTGGAAAGCACCAGATGGAAAATAGAAAACCCTCACTCATTTTCATATACATTATGGTACATTTCCGGTATCTATTCAAATCTGTCCGTTAGTGGCTTCTATATAAAAAGTACAAAAGGGTGAACCCAAAATACTGATTATTCAGATAAATTGTATTTGAACACACAGTAAAAACATTATATATAATAGTGGCAAATATATCGAGTCTCGATTACAATGAGTCAACGCTCATGATAACATGTTTTTGCGAATTCATCACTTTTTGCAACTTGCAGGCAACACCTATTCAATGTACAGACACAGTTAACAATTCCGGGGAGAAGATACTGTTAATAATGAAGATCAACTGCCTTATTGCTAGCAATATACCTTGCCAGGTCGAGCTATTCATGGTTCCCCCTGTAAATTACCTTGATTAATTCATGGTGAATTCATCATGGTATGTCAACTGGTCTGAACTTCATCCTCACTTATCAACACTCACTGTTGCCTCGCTAGAGTAAGGTGGGATTACCACACCTTTATTTATAAAAAAAAGTAATAAACTCCGCAAAGACCACCATTGATAGATACATGGCATATTCTTATATCTATACATTATAATACAAACTGTAAGTGGAACATCTCTGTGAACACATCACGATAAATGTAGTCATTTGTTACGCATTATACACATCTCTTGTTTCATCCACATTCATAACTTGTCAGACATACATTCCAATAGCTGATTTCTGTTCAATCGAGTTACAAAAATACTCGAAGTGCCTGCAAATAAAATGATCGAACCTATTTTTCCTTATACAAATCTTATCGAGCTATACAAAAAGTGATGAAGACGTGTTTTCAAAATTTCAATTAGCTATCGCCGCAGTCGGCTCGCAATATTTTCACAGTACATCACAAAGACTTCCAATAACAATCCAAGTCTTAATTCGATATAGAATAATAAATAACAAAATCTTAAACCGTACTATTTTCTACGCTAGATAGAAACTAAGCAAACTTTAGGTATATAATATGTATATTGGCGAAGTGTCGTGAATTATTAGGAAATAATAATGTCGAAGTATCACTTGGTCTATATCGTTAAATTTAAAGGCATTTATACAACTACACTTACAATCCTTGTACACGCAACTGCCTTCAAAATTAACCTTGCTGAAGGCATACGAAGGCAAAAGGAATTGAGCGTAGACTGCTGCTAGCTGCGCGGGTTACATTACAAAATAAGCTTTATGTAATTAGCATAAAGCCTAAAATTGCAATAACTTTTAGCAGAACACATGACGTAGAAAATACGTATGTCTGTACCGGGCCTAAGGGTCAGTGTAGACTAACGGAACGTATTAATACATTAGTCGTAACGCACAATGAGCGACGCGCGATACTCTCACAAAACCGTCACACCTCTCTGTACGACTCTATTAGCCACCATTTGTTTGTTGTACCAATATCAAAATGCAAATGATACTGAATTCACTATCAATACATCAGTCTGCATTGACCCTAAACACTACAATAATTCAAAATTGTAATTAGATAATAATAAAAAAGTACAATTTTAGTAATTTGTTCTCTTTGTTTGAAAATATTGTTGACATAATTACAGCAAAAAAATGGATAAATCATAGACCAAGCGAACTTTAAGGGGGCGTATTTATAAACATACGTATACACTAGTATGTTTATTTTATATGTACTATAAAGAACTAAAACCCGTTCCACAATGGTGGTACAGTCGATAAACCATTCTCTTCATTCGTCACTTACACCACGACTCTGAGGAGTTACTACATTATCATTTTAGAGAAAAAAAAAAAAAGATTAGAAACAAAATGTACTCTTAGAAGATCGTTCCTAGACTAAGAAATTGTAAAATATTTTAATGACATTGAAAGTGCATTAATAACAAATTTATTAGAGACAAGTGAGAGTGCAATAACCCCATAACCACACAATTGAGAACGTTATATTTCCACCAGTGTGAAATAGGCCTTTAGTTATACAACAGTTGTACATACTAACAACGTTACATTCCCTTGACGAGTAACGTCCAATTTCAACACGTGAACATTTTAATTTAATGATATTTAATATTTTATTTTATTTTATTAATTTGTCCATACTATAACTAAGCGATAGCGGAACATTATAAAAGCTAACAACGAGTTATGAAAATTATTGCAAAATGTGCTCTTAAAAATTTAATATCAGTTCAAATATAAGACGATACGTCCGTCGTCGAATTCGGACCGCGTCACGGTTTTCAAACTACTCACGCACGCGCACGCGGCTAGCCAATACTGTGTCATCATTTATACAGGGTTTCCTTTGTTACTATCATCTGAAGCAGAGACCACTGGCAAGATAATAAAAGGAGCGAGACAAGACAAAGTACCTAAGGCACGTATATCTCGACTCGACTTTAATCAAGCAAGATTGAAACCTGATCATTGTCTGAATTATTAAGATAATAAATCTATATATGTATACGAAATTTTATTGAATACTACCTAATAGGCTGAATGGATTCGAATGAAATTTTGTAATACACTCTTAAAACTCTTACATTTATAAAATTTGTGAAAAGTTAGAATTTTTAAGACATATATTTAAAAAAAAATATGATGTAATAGTATGTGGCCACTTCAAAGGATAGCAATGAATACCCCCTTACAACGTAAATAATCGATAAATAATTAAATTAAACGTCATTTACACAACAAATACATTAAAATTATACATTACATCCCACCGGCTCATCACAAATCACCATTATGATGTTAATTTTTATACACAATTTCAAAATCATCAATACAATAACACTATCACGTATCGATATCACACACATGTGATAATGCGAACGATTCTGTGACGTATTTTATTGTTCTAAATTTAAAATTTAATTTTGCGGAAATATTAGGTTATGATGCACATTGACCACATTACATGGAAATGTTTTGGTACAAAAGGCGGACCTAATACTATATAGTATTCTCTCCCAATCAATTTTTGGAAATACATTTTAAACTAACATTTTTTCTTTTAGAGAGAGAGAGAGAATAGCGCTTTTGAATCGACCATAACACCTTTCATTCCCAAACAACATTCAAGTTCAATATTCCTAAGGATACGAACTAGCGAAGCTAAATACACAAATCTTTCCCATTCACGTAGTAAGTACAGGCGCGGATACAGGGCGGGGGCAATTTCAATGAGATCTATCCTATCTTCGCCCCAAATCTTGAGAGGTAGGCAGAGAGACCAAAAACCCTCCATTTCAAATATAATTTTTCTGATTTCCCAATAAATATGTTTTATACACTTATTAGAACTAAATATTTAACTGTTCGTCCACATTCCAAATAAAATATTAAAAGTAGAGAGATTTAAACTTATTTTTTACTTTTCCGTCTTTGAAACGACAGTTGCAAGAAAATGAACAATTTTAAAAAAAAACTGATTGTAACTGCACAAAATTTTTAATTTAGGAACGGATTGAAAAATATAAGTTCAAAGTTAATAGAATTATGGGAAAGTAATTTTTTCCACCTGGTAATAATTTATTACTCCCAAATGCAGGGTTACCTATTAAAATATTTTCTAATATATACAAAACGTTTAAAAAACACTAGCTGTTTATTATTTTACCAGATTCTTTTATTATATATTATTAAATTGCACCCACCGTGCACCCTTGAACCCGCTCCTGTAAATTTTATTTTTTATTATAAAATTATATTTATCAGATTAACGTATTGCGACGAGTGCAGTGTGTGAGTAGTTCGAAATCGTTAAACTATTTCAAGAGTGTCAATTCGCACGCGAAGCGAATATATTAAGATGCCAGGGCCGTCAGACCTCTATTATATCTGTTATTAATAATATTCATTTTATTCAAGATTACTGGACAGTGGAGTCAACCGTTTCTAAAAGTGTTATACACATACAATTTCTCTGACAATTTCCAAAATATCACTAAAGGGCTATTCCAGTAACATAATATATATAAAATTCAGCATTTACTATCTTAAATGATCGATCATAATTAGACCCTTTAAGTGTCTATCAAAAATAGACAGTTGTATAAATGTGTTTTTAAGAGGACTGTGTTTAATATTAAAAAACCCAAATTTCATATTACAAAATACTAATGCAAAATTTTTTTGTATCTTTACCTCTTACCTGCCTTAATGAAAGAAAAAGAGATTATTAGAAACTGGCAACCCGATTGCTAACAATATGCCCTGTCAGGTAGACCATCTCGCGGTCCCCTCTGAAAACCATCATGTTTAATTCTAGATGTATTAATCACGAAGGGCCGACTGACCTGCCTTTTCATCCTAACCTATCGCTCTCTCACTGATGCCCCGCCAACGTATACTATTAGAGCAGGCGAGGTTACCATTCCATAATCATCTATTAAGAAGATCTAGCTCAAAAACTGACACTCAGGGACAGCTCATTCGTTCTTATCTACTTTCGTATACACACATAAAAAAAAATCTTTATTTCAATATTATTTTAATAACACAAGTCTGACAACCCTGGCATCTGAGTTTAGAATAAATATGAGATATTTGAAAATGACAAAACGGTCCAACTCTTTCGCCGATATGAGTAGCAACTTACTATACACCTCCATACTACTTTAACACCATGAATTTTATTTATTCGCATTTATAAACGTACTTACAGTTACCATATTGTGGAGCGTATCTTAGACAGTAACAACAATATTGGGGCGCTTCTCTTGATCACTTGGAGGGGTGAGAAATGAAATCTAAACTCACTACTGCCCATTAAATCTATCCTTTGTATTTTGCATATGGACAAATTCCCAAAAAGGCAATGAATGGGCTAATTCATTTGGATAATTTTGCGAAATTATTGTTTTATGGACCAACAGAAACTTATAATCTTGACTTAAATGTATTAAAAAAGCTCTTAATTTTTATTACTTTTAACCACCTCTTTCTTTCCCGTGGGCGTCGTAAGAGGCGACTAAGGGAGAGCGAGGGTTGGGTCGCAGCGTCCCTCTTATAACATTTCCAAAGCCCAACTACGGTTGCGGTAAGCGTGGCAACTACTGGCAAACCGTCCCAAGGCTTATGTTCAGCAGTGGACAGTTAAAGGCTAATAAGAATAGGAAATCTATTAAAAATGTAAGAATCAAATTTTGAACAGACTTTTTTACACCACAGGGAGCAAACGAGCATGCCGCTCACCTTATAGTAAGTGACTACCGCCTTAAACTTAAGTCAAGACTATTATTTAATATTAATCTTAGAGGATAGATAAGGATTGTACTGTGATATCAAGATCAAATTTTAATTTTAGAGTTAAATTTAGAGAAGTGACTTCTCAAACTCGATCCAAATATCAAAAATATTTAATGAAAAAGTATACATAAAGTAGAAATTCAGAGTTGCAAAAAAACATTAACTAGTTATGATTTGCAGTAAGTAAATATCTAAACCAATATTAAAGAGGAAAGACTTTATGTTTTTGTCTGTAATAGATAAACTTAAAAATAATTATATTACAGAAATAGCATTGAAATATTAAATATATATTAATTTAACTATGAATTCTAGAAAGAATATATATATATATATTACAAAATGAAGAAAGACGAGATTTCCACATGCATAATAACACGATTAGTCCTTGTGATACAATTTGCCTTTTCTACAATCTGTCCCATATGCAAACAAAGAAAATCTACGACACCCTGTAAATTCCAATATAATTCCTATCAGAGAATCGAATGGGAACATAATCAGTCGAGAAACTAGCGGAAAACTAAAGTAAGTGCCGATTTTATGACAGAATGATTTCTTTTTCAACCTACTATAATATTTTTTAACAAATTTTCTTTTGATACTAGCCAGCAATGCCTATCTATAATCTAATCTATTAATCGTCAGTAAGTAAAAAAATTGTGACAATCCTTGACTTGTGTGCCCAAAGAAAATTTGTCATGAAACTTATAGTATAGCCGTAGAGTTCAGCGGCTTGATTATATTGCTTAATTGCTAACAAATCTCGTTTAAAACATTGAAAATCTTTTGAAACTATTGATGTACCGTTTGACAGTTTAACTTTTGGGGCGAGATAAGCAATTGATAAGTTACTTAAACAGTATATTCTATCAGGTCGACCTCTACGCGGTCTCTCCTGGCAATCATCGTGGTCAATTTCTAGGGAATTTGTCAAGATAGGCCGATTGACCTGACTTCATTCTCACCTATCATATCTCAGTACCTCGCCCAACAGTGCTCACGTGGTTACCATTTCATATTCATCTACTAAAAATCGCTTGTAATCGAGACTGTCAAATGGTACCGTAACCACATAACTCAGAGTTTCATACTGTTTCAAACGAGATTTGTAAATAAATGTCCAATTTTCAATTAACCAATTTAGTTTGTATCACACAAACCTAATGTTATGGTATACGGTGTGTAACATAATAAGGACGCGCCTTCTCCAACCTCACGTTTCGCGCTTAAATGAACAAAGCGAAATTACCGTTACAACCAAGAAGCTTATCCAATGTAGACAATGTCGTGAACAGACTAATGAAGCCAATAAACGTAGACCTGATTTATTTTCGCATATTTTCCATCTCGCTCACACCCCGATCAGAAACGGTTGAAAACTGACCGCTTTCTCTCACACTGAGTAATGTAACGTCTTTCAAGGTCAACGTATTGGCATCAAATTCATATTTATATTACAATCTCAATACAATTTTAAGCTTCCTAATTACAACAATTAAAAGAAATAACAAATTATGACCACCGACACCATTTTGAAAACGACAGGCGACCACAGCGCCCTCACCCAATCCAAACGTCCACAATTCAAATCCTGATGATTGTTCTTATTTTTATTATAAAAAGTAAATTACTAAATTGCGCACATCTGTTCCTTGAGAGTTGAAGCCCCGGTGTGATAAGAGAAGCGTCGCCGGTGGGCACTTAGTTGCCCTCGATGGCTTTCGTGACGAACTCTATGAACCGCTTCCCATACTGTTCCGGGTCGCAGGTCGATATGCCGTCCACGTTGCTGCCGTATTTCACCGTTTTCGCGGCTTTAGCAGCCTGCAAATTTATTATAATGTAAAGGAATGGAATGTGAAAGGAAGCCATATTTTAAAATTGTTAATTATGAAAGAGAATAGTTAAAGGAAGAGGACAACAAAAACAAAAAGTAATTATTTTAAATCTAAAAATTAAACTACTGAACCGATTTTGATAAAATTTCTATGGAATCAACCGGTAAGTATATAAAAAAAAATCCAAATCAGTTTAGAACTGACGGAGTTATGAAGTAACAAGCATAAAAAATACAACTGAATTGAGAAACTCCTTCTTTTCAAAGTCGGTTGAAAAGAGGAATAAGTCCAGATAATGACAACTGATAGTGATTTGTGAAAGGAGAAGACATACATTGCTAACGCAATATAAATGGGAAAAAGCATGACTTAAAAAAATTACTTCTTGAAAGATCATTTCGATAAAATAAACCACTTTCTAAATATAAGATCTAATGGTTTTGCCTCATTATTTTTAGGTCATTGACTAAACTATATAAAATTACAGTACCAAAGCGGTATCTTATTAGGTACATAAAAGAGTAATAATAAATTTATAATAATAATTGTATGATGTTGTATGTATTACATAAAAAAAAAAAACAAAATATACGAAACAATTAAATTTAAAATTTACCTGTTTCTTAACTCCATAATGCGTCAAAACATCAATTAAGGCGACAAAATATATTTCTTTCTTGAATGCACCTGAAATTACAAAGTATGACAATATTTTTTTTATTTATTCATTATGACAATATTTATTTATTCATCATATCTATCTCTAACATATACAAAATCATCATCATCCCCATAAATTAGGGGATTTTGCCAGTTGTTGCCCCACTTGACAGGCGAGTTGGCAACCGCAATTAGGCTTTGGTGATGTTTTGAGAGAGACACTGTTGCCCATCCATCGATCTTTAAGTTCCCTTAGTCGCCTTTTACTCTTACGACACCTATGGGGAAGGAAGGAGAGGCTTAGTCTGTACCGAGACCACATGGCACTACATAATTTTTTTTATACAACTTAGAATGGCAAACAAGCTGACGGCCCACCTGATGGAAAATGGTAACCGTCGCCTATAGACATGAGCAGTACCATGGACATAACAGAGTATACTGTTTCGCCCATGATACCCCGCATGCGTTGCCATTCCTGAGGACTCAGGTGTTATTCCTCTGTACCCAGTAAATTCACACAATTCAAATGATAATGATAGATGGTGTAACAATCGCAAATACATTGCAGGGAGTCATTGAATGCAGGTGGCTCAGGACCGTTCCTTATGGCAGTCTATAGAGTAGGCCTATATTCAGCAGTGTAATAATAGATGAGATGATTATTAAATGGTAAGTAATTTTACGTAATCTATATCAATAAGAAACAATTATAATTCTTTTAACAGCGAAACAATATATGACAAAATTAATATGGAAGCAACACGGAAGTTAAACAGTGATAAAAATCAGATATATCCGTGTAGATCGAGTAACATTTGTGTTTACAAAAATAATAAAAAAAAACATCCTCCTTCTTAATATTAATTAAAAGAAGACAATAATATCAAGAAGCACCAATCTCTAAAACAAATATCTTGATAGATTTGTAAAAGTACTATTTAATGAACAACAAATTCATACAAGAAAAATATAATTTTTTATCTCATATTGGTTCTTAAAAGACAGATTCCGCTGTGATTTCAAATTGAAAATAGAGATTGGTTTAGAGAATGGTGCCACAGAATAGACCCCCTTATAGCAAAGTACCAACCTTCCTGGCTGGGTATGGCGTAGATGTCCAGCTCAGGTATGATGCCCTGGTACCGCAGCGACGACTGCCGCGCGAAGCCGCGCGGACTATCTGGCGGCGTATTGTACCCCATTCTACCATAAAACAAGTAATCACTATGTTACTTAAGAGTCGGCACTGCCCTTATATTAACGAGACTGGAAAATCTGTCAACCACATTGTGTTCTATTACTATATATAATATGCCTCTGACTAAAACATAAAAATCAACAGTATAATGCAATGTACTGCACAAATTACAAGCTGTGGAATGAATGCTTCCTGCTGAGATTTTCCATAGATTACAATATGACATTTTACTAAAAGGGTCTATTAAGATTTCTTTAAGGTCGTCGACGAGCATTTGACATCCCTGGTTTTGCATTCAAAGTGTAGTAACCGTTTACCATCACATAGGCTGTATGAGTATACATGTTTACCACCTTCGTGATATAAACAAAAATATCACAATGTAAATGCCGACGTGATGTCGGAATCCCTACGTTTTTTAAGGTATAATTGGCGAAACAGTATGCTCTGTTATGTCCATGGTACCGCTCATATCTATAGGCGACAGTTACCATTTTCCATCAGGTGGGTCGTAAACTTGTTTGCCATTCTAAGTTGAATAAAAAAAAAGTCCCTATGTGTAGTGTAATGAAGCGTAGTGTAATCGATAGATACCTAGCGCTGTAATGGCGGTTGTTTATATCATAGTCAGATTCTGAGTCCGCGCTGTCGTTGTTCCGTTGTGTAGTGTACTGTAGTGTGAAGTGCAAGTGTACTGAAGAGAAGTGTAAGTACTCGAGATCTTGATGACATTTGTCGTTGACGGAGTAATTTTTTTTTAAGGATATAAGTATTTTTTTTTAATTATGGGTGTAGGTTCGAGCAGTAAGTGCTTTATATTATTCCCAAATTCGTGTATAATATAGTATATATCATATATGTGTAAGTATATTTGTTATTCATATATATTTATTCGTTTATATATATGTAATTTTAGTATGTATGTATATCAATAATTAGTAGTACCGCATTCGAGTATTCTGCCACTTCCCTATGGTTGAGTGGGAGAGAATGCTTTTAGCATTAAGTCCGCCATGTACACATGTACACATATTTGTACTAATGAATAAAATAAATAAATAGGTACCTGGCGCCGTGGTGGCGGTTGTCGGTGTCGGAATCGGACTCGGTGTCCCCGTTGTCGCTGTCGCGCTCCGCGTCCCGCGCGCGCGCCGCCTCGGCCTCCGCCTCGCCGCGCCCGCACTCGTGCACGCCCAGCAGCAGCGAGTAGTCCATCAGGTGTAACTTCGTTAAGAACTGCCGTTGAGAAAGTAACAGAGGATCATCGATTGGGCCAGAGGAAAAATAGCAGTGAAAAAAAATAGAAAACCCTAAAAACATGAAATCCCAACCCCCATTTTTAGCACCACACATAAACATACATACCTCAACATCAGCAGTCAGGGTTTCCAGTAGCTTTTCTTTAGCAGCATCGCCAATGTCGATACGGACACCCTGTTTGATGAAGTCGTTATCTTTCAGAGTGGGCAGTTCTTTCTCTAGTTCCTTCTCGGACGCTTCGCGGTCTACCGTTGAGCCTTTCAGATCGTACTTCCTGCAATTTGACAATATTTAAAGAAACTTATTATTTATATATTTATTTTACACTTTATTGCACCAAGTAAAAAAAAAAACAAATACAGTAAATATTAATGAGAAGTGATACAAAAGGCGGCCTTATCGCTAAGCAATCTCTTCCAGACAACCTTTGGGTAGAGGACACTGAGAAAAAGACAAAGGGTAGGTATTATCACCTATGCGAGACGGATGACGACTAAAAAATTATCAAGTCCGTCGTAAACAGTAACTTGTCGAATTGCTGGGTTCGTTTGTCGATGGGTCAATTGATTTCATTCTCACCTCATCAATTATTAGTACCCTGATAGCGCAGTCTGAGCTTCCATTCTCATTCAATAACAATAACTAGATTACCAATACCCATCAGTTGTAACTATATACATACATACCTATGTATATTGAGATGATCCGAGAAAACATTCCTAGTGGCGACGAGGTAGTGCTCGATGCCATCCACCGTCAGCCGGTACATGCCCAGGTATTGCGGCAGCAACGTCTTGCCGTGCCGCTCCACTATGTACTGTAATATCAACGCATTAAGACTCAATATATTGGTTATGTGCCGCGTGGTCCCAGCATAGATTGGGCCACCCCTTCCTTTACCGTGGGTATCGTAAGAGACCACTAAGGGTACTTATCAGCCTTTAACTGTCCACTGCTGAACATAAGCCTCCCCCTAGCCAGTAATTGCCACGCTTGGCAGGCGGATTGGTAACCGCAGTAAGGCTTTGGAGATGTTTTAAAAGGGACGCTGCTGCCCATCCCTAGCCCTCTCTTAGTCGGCTCTTACGACACCCACGGAAAAGGAAGAGGTGGCCTATTCTATGCCGGGACCACACGGCCTATATATATATATATATATATATATATATATATATATATATATATATATATATATATATATATATATATATATATATATATATATATATATATATATATATACCAGATATATTACCAGAGGGAGACTTTGTACAAAAGTATATATATATATATATATATATAAATGAAAACTTTCCATCAGGTGGGCCGTCAGCTTGTTTGCCATTCTAAGTAGTATAAAAAAAAAAAAAAAAAAAAAAAAAATAATTGAAAACATTTATTTTGTTATATATAGTGAGGAAGAATTAACGAAATTAAAAACCTTATTTTTTTTAAAATCGATTTAAAAATAATTGTTAAAACTGGTTCCCAGTTCACATTAAACGAACAGTAGCGATAACATGCTAAATATCCAAAAACAAAATACAATTGAGAATCTATTTGAAGCTGATAATTGAAGAAATATATTATTGTAACAAATGCAACACATTTTTCTCGCTACATTTCAACACATTCACATAATATGACTAACTAGAATGTAAATACGAGTACATACAATGCTTCAATAGGTTATTCTTGGAACACTTGTCACCAAATTCATGCATAGTAATATCATAGTGGCGTTATCAGTAGATATATACACTAATATCATCCCTGTTTCTTTGTATGTTATTAAGTTTAGAGTTAAGATTAGATAAATCTAAGATTCTACAAAAACTACTTATCAACATTAGGTTTATTATGGAGAATTATAAAAAAAAACAGATAAATATGTCGCTATACCCGCTTAGTCATTCGTATACTAAATAATAGTAAATTATAAGTTACATAGTCACTGACCGGAGATACATAAGTGGTCATTAAAACATAAAACAGAATTATAATTTTAAAGTTGCCAGTGGCGACCCTGAATATTACCAGAGGGAGACTTTGTACAAAAGTCGATTGCTTCGGTACCTCTGTCCCATTGGTGTTTCAACCGTGAAGCAATTGTGTTTGCATGGCTGTGTTTCGATTTGGAGGGTGGGATATGGCGTGAATTTACTGGGTACAGAGGAATAACACCCCAGTCCTCAAGAATGGCAACGCATGGGGGGTATCATGGGCGAAACAGTATAGTCTGTTATGTCCATGGTACTGCTCATGTCTATAGGCGACGGTTACCACTTTCCATCAGGTGGGCCGTCAGCTTGTTTGCCATTCTAAGTTGTATAAAAAAAAATTAAAACTAGAGTAGACAATTACATTTTACGATAAGTTTCTTAAGAGGTACTATTTTTATTTCTACTAAAAGAATAGAAAATTATGATAATATTTTTTATCTGGGAGACGATGAGATACATAAAATTAGAGTGCATTTTATTGTCTACCATCCATTGTGTATTGCTTAGTTTATAACTAGATGCCGCTACTGTGTTATACGTTGAACAAATTGTAGATTATTAAGTTAATAAGCACTTAGCTGCCATTTTATCCAATAACAGGCATTGATTTAAACAACAATGTATTACATTTGATAGATATAAATGACACAGAATCATTACTTGTGACAGCGTATGACGAAACTCTAGTGTTCAAGGAAGTATCAATAATGGGTGAAACAGTATACTCTGTTATGTCCATGGTACTGCTCAAGTCTTTAATAGGCGACGGTTACCACTTTCCATCAGGTGGGCCGTCAGCTTGTTTGCCATTCTAAGTAGTATAAAAAAAAAAAGATAATAAATGTCTGACAATAATTGTTACACTCACCGGATGATAATGTTTAAGAAACGAGTGCATCCTCTCCACCTCCTCGGATGTCAAAGTCTTTAATATGTACAGCCGATCGTAACTCTGATAGAACTTGGCGCCAGACTTGCCTGACGAGTCGTCGGGCGTAGGCTGAGATCTGCGACAAATCAATTTCACATTTATCAAATTCAAACGCATAAAAACCTATTTTTAACCTTAAATAATAGAAAATAAAATTGTACACATTTTAAACTTATCTAAAATTTAAATATTTTTTTATGAATGAAAAGGGTATATATAGTATCCACGCCTACACTATTGATATACGCTGGCGAGGCACCAGAGAGATAATAGGTAGGACGAAAGCAGATCAGTTGGTTTATTGCATCAAATTCATAGAATTAATTACAATAATATATATATATATATATATATATATATATATATATATATATATATATATATATATATATATATATATATATATATACCACTTTTTCTGTGTATATATATTATCGCTATAGCGCTGTATATTTACATAGTTTAAATCCATAGAACACCAATCACTACATCAGTTTCTCGTATAATAAAACAAAGTTGATTCCTGTCTGTGATTATACGCGGCATCTCGGCATCTTTATTAAATACTTACTCATACAAACGTAGCTATTGCTTGTTAGTTCGTTAATAAACAAGGTGTCTATTTATAGACTAATTCAGATTGATTAAAGTCATGTCATCGTTACAATTATCATCCTTGTGGTGACTGAATAAAGTTATGTCGTCATCGTACAAAATTTAAGGAAACAAATAAAAACACATCAGATAGAAGAGAAATACGGTGTTTAGAAAGATAATATAATTATATAAAAAATATACAAAGAAACCAAAGGGAACAAAAAAAAAAGCGAACCAAAACAAAAACTAAACGGACACAAACTTCAAATTACAAACAAAACATCTTTTTTAATAAAATTAAAAAGAAACAAAAAAAGGTGAGTCGTGCACAACTAGAAATCCTATAGTGTCGACTGGCTGGCAAGATAATGGTTTAAATCCAATTATTGTTTAAAAACCAAACTGAAGAACAGATATTTTAAATGCACTATCGCGACTTAACGCGATTAAAAAATTTTGCAGGTACCTACATGCCTGTTTCTTTACAACAATGCGAAACTTTAAAATTAACTATTGAACAGATTTTGATGAAATTTCTATATATCCAGAAGGAGACTGTACCAAAATCGTTTGCTTGGGTACCTTTATCCCATTCGTGTTTCAAACATAAAGCAGTTGTGCTTGCATAGCTGTGTTTCCGTTTGAAGAGTAGGATATGGCAGTGAATTTACAAGGTACAAAGGAATAACACCTGAGTCCTCAGGAATGGCAACGCATCATGGTATGGTATCATGGGCAAAACAGTATACTCTGTTATGTCCATGGTACTGTTCATGTCTATAGGCAACAATTATCACTTTCCATCAGGTGGGTATACCATTTTAAATCGGTTTATAAATGACGGAGTTCTCAGATAACAATTATGAAAAAAAAAAATCTGAAATCGGTTAAAATATAAAGTCAACGGCATTATTTTAAGGGATTATTCTATGAGGAAACTTCTTGACTAAAATACTGACTTGATACTTATAGTCTGTTTCAATTGAATTCAATGAAAAAGGAACCAAGTTTTGTTTAAATTATCACTGATTCACTCTCTAAATAAAATTACTAACTAATCGAAACATTTAGTCAATTAATCGACTTTCTATTTATTCTACTATTGAACGTAAGTAAATTATCTTATGGTCAGGTCTATGATTCGTATATTTATATTTTTATTAATAATAATACTTAAGTATTATTGAACAAAATTTGGCATGTGATCCTGGCATAGAATAGGCCACACATTCCTTTCCCGTGGGTATCGCAAGAAGCGACTAAGGGAACTTACTAGTCGAGGTATGAGCAGCAGCGTCCCTCTTAAAACATTTCCAAGACCTAACTGCGGTTGCCAACTCGCCTGCTAAGCGTCACAACTACTGGCAAAATCCACTAATAGACGAAGGTTTATGTTCAACAATGGGCAATTAACGGCTGATATGGTAACATCGAACCAGACAATGATTTATATAAGGGTCTTTCCTAATAATAACACACGTAGACATAGACAAGTGATATTCGATTGATTTATTATTACTGTTCGTGGACAAAATTTCCTTTGTCTAAAAATAAAAAAAAAATCAGAAATCCGCGCTAATCACTCCAGTGATCACTAATCCTCTTTAGTACCTCTCTTAGACCTCGGCATTGGCGCCCCTTTGTTACAGCACCCCCTTGTTAACCAACTCACCCGCACCAATATTATACATGTGAAAGTGAGTTTGTTTATTACCTATTAGCGCCTTAACGGGTTAACAAATTACTATGGAATTATATACGTACTATAACAGCATGGAGAATATTACAGGCTACCGTTTAATCCGGTCAATGAACATATCTCGATCACATGGACAAAATCGCTGGTAAAAGCTAGTAAAGAATAGATACTAAACTCATTATTACTAATCTAAATAGAACAATACAATTTTCATAGTACTTACCTGAAAATGTGGTGTTTTGTGCAAATGTGCACAAAATGAGATGCAGTGTGCACCGTGTTGCAGTTAGTGTTTAATAATAAAAAAAAATGGATATAATTAGGTATAGTGTGTAATATGGGACAAATGTGAAGAGGGTTAAGGAATAGGAGGTCAAGGCGGACTAATCACAAATCGAGATGTGTGCTTGCCCATACTAGGAACACTCTTTATTATTATTTTTTTAATACACAAACGACATTATACAGAAAAAAATTATATCACCAGAATTTTATAGTCGACGCCAATAAAAAAAATCAAGAATTAAAAGGGAAAAAAAATTGAAAAAAGAATCGAACCATCGAGTGTAAAAAACATAAAATAAGGGTCACTTTCCACACACAAAACCAGGCTTTAAAACCTAACATTAGGAAATAATTCACATTGTGGTTTCTTTTTTACTGTCACCAAATCACGTCCTATAGAGTGATTACCTTTCAAGCGGTTAGACGAGGAAATGACGGCGCGATCCAATAATACAGCCAGTGAAATTGTGGAAATAATGAATGCCGTGTCAGTCAAAGGCACACTACATACTGTTATTCGAAAAAAAAAACTTTAAAAAATCGTACGGCTGCGTAGAAAAACTCCGCTGACCTCAGGCGTTTTATAGTCAGGCCGCGCTTGACGAATTCACCCGCGTCATGGAATATGCCCTCTTGGTGGGTTTCGTTTTTCAGATCGGCGACACCGGTGGGCGCGGTGGCAGACCGTCGTAGCTTACTGCAAAACCTCTTCTGTACCCTTGAGCGGAGGTAGTTATCTGGCTTTCTAAACCTAGGGACCAGGATAGGAGGTAGGAGCGAGGATGCCAGTCCAATAATATGTGGGGATAAAAATAAATATAAATAAATACATAATTATAGATGAGAAAGAAATAATGACGCACATTCGTTAGCGGTCACACGTGCCGATAAATCGGTATTATTGAAATGTTCTTATGATATTATCTGTATTGTATGCCGTTACCTTGTAAGTGACTCTTTATAGTCGATGTCGTCAATACCGAACCTCTCCCGCAAATTTCTGAACACCAAAGGGCAATATTCCTTCACCTTGAAATGAGATGGCATGTTTTCTCTGAAAGAAAAATCCTGATGTTATTATACATCTAAAATTAATATTATAAAGGGAAAAAGATTTGATTAGTAAAACGCAAAAACTATACAACCAATATTAAAAATACTGTCACCTATAGAAAGCTACATTATCAACGAGTATATAAGCTATATATTATTTTTTAAAAAAATTGTGATCCCCACGAAAAATACAATACTATAACACAATTTTTTTTTTAAACTAATGCATAAGCTTGAAAAATACATTACATGAATCAGAAAAATAGATAAAAAAATAATGTAACATCAATTATTTTTATGATAACATGGTAAGTTAAATGTTTCTCAAAGACAAAAATGCTATATAGCATTTTGTACTAAAATTTTTTAATAATGTGATCAATAAATAATAAACAAATAAAAATAAAGATAAGGTAACTCAAAAAAAATTGTAATAAAATAATTATCTACTAATTCTTTTGCTAATCAAATACACATGGCTGTGTGTGTTAGGCCGACAGATAAAATATAGAAGTAAAAGTACTGGATTCATACCCAATAATTCCATAATAATTATAGGAAGAATGCACTATTGTAAAACCAAAATTGTTTAACTTATACAATCTTTTATATTTTTTACTCTTTTTTTTTTTAATATATTATTTAAACTTTATTGACCAATAAAATGTGATACAAAAGGCATTCTCTACTAGTCAACCTTTAAGATGTGCAGATATACTCCTACACACATTATCTTCTATCTCACTTACACAGTAAACAGAAAACCTAATTAGACACCAACCAATGCAATTTACTTAAACTGACATAATAACAATATTGTTAATGGATCTTACTTGTTAAACAGATGATTATCCACTTTAAGCTTAGAATAAGCTCTAAAGTCATCTGGCAACAACATAACTGGAATGCTGACATGACTTAGCTCATTTATCTGAAATAAAAAAAAATGCAAATAACTACTGAATTATATATTTTATTATACAAATTATTATTGAAATTTATTCCTTTATTTAAATAACAAACACTCTTATCACATTCACCACCTACTTAAAGATTGTGTGAAAGAATTTTCCCAGAAGATATTACTCACCTTTTACTATCAATTTTATCTATTATCAAACATTATAATGACCAATTAATAAAATAAAACAAAAATCATTAACATCTCACTCATCCATTGGAGCATATCACTTTGAATTTGTTCTTTGTTTGTTACCTCTTAATGCCTTAACTGATTAACAAATTACTATGAAATTTTATATACACATAGTATAAAAGATAAAGAAGGACATAAGCTAGTTTTTATCTTCATCAGTGAACATATTCCAGTCACAAGGAAGGAGTTAAAAACATGGTATTTACATAATTACTATAATTTAGCTACATGTACAATGGAAAAAATATATCACTGTTCTTTAATGGCAGGAATATTTTAAATGGATGATAATGGAACAGTAAGCCTGCATTATCGCCTGCATCAGCATATACTGGTGAGGCTTCAGTGAGAGATGATAGATGAGAATTAAAGCAAGTCAGTTGATCCACTGTGACAAATTCCAATTTCTAGCAATGGCACTGGTATTATATTTACCAATTACAATACCTTGCTCCCCCCCCCCCCCTCCCGGATGTAAGAAATATCTAAGGGTACAAAGCACAATATATCACTCAAAGAAAAGGTCTCATACCTATCAGTTGTTATAGGAAAGAATAAAGGCATAAAATTGAAATATTGCAATGTATACTAAATAATGAGGGTATTCCAACATTTCAGTAATATATTAATACCTTTTTAACAATAGATATGCTTTTCATATATCCTTTATTATTACAAGGACAAATTACAAATCACATCAATCAAAACAAAATAACTTCATTGATTCAGGTCTGTTGCAGACTCTAATGATGTCATTTTAAATTATACCTAATGAATATAACAGGAATTAGAAGATTTTTTTTATGCAACTTAGAATGGCAAACAAGCTGACGGCACACCTGATGAAAAGTGGTAACCGTCGCCTATAGCTATGAGCAATACCATGGACATAACAGAGTATACTGTTTCGCCCATGATACCCCTCATGCATTGCCATTCCAGAAGACTCAGGTATTATTCCTCTGTAGCCTGTCCAAATAACAAATATTGATGCAATTAATACCTATTAATAAATATAATAAACAATATGATAATCAATTAAAGAACATTCCTGATAAGTATAGTATTATCACCTATAGTATCATGTCTTTTGGTTGTATTATAAAATTGAGGGTAATTTTATTATTTTAAATTGGGTTTTTGATCATTCACACAAACCAAAATGTTTTAAGTATCTAAAAATGTGAATATAAAAACTGAAATACCATTAAAGAATTCATATTATATATTTATTATAATTATACAAGATTTTACTCACTACTTTGCATGAGTGACCGAGATATGATTGAGATAAAAAGTAGCCTATATCCATCCCCAATCTATATAATTGGTATACTGAATTACAAAGTATTGGTCAAACTATTAAGAGGTCATACAAATCAACAAAGAAATAAACAAGCTCACTTTGCCATTAAAAATATCAGTAAGGATATATCATATTATAATAATTTAGATAAAGCCCTGTCTAGACAAAGAATGTTATATATAATTGTAGAAAAGTAGAATTTAATACTGAATTCAAATTATTTTATAAGTCTACAACAATGACTTATAAAATAATTTGAGTGACTTATAAAATAGTTTTTATGGTGGTTGTTTTGTTAATTAGTTATTATGATGCTGATGTTGATAATAGTCCTACAATGACTTGAAAAGATATTTGTTCTATTTCAAAATCGTAAGAAGACTTTAGAAGGGCCTAAATATTATTTCATATAAATCTATAACTCAGTACACTATTTTTATATCAATGGCCATGCTTTAGAACAATTTTAACTGGTCATGTGCCAAGATATTGTTTGGCTAGTTTAGTGTAAGTAAATGAATCCTCGTTATTATAAAAGTAAACAGTGCAAAACTACAACAATCAGGTGAAGAAGGAAAATGGCATAATGCTATTGCGAGGTACCCAATAATGAACTCGCAAATCGCATTGTTGCAACCGACATAGTTATCGTAATTAATATCATAAATATGCCGTAATTACCGTATGATTTACACCCCACATAAACACAGATAGTAATGGTTCATTTGCACGAAATAATTTCACTTTCTGATGCTTTACACGGATGTGTTTCTTCTTCAATTTACTCAGACCAGTGCTAGGAACGGACATTTTGGATTTGTTTACAACTTAATTGTGATACTGTTTACAACCACTCGAGATAATTTACGGGATAGAATCGTAATTAAACCATTTTAAACAACCAAGAATTACAACGCGTTGCGACTATGGACGTTAAAATAGGAATTTTCAAAGAAATTCGACACCCAACAACAGAACAAACGGCTTTTTGACAGATAAGACTAGGACAGCAACAGTGTTACCAACATAGTATTAGGATTTCGAGCTATACCGAATTAAAAAAAACGCGACTAAATAGGCTAAATTAACATTTAATAACATAGACGTATTATTACTTATATAAAGTACACACGTAATAACAGACATATATAATGTATATACCACTAGTTAGTTTAATTCCGTTACCACTAGAAAGCATGCGATTGCCAACACCTAAAGATTGACTGCTATGTATATTACAAGAAGTTTTTACTAATGGTAACGGAACTGAACGAAATAATTCTAATATTATTAACTTGTGATATAGACTTCCGTAAAATAACACCCAGTTTAGTATATTTAATGTAAATATGTTCATATTATAGTTTTAAATTTATAAAGAATTATAGTTACAAAAATATATCAGGGATTAAACTCTGCTAATAATTAAACTAAAAACCCAATCATTGGGTAATATAGATAAAAACATATTACGCCAACTCCAAAATGTATATAATTCAAATAAGAGTAAAAAAATAATGATGATGTTTTTTTTAAAAAAAAAGCAAAATGCGTATTTATTATAATTCGTGATTTCAGAACTTAATATACTAATTCCACTTCAAAATGTAAAAATGATTATATTTGTAATATTGATAGTCTCCCTAAATGCGCTTCGAGCTTATATTGTGCAGAACTTGATTAACTATCTAGTTTCAGTATATATGTTCTAATTTTTTTAAGTTTTATAATAATTCTATTTTTTATATTAATACGATAATGCAAATAAATTAAATATACTTGATTAGTAATCTCTCAATTTATAAAATTTTATTGTATAAAATACAAAATTTAACACATTTTTCAAGTTTTAAAAATACTATAAAGAACATCAAATAAGCAAGAATACATACATACATACATACATACATACATACATATCTGTCACGCCTGTCTCCCATTAGGGTAGGCAGAAACAATGGAAAAGCGAGAATAAGCAAGAATATTGTATTGATATTATTTTTAGCAGCTAAAGAATTTAACTCATTTGAGACATTTTTGATAAATAACTGATGATGGTGTGTATAGTTTTGATAGTTGTAACCGTCTCTCATAAATATGCCGAACGTCACCAGAAACACTGTTATTAATTTCATGTAATTTCACTACTTTATCTCACTCTTTACATAGATACGTCTTTATTTTCTATTAGAACTAGATTTAGAGCTAAGAAAAAGTTAATGAATAAAAATTAGACACAACCAAGGTTAAATAGCTAAAAGAGTCAAACAAGACTTTAGTTGGCAATACTAAACAGCAGGCACGTACAGCGAACAGAGTTGCCAACTAGAAAAAAATATTTACTACTATTAAAATCTTAGATACGATTTAAAAAATGTATAAAATGTATAAACGGCAAGAACTTTTCTGTGTTGTAGTAGCTTAGAATAATAAAAAGTGATTAGTATAGTAATTCGTAACTACCAAATCAACAAAAAATATATATACAGATGCACAAACCATCACATTTTGTCACAATTTTTCAAAAAAATATATTTTTTGTTATTTTGGTACTATTTATCTTGAAGTATATTTTTGCTTATAATTCAATTTTAGTTCATTCAATAAATGAGAAGATGGATCATTATTAGGTGGGTAATATGTGGAGTCATTATTATCATTTCAGCCATTATCCGTCCACTGCTGGATATAGACTGCCATAACGAAGAGCCTGAGCTACCTGCATCCACTGACTCACTATAATGCATTTCAGGTCGTCACTCCATCTAGTGGGAAGTTGTCCTACACTGCGTTTGTTCGTACGCGGTCACCACTATGTGGAGTACAGGCTACATATATTGTTTATAGTTTTTATATTATTATTTACCAAATTTGAAAGTGCCACGCAACTCTATTATTTCAGTTTCGGAATCCTTTATTCTTGTTTTAGTCTTCTAAGTGTCTTCTGCTAATATATGTATATTACCAATTCCCATTTCTAGTTTCCTTTATCGCTCACATACATGATAAAAACAACACTAATGTATTTGAATGTAAATAACTACTGATTTTTATTAATGAATGATAATGGAACGATAACCCTACTCACGCTATTGGTTTACTCTAGTGGGGTACCAGTGAGGGATGACAGATGAGGATGGAAGCGGGTTAGTTAGTCTGTCGTGACGAAATCAATAACAATTAAAGACAATGGTTTCTAGAAGGAACCGCGTAGAGGTCGACTTGATAGGGTATATTTTTTTAAGAGATGATAATGGAATGGCATCCCCGCTTGTGCTATCGGTATACGCTGACGGGGCACCAGTGAGGGATGACAGGTGAAGATGTAATAGGTCAGTTAGCTTACTGTGACAAATTCCACAATAAACCAACCATGATGACAACCAGAGGGAACCGCAAGGAGGTCGACGTGATAGGGTTAATTTTTAGCAATAGGGAAGTCAATCTCCATTACCAACAATTCATTTCACTTCAATAACTAAACCGGTAGTTACGTGTAATTATACGTAACTACCGGTCAAGAAAGCTCTATTAGTATCAGAATCATTCAAGACCCTTAATCGTGAGCGGCTGTAACGGGGGCGCGAGCTTGACTGCATAACTTTTAACAATAATATACTAATGTGTTTTAATCAATTTTACAAGTTCATCAAAACTGGTAATATAGCAGAAAATTTTGCTTCACTACTATAAACGTGTAAATTACTAAATTATATAATCATTATTTATTCTCAATTATAGTAATTTTATTGTTTACTCACTAATTCAAATCTATTGATAGTGGTGTTAAAAATGTCGCGTGTTCTTCTTATTATCTCATACCTCTCATACCTCATACAAGTTTATTTATATTTTTGTTCATTATTATTTATTTATTATTTATTAAAAAATAAATAAGTTATTTTAATATTTAAAAATAAAATATATTTATAAGTATTATAGCGCTATTTTTTAAATATCACCATGAAAATTTTATATTATATGAAATAGCTAGGTTTTTATGGCAACAGCCGACATATTTTGGATGAAGGCACAACACTATGGATATTCATTTTTTTTTTTATATTTTCTTTGTGTTGTTACTTTGAAAAGGTAACACGCATTTTAATTTTCTGGTTCTGTAGATATATAGCCGCTGCCAACTTTTATAAAGTAGCGATTACTTGCTTTTTGCTGTCTATTGAAACGAAATGTCAATTAAACGAAAAATTATGAAAAACTGATAAAGGTTGATTCATCGAACACAATATATATTAACATAATTTTCTGTAATTCAAGGACTGAATTTTAATAATGGTAATCCCAAGTCCTTTTGTTTATTGGGCGCAAACTGAAAGTGCTATTACATTAAAAATAGATTTAAAAAATGTTGTCGATCCCAATTTGAAAGTTCTAGAAGATAATATAAAATTCACAGCACAAGGTATTGGAGCCCATGGACAGAGCCAATATGAATTTACACTCAATTTGTACTCCGCTATTAAATCAGTAAGTGTTTATTTAAATTATTTACTTCATCCATAACCCGGTAGCCAATAGGTAAATAAATGTATCTCTGTTTTTTGTATCTGCTGTTTTTAGCTTTTAACGATTGTTTTTAAACTTGATATCTATCTAGTATTACGAATTTAGTACAATACAAAGGGCGTGTTTTGTAATTTATCCTTGTACTGCACGGCGCATCGACATTATATCATCATGACGATAAAAAAAAAATATGTTCATATATACGCAAATATATACGTCCACGGTATTACGATATTCTGAACGTGAAGGGAATTTTAAAGTCTATTATAATATCACGGTATACAATGCCCTACTCTTTATGTGGTAAACATTTTATAGTATCCACATTATTACTATGGTGAAGGGAGATATTGTCTTTTGCAAGAGCATAGAACGCTCATAGAATTTGCTTCTAGTCCATAATATTATCCACATACATAATCTCCAGTGGGAGAGTTTACAAAAGTTGCTAACATGGATACCTTTGTCCCACTCATCTTTCATCACAAAACAACTCTGCTTGCATGAATGTGGAATATGAGTGTCGAGACATAACACCTGTGTACACAGGAATAGTAACATATAAGAAATTAGTACTATAATAGTAATCTCCATAACCATACCTATAGGCAGACAATGTTTATCACTTTCCATTAAATAGATTATAATTTTGATTTATTATTTATGTTTTTATTATCTATTTTTACACAAAGTTCCTAACGGAGTAGACAGAATGGTCTGAGTACTAAAGACCTCTATCCTTACATATATCTCTTGCTTAAAACACTTTCATAACTTGTCTCATGTGTGGCCTATTTTATCATAATAGGTTAGTCTAGGTTTCCCCCAGTACCTAGCTGCATCCATCTATGTGTATTGTTACTACAGAGGAAAATATAACTGTATCTATATATAAAAAAATTTCATGTCACAGTGTTTATGAAGTTTTTTATATATATCTAGGTATGAGAATAAGTAATGAGAATTAATCTCTAATTTATAAGACTTGTTTACATACAATATATATATACATATATATATATATATATATATATATATATATATATATATATATATATATATATATATATATATATATATATATATATGTATGTAAACAAGTCACAAACTTAAATACCTAGTCACAATTATCTTGTTGTTCATTCATATTGTCATTTTTAACTATTTTAAATGCTGCTTAAATAAGTTGTTCTATGTAAATTAAGCTGGTCCATCTTCTACCAATATACTCATGAATAATTAATATAAAATACAATTGTGTATAAAATACTGGCATATGTAGCCTGAAATAATAAATAGAATAAACAATATTGATTTAGGTAAGTAAATATATTTTTTTTTCATTATTGATATTTATTATTCAATGTTCAAATTTGTGTAAAGTTGGATTCTGTCACAGGCACTCTATACTAATCTTTTTATTCATAGAAACTTCTTATAAATCTATTATAGTTATTGATTTTTTTTTGTCTCTTTTTTATGTTAAATACTCAGTATGAAAGAAAGTGAAAAAACAGAGTAATAGTTAAAAATAATATATGTTCAATTATACAGATAGGAACCTCCTTTTTATGTTCCCATTCTAAATAGAAAGGATTGAAAATCTGTAGATTGAGTCTTTTTTTTTTTTACAGATAATTATTTAGGGAATCTATAAGCAGTTTATGTATTGTTTTCTCATTGTGTATATTTCTTGTAATTGTTTATATTTATAATAAGTTTACTATTGTAATTTTTTGGAGGAAACAATAAAGAGTATCTATGTTATATTTAGAATATATGTCTGTTTGATACATTATCTCTAGGTAAATTATGATATATTAAAAAACATAATTATGTAAATTTATTAAAACCAAAAAAGTTTATTATAAATATATAAAATTTTAAGTTTCTAAATCCAGCAGTTGTGCCTTAAAGAATCTCCATAGATACAAACATAAGGTTTGTATCTATGGAAATATAAGAATAAGAACTGATTTAGCATCTAATTCTTTTTCATTTCTGCAACATATTTTTTTCTCTACTGGCAACACTACAGATAATTAGATTTTTTTTTTTTTTTAATTTAATTATAAAAATAAAATTATAATTTATTATTGATTAATATAATCATATTATATCATTATTTTTTCTGTATTATGCTAAAATAGTTTGTCCCATATTCTTAGGGGGCATTTTTAAAAGTAGTTGTTATGATTAGATAATCGGATTGATTATATCCGCAGTTAGGCTTTATAATGGTTTAAGAGGGATACTGCTGTCGATTTTCAAGGGTTTTGCCAGTTTTCGACATTCACGTGTTAAGGTTTAAGGGGTGGCTGTCTAATCAACCATTTTCGACATTCACGTGTTAGGAAGGGGTGGGCTAATCTACGCCGGGACCACGAGGCTTTTAAAATAATAATATATAATAAATTAAAATAATAATATATAATAAATAGAATTAATAATAATATTTTAATAATGATACTCGCTTATGTTGTCATTGACAAATAAGACACAGATGTTTCGGTCGATTAAAAATGTTTTGGTGTGCAACAAACCTATCGTTCGAGGAAGTCTGTAGCTTGAAAACTGAGATTCCTAATTAATATTAGATAAGCAGTGTTAGTAATAATGATAAAGTTATCGTGTTTTTTTTATAGTCGTAAAAACTTATCGAGATACAAAGAAAAAATATTATAAAGACCATATAGGGGAAAAAAAACCTTGAATATTGAGAATTTAATAAAATAAACACTTAATTTCGCAAAGCGATATTCGATCAATAAATTAGTACTAACTATATGAAATCCCACTATATGAACAGAATTTATTTGTGCCTTTAATGATGCATTGCTAAATAATGTATGAGACATTATTGAATAGGTACTATAAATGCAAATATGTAAAACTCAATCCTTAATACTTGTGAAAAAGCGTAGTTTAAAACCTCAGATTTATATTTAAAACTATTAACGTGATATTTTTGTATATTGCAAAAAGAATTAACAAATTCGGTCAGCGTAGATATTGCGCAAACAAAATAGTTGAGAACCTCCTATTTTGAAGTCACTTGGAATTAGGAACTGAGACGTTATTCGTTGTACCATTTTTTTGTTTTTTGACCAGACATCTTGGTGCTATTCTTGATCGATGCATGCAATACATAGACTTGTACCCCTGTTAAATTATGAGTTAACGGACCGACTAGACTTTGATCGTATTAGATAATATGAATTTATATCGTCCGCTATTATAACAAACAAAAGTGTGAGTAAGTTGTTTGTTAATATTGTAAATAAAAAAAAAAATTGTACGTAATTGTAAAAACAATAATACAGATATATATTTCAACCTATTTTTTGCGTTTTTATGTTTTGCGTGTAATTTTTTAGTCTAAATAATGAGTACCTAGTAGTCTAAATGACTGCTTAAAGAAATTGAAGTAAATCGAAGAACTTACTCTGGTTCCTACATAAAATTTGTGTTAAAAAAAGTAGGGTTGCCAAAAAGTACATTAAGGATGATATTTTTGAAAAGAACTTTAGAACGAAAGATGTTATTAAAATATAGGGTGTAATGTCACGTCTAGTGGTTAGTAGCGAGTGACATGAATTAAATCTATCTGCCTACTTTCTATTAAACTTTATATTAATGGGAAACTTTGTGCGAAAGTTATGGCTTTATTCGTTTTTGTGCCGTGAAACAGCTGTGCTTGTATAATTTTTTTTTAATGGGTGAAAATGGAATGGTAACTCCGCCTGCAATATCAGGATACGCTGGCGGGGCACCAGTGGTATATGATTGGTGAGGATAATACTAGGAATGAAAGAATGTAGGTGATTTTTAGATAGAAAAGTATTGCTCTTATACTCGTACATTCTGCCACTGAGAAAACGTGCAAATATTTGATTATTTTTTTGAAACTAGAAAGGTACATGTTTTTAATTACAAATATTATGCATACTTTCAGATTACATTAATTACAAATAATTTAACACTCATATTAATTATAAAAAAGTACTTAATTAAGTTGTTAATATTAGATGAACTGTCAACTGTTTGCCATTCTAAATTGCGTTAAAATGTTATAAAAAATTAATAAAAAGTCCAATTTTACAGAATGCAGCTAACGATGAAGTTCCTTTTATGCGTGTGTTTGATAACCGGGTAGAGCTTGCACTGCAGAAAGAGAAGCCTGCATGGTGGCCTCGGCTCACCGCACAACCCCAAAAACCAGCCTGGTTGAAGGTGAGTGGGTATCAAGTTACTCCAATAAACATGTAGTTGTTGTAGGCCAAAATTTTAATGGATGATAATGGAATGGTAACCCCACCCGCGCTATCGGTATACACCAGCGGGGCACCAGTGAAGGATGATAGATGAGGATGAAGCAGGTCAGTTAGCTCATTATGACGAATTCAACAAGAATTGTTCACGATGGTTTCTAGGAGGGGGAGGGGGACCACGTGGAGGTCGACCTAATAAGGCATATTGCTAGTAATGGGGCTGCCAAACTCCATTGCTAACAATCCCTTTCCCAGGACGCTGTTGCTTATCTCTCGTCCTCCCTTAGTGGCCTCTTACGTCACCCACGGAAAGGAAGGGGTGGCCTATTCTATGCCAGGACCACATGGGATAAGACAAATGTACACTTAAATATACACGCACGCACACACCCACACACACGCATACATTTTTATCACAATTTCACTGAACCCTTAAATTATTGTTTCTCTAAAATTATGGGCTCTATGGTATTTGTTAACAACTTATCATTTGTTTCATATTGTTTCATCATCAAAATGTTAAAACAACAACATATGGAACATATTAAATCCTGTAACACAGGTTTTTTCATACCTACCTCGGGAGTTAGGGACTTCAAACTATATTGTAACAAAGAGTGAAATAAAGATTATTTATTATTACTTAAATTGATCTCATGAATTGCAGATAAATTTTGACTTGTGGAAATCAGAGGACTTACAGGACAGCGACGAGGAGACGCGCGACGTTATGAGAGACTACCCCGGCATGTATGATAAGCTGCACAAAGAAGAAATGGGTTATAGAAAAGGTACTTTGTTAACAACTTATCATTTTAATTGCAATATGCTTCATCATCATCATCTCGGCTGTTGACTGTCTACTACTGAACATAGGACATATTACATAATATATGCAAGGAACTTGATATTTTCCAGCAATCCTTGCAATATTACATTAAAGCTGTCAACTTATTATAAATCTGTAGTCGCTATTCTTTTAATGTTTATATATAAATAAATAAATAGGCCTTCCCAATAGACTGCAACAAGAAACGGTTCCCAGCATTCACTGACACCCTGTAATGCATTTAAGGTCGTTGCTCCTTTTAGTGGGGGTCGTCCATAAATGCATAATGCATCGTCGTGCATAGTGCTTATGTTTTTAATAATCTCGACGCAGATTCCTCCTTACTATTTGTATCCCCCCCCCCCCCCCCCCCCCTCTCTCTTTACTTAAATACTATGATCATAAATTTACTGTCCACTGCTGAACATAGGTCTCCCCCAAAAGGTGGATTTGTCATTAGATGCCAAGCTTGGCAGACGGGTTGGCAACCGCAGTTAGTTTTTGGTGTTTTAAGACGAACACTGCTGCCCATCCCTCGATCATTAAGTTCATTTTATCGCCTTATGTACATATAATAATGCCCATGTCTATAGGTGACGGTTACCACTTTCCATCAGGTGGGCCGTCAACTTGTTTGTCATTCTAAGTGGTATAAAAAAAATACATAACGTAATTACTTTCAGAAGACTGGAAGAAGGTGTACCTGATATTGTACAACTTATTCCAAATGATCGGATTCACGTACGTACTGTCGGTGATATCGATCCGGTACTCCAAGCTCGGGTACGACTCGGTGACGGATACGTACGAGCATGTCGGCTCGGCGATAAAGTTTCTCCACTTGATGCAGATATTAGAGATACTGCATCCACTATTTGGTTATGTTAAGGTAAGCCACGTTTACCACTTTCCATCAGGTGGTCCGTCAGCTTGTTTGCCATTCTAAGTTGTATAAAAAATAAGTAAATCCTTTCTTTTAATATTGTAAATGTGAAAGTGAGTTTATTGCCTCTTAGGAGTTTAAGGGCTTGACCAAACTAGGAAATTTAATATACAAGTACTATATACCAGATTTTTATTTTCTGTTTACAGTAATAAATTATGTAATTTATTTATTTAAAGGAACATCAACAGCATATTGCATTATAACATATATAACAAACATTAAATACAATACAATATTAATTCACATGTCTATTATAGGTATTCACAGCATTTACTTTAACATGTATGTTTATTTATGTATATGCTAATTTATGTATGTATTATATGACTAATGAAGGGAAATATAATGTAGAATATATGTAAATTTCTTATATTGTTAAAAACTTACACACCGACTTAGAGACAGGATGTATACGGGAAATGTAAACATCTTTCATCTAAATATATCTACATTCTAGCAAAATTAATTCTTTTCATTTCGTATATAATATCACAAATTCCAGAGAAAGATGGGTAATTCATAACCAAAAACGTAGTAAGAAGTCTACGAGACCAAATAATTCAGGAGCCCCTTTAATGATCCATTAATGTTTAACCTCTTCAAAGCCCACTATTACCAAGCTCGCTAGTAATTTACTTTCAAGATTTTTTTTTCTTTCCCTATTTTATTTTTTGCTTGTTTGGGATTTCCTTAGTATTACTTATGAACTCCTACAACCTAATAAATCGATCTGCTCTTAAGTAATAATTGAACTTAAAATAATAAATATGCTTGCGACTACAATCGTTAATGGGGTAGTCAGAAACATTTCACGACTGTTGCCGATGTGATAAACTACACTTGACATACACACACTATCGAACATATTAGAATCCAAAGTGCCAAGGAGTGAGTTTACTAACGTCACTTAGATAACTTTGGTTTTTATGGGTGTTTTCCATCACCAGAAAGAATTAAATTAACTTTGTCTAATATTAAGTACATTTTACATTACAGGGCAGTGTTTTTATGACGTTTGTACAAGTGATGGGCAGAAATTTCATTATATTTGCAATGATAGAAGGCGAGCCTCGGATACAAACGAAACCTGTCATATTTTACTTATATATTGTTTGGAGTTCGGTCGAAGTTATCAGGTGTGTATTGTAAATATATTTCTTTAATAATTAAGTATTAAATCTTATCAATACTTAAATAATAAAAAAGTGCAAGATTTGCATGTATACATACATACATACATATCTGTCACGCCTGTCTCTTATTAGAGTAGGCAGAAACAATGGAACGCCAAATGCTTCGATTCAAACAAACCTCTTTTGCTTCTTCCACATTCATCAATCTTTTCTATAAATCTCTTTCGTAATTCTTCTTTCATCCATCCTCTCCAAATGACCAAACCAACATTTGCATGTATTTGGGAGTAAAAATAGGAAGACTTAATACGCAGTAAATGGTGCCCATTTCAATCATTTAAAAAAGTATACCTTGTACCACGTAATTAATTACCTTAGTGCTTTGCCGTCAAGCGAGGCAGTAGTTTGTTTACTACAATATAATAGATCGTACATTACCGCGCCGCCTGCGCTATCGGTATACCCTGTTGGGGCACCAGTAAGTGGTGATAGGTGAGGATGAAACTAGGTCAGTTAGCTTGTACAAAGTTTTATTGTGCAATAAAGAATAAATAAATAAATAAAATAAAAAATAGCGCCATTCTATGCCGAATGAATGAGAATGGTCCACCCATTCCTTTCCCGTGGGTGTCGTAAGAGGCGACTAAGGCAGCTTATAGTGGAAGTATGGGCAGCAGTATTTTTTATAAAACATCACCAAAGGCCAACCTGCGCTTGCCAACCCGTCTGCCAAACATGGCAACGTCTGGTAAATCCTCCCTTATGGGGGAGGCTATGTTCAGCAGTGGACAGATACCGGCTGATACAACAATAAGGAATATATAAAGTATTGATTAGTGGATTTTTAAAATCCTTGATCACGATAAGATAGTGTACCTAAATGTATATCTACCAGACGGAGACTTTGTACAAGTCGTTTGCTTGGGTAACTCTGTCCCATTCATGTTTCAACCGTAAAGCAGTAGATACGTAAATACTATTACATTCGTGTTTCTACCGTGAAGCAGTTGTGTTTGCATGGCTGTGTTTCGGTTTGAAGGATGGGATATGGCGTGAATTTACAGGATACAGAGGAATAACACCTAAGTCGTCAGGAATGGTAACGCATGGGGAATATCATGGACGAAACAGTATACTCTGTTATGTCCATGGTATTGCTCTTGTCTATAGGCGACCACTTACGACTTTCCATCAAGTGGGCCGTCAGCTTGTTTGCCAGTCCCTAACAATGCTTCAGGAACCCCGTTCTATGTCCCTAACAAGCTTATATATATATATATATATATATATATATATATATATATATATATATATATATATATATATATATATATATATATATATATATATATATATATATATACATTGTCTTATAGAATTGTTTATTTTCTAGGTACCCATTCTACATTACGACAAACCGTATATATATATATATATATATATATATATATATATATATATATATATATATATATATATATATATATATGTATAAAAAAGAGATCTATTTGCTAACATGGCTGCGGTACTCAATATGGTTACCATTGTACCCACTCGGCGTTCTTTGCGAGTCAGTCATAATAGTGAGGAACATACCATACTTCGAGGAGACACAGCGGTTCACTGTATCGTTGCCTAACGAATGGAACTTTGCATTCCATTTACCAAGTTTCCTTAAAGTGTACGTGTTTATGGTCGCCGTGCCTGGTTTGTATTTCCTGATGAGTCATATGCAGAAGCAAAGAACGGTCAAGCTAAAACCAAAGGTCATCATAAAGAAATCTAAATAAGAATTTAGAAAGTACCACATTAGAAGCTACTATTTTTTTTTATCAATATTTAATACAATTAGTAAACAATATTAGCCTGTATTTGGGCATGTGTGTGTTGGCTTGCCCTTGCAGAATGGGTAATTCCAAGTTTACTCGGTTTGTAGTAATAACGAATTTGTATTTGATATGATTTTAATATGGAAATAATGAGATATATATATTTGAATTAACAATATACTTGTATATATAAAAAAGAAAAAAATACTAATGCATCTAGTAAAATATAGCGAATGACGTGAATATAGCTGCTGATTGGTAGCAATTTGCTCCACACTTCACGATCCTTGCAGCAACTATAGAATATGCACTAACATTATGTCTTTTTATAAAACTTAGTAATTTAAAAATAAAACTAAAATACAATAATAATGTATAATAATATATAATCAATTATTTAAAAAAAACAAAAACCTTTTTTTATTTGACTGTTTATTTATTTTACTCGTCGTTATTTCAATAAAGACATACTAATATTGTGTACTCATTGTGTCAAATATAGAAAAATAGATTATAGGTAGACAATTTTGTACCTTTTCACACCGTCCTGTTGCTAAATGTACGTCAGTAGTATGGACGTTTGACAGTTTTCTTAGAAACTCGAATCATGGAGATGTAAAATACAACCGAAAAGGATAGTTCCGTTTCTTTAAAATTATTCTATGACCATCTTCTATCACCCGTGTATACGGTCAGCCCAGTCGTGTGAAAAGGTACTAATGATGTCGGCAAATAATTTGAACATGATTTTAGTATGAATTACACAGTAACAATTTTAAACAAAAGCATCTAAAAAAGTTTGAAGTTGTTTACTGTGATGTGTAAGGTGTCTGATTGTTTGGTAAATGTTTAATAGGTATAGGTGAAGTCATTATTTGACACATTCTCTTTTGAATGGTAATTCTGCTTTCCATATTATATATTTTAATTAAGTATTGGGTACATAGTTTAGAAATCATTAACAAAGTCTGGCAATATAATTTTTAATAGTGACAAGGTTTGTTCATAACAAACCTTTTTACCACCAAATAATGTGATCAACATCAATTATTTGTTATTTAGTTTATATATGTATAGATATCATCATTGATTTGCATTTAACATGGAGAATTTAAAATGTGTAATATCCATTCATGTGGCGCCACCTGTGTTCAGTTTTCACCGATTTAAATATTCGATAGTGGTTTAGGGATGAAATATATTTATTGTTTTTTACTTTTGTTATTATTGGGAATAATTTATATATCTTGTCAACTTTGCGACACTGCCTGGCAATGTAAATGTCCATGTATACATTTGCATGGAAGAGAAAAGGATGTCTGCATACCTTACTATGGCCCCTCTCCCCGTACCTCTGTTATCCAAGGGGCATGCAGTTGATAGTTTTTATTTTTCTGGAATATATATGTAATTTTTTTAACATTTGGAGCAGACACCATTGTCTAAAGTAAATTTCTCTTTGAAATTCACTTTATAAATACGTCATCAAGATCGATGTCTCAAGATGCCAATTGTATTTACTATATTACTACAAATTGCATCTAGAATTTGCATTACCAATGAGTGCTTAAAAATAAAGTAGAAAAATTGTACAATTTTACGATTGCAGTGTCAAAAGAGCAAAATATCTGCCATTGTAATTTCAACTTATGATTTTTCGTGACCATATCGTAAACGGCGTTACTATATCGGTTTGAAAGTGTCACACACTTGCATATATTTTGAGATATAAATTATAAAAGTGGACTTTACTTGAAGCACAAAACCAAAATTGAAAATTAGCTTTATATTGACATTAGAATTAATATGCATTTATTTCTTTATAATTTAGAACAGTGTTTTGTAAACTTGATTGTTTTAAAAAAAATGTGATGTTCTGATTATGAATTTATGGCAAAATGTTTTTTTTTCTATTTTTATACCATAATATAATTATTATTAGTTATGTAATAAATGATTTGTTAGAAAAAATATTGTTTTTAATTTTACATTAACACAAAGTTTCAGAGACTGTTAATATGATAAGAAAGAATGACTATAGTAAAAAATGGTTTTATCACTCAACTCAATTGCAAAAATAATTGTAAACCAGGAATAGAATGAAAAAAAAAGTGATTTTTGACTGCATTTATTTATTTTTTAATAAATATATGCGACGCAACAAATAGGGTACATATCCATATTTCCATCTCATCAGACAAAACAAATGCTACTACAGTCAGGAAACTATTGATTTTTAGATAAATTCAACTATTCTAGAGATGTTTACAAAACCAAAATCCATACTGTATTGTAAATATCTCCAAAGATCGCGATCAGCAGAAGAATTTGAGGTAGGCTCTCTTGTACCATTGGACAGGGTCACTGTGAGCATAGTACTCATGGAAGATCGGCTCCACAAGGGCATCTGGGGGCACGAGTTTGTAGACGCGCTCGCCATAATAGGTCCCGACCTGGTAATCAAATCAATTTAATTTAAAAAATGTCTAATATATGATAATGTTATGCTTTTATCATTACAATCCTCATGTCTTCCAAGCCAAAATTAAGCCTCACAACATTACATAATGCAGCAATGGAAATATTACTGTCCGTATTTTGTAAATGTGTGTGTGTGTTTCTAAATTTATATAATAAAACCGATATTGTAAAATTCACATATTTGTTATAGTTTTAATTTGTTTTTTCTACTAATTCTTGTATAAAATATTTTTAATTGTTCTATAATATTGCATTTAAACAGATAAATGTTTAAAACATAATTATGTTAAAAAATGTGCAATTTTGTTGTTCTTTATTTATGAAATATCCAGGCACAGCACACTTTATTCTAATTATATGGACTTAAAGTAATTCCACTTCAAAAACTAAAAATAATTAGAATTTAACTAATTAAAAATTGTTCATACTCCTGCTAAATCAGCTTTGAGCTTATATTGTGTGGGTCCTGCTTGCCTATCTCATTCTTACATATATGTTAATATGTTTTCTCCTTTCAATAAATTCAGAAATAATGCTCTGTAGCATGTTCAGGTATGTTCCTCTAGTTAAAAAAAATAGTATGAATTACTATTTTTTATAATAAGGGATTGGACTGATTTTTATTTTTACGACTATTACTTTTGTATAAATATAACACAATCATCATTATTTCAGCCATTATCCATTCATTGCTGGACATAAGCCTCCCCTATAGATTGCCATAAGAGATGGTCCTGAGTTACCACTGACTCCCTGCATTTCAGGTCATCACTCCATGTAGTAAGGGGTCATCCTACACTGAGGATATAATGATTACTTTTACTCTAAAAATATACTTTTAACAGGCTAATTCTTGCTATTTGTAGTCTTCATTAGTTAACCAATAGTGTAACCATTTTATCCATAAGAAAAATACTTGATTATTACCTCCCATCCAGGTACGTCACGCATGAGCTCAGCCTCAGCGTCGCGATTACGACGAAGCTGTTTCAGATATTCCCTGTCCCTCTCAGCAAGCAGCATTGGGTATATTGCCATTTTAGCTGAACGCATTTCAATTTCATCCCTTTTTATTTGCTTATAATTTATATTATACAGATATAATCCACCAATTGTCATTCCAATATAACCAGCAAACATAGCATAACCTGGAAAACAGTTTTATATTTTATTATTGTTATTACTAGTGCATAACAGAAACTCTTAGAAAGGAAATAGGCCTTTGCCTAGTAATAGAAGATAATAAAAAAAAAAAAAGTAGAAAATAAAAGTATAAAGTAAAAAGAGGCCAACTTTTTGATATTTCAAGAGTAAAGTCAATATTTTACTAATTTTATGTATGGATAGGTAGGGATAGGTAGCAACATCCCTTAACAATTAAGTTTACTTAGTTGTCTCTTACAACACCCACAGGAAAGGAAGGGGTGGCCCATTATCTGCCGGGACCATGTAGCCAAAATAAAAAAAAAATAAACAGTAATATATTTAATAATGAAAAATCTAATCAGATATTTATTAAGTTTGTACTGTTATTTTAATAGACATATTAAAATAAGAATAGACCCCAAAATTTATATATATATAATTGCGTAAAGAGTAGGAAGATGATAATGATTTTAATAGATATACCAAGACTGTAGAAAGGTAGTATCAAGGTATATACTTTGATGTTACATCCCTTGAAAATTCATAATAAATCATTTTGTACTGGCAAAGGCCATCAAGCAAGACAATTAAAAACGGTAAACGTCTTCTATGACATGAACATCAATATATATATATATTAAGATGCTTATAATTTCCTCGATATTAGGCGATAACTAAAGTGTACACTTTATTTCGTAAGACAGGTAAAATTTTATGGGTTTTCTACAATATATTTTTTATTTAATCTGATTTATTCAACGTGTTCTCAAATAAATTTAAATAACACAGTAATTTTTAAACTAGGATTCTTGAAAGCTAAGCCTAATAAGCAAATAATAATAGAAAATAAAGAAAGTAGCATAACCTCTACAAGATTACATAATGTATTGTTTACAATTTGTTAAGACTTATATCTAACAATTTACTTACCACTAAAATATTGTTTTGCTGGTATTCTTTTATAGGGGATGGGCTTGTAGCCCCCCGGAGGGGGCAAATCTTGTTTTCTGGCTACTTGGCAAGCCTCAGCCATACTTGAACTTTTGACAATTTAAAAAATCTTTTGACAATTGTGTTTAATTTTTTTTTTTGACAACCAAGTGACAATGATTGAGTTTTGTTCATGTATTGCGTACGTAAGTACCGCATCTGGTATCGCACCTATAGCTAAATCTTAAAAATAAATAAAATTGTTATTGCCATGACGACTATTTATCGAGTAAATAATTCAGTATTCATATTCATAAAGTACTCAGTTTTATATTAAAAATTAGGTGTTCGTAATTTCTTTTGAATATGAATTTAGATACTACGGACGAAGGGGTACAAGCAGATATTCTAGAGTCGATAAACGAAGAGCCGACCTTGAAAATTAGACCTCTTGAACGTATTAAGCTCCATCCGAAAGTTCCCATAGAGCCGTCTGCTTATGGCAAAGGAAAGAATTTCAGCCGACCTTGGATTCTACAAGATGGACGAGAAGTACCTGAGCAAGGCAGCGAAATGCGCGATAATTACAGGGTGCCTAAAAAATGCACACACGGAGAAGGTGGCTATTAGATTCAACACTGATTACTTTTATTAGTCCGTAATATAGTATTTATATTCTTGTTTTAAATACTCGATGTATCGTTATCAAATCTTTTTTAGGTATCCGTAAACGAATGCTTACGGATTTTTTTTGGGAACAAATGTTGGATGAAGTTATTAATGAATTGGCAACTTCTCAGCCAGTTATGGAGTATTGCACTGAGCATGATGCTAATTATGTAAAAGAAAATTTTGAACCGCGTAACTTAGAAGTTACGGCAGATAAAAAAGTAAGCTAACCTACAATTAAATATTTACTAGTTTATAAGTAGGTGTAGTACTGAGCTTAGTATATAATACAATCTCTGCTACTTCGCCACCGTATATCGATAGCGCAGATGGGATCACAATTTCAGTTCCAATTTATTACAAAACTCCATTTATGAATTTCAATTTTAAGCATACTTAGGTACTTTTAATTTACAGATGCATTTGAAATATCCTCTATATGGAACTGGTTCGAGTGCAATTACTTTTTACAGCGAAACAATAAAGAAAACTGGGCCCGTAAGTATTTTTTTTTCTATGTCTACCATCTGCTTGAGTAAAATAGATAATTAAATGGATATTTATCAGTGTAGAGGTGTTTAGCACTCGGTTCCAACTGTATCTAATTCTAACTGTAACTGTATATAGTTTCATCGTTCAAGTAGTATGGTAGGTAAATTAAATATACACAATCTCCGTGATGCAGTGTAATTCATCTACTAACCCATATTGGAGGATTAAGGGATTGTGAGTAATGCGGACTACCAGCCTCACTCCAGCAATATACTGTCAGATCAATCTCCCCGCGGTCCCTCCTGGAAATCATCGTCTTTTTGTAATTCTAAGTATGTTCATTAGGATGGTCTAATTGACCTCCTTTTCATTCTCATCTATTACCCCTGAGTATTGCTCCACCAGCGTGTAAATACCATTAGCGTAGGCGAAGATAACATTCCATTATCATACATTATAAAAAAAAAACTGTGATGCAGTTGTGGGCATGTTTCTTTGCGTTAATAAGGTCGTGGGTTCGATTTCCGCTCACTCTAATTTCGGAAACAAACTTATCTGAATTATAATTCATATGGAATACATCAAAAGATTTAATATACAATGGCGGATTTATCCCATAAAGGGATTTCTTACAGTCAACCTTTGAGAAGCTGAAAGAAAACTGTAGAATGTACAAGGGTAATAACCGTACAGCTACAGACAAACTAAATAATAATAATTGGTGTGATTGTAGTGCACTGAATATTATTATAATTGAACTCTGTTTTAGGGGGAAATATTGGAGAAATTTCGAAGGTGTCAATACTTCACGAAGCCAATGGAAGAAAGAATGGATGATGGTTGGGTTTTGTAATATTTTTTGTACGTACACACGTTTGGTTAATGATAAATTTACAATAATAAAAAGTGTTCATCATTATTTTCTTTGTTCCTTCAAAAATCATCATTCTGATCAAAATAAAAAAATAGCACATACAGACAAAACATTAGACGGTCTTGTCGCTACAGTAATGTTTTATATAAACAACCTTGCGCGGTGGACGTGGATGTCCATTATTGGTGGATTAAGCCCATCAGCGGCCCGGAGAAGCGAAGCTAAATGAGGCCCCAGTATAAGTTAATAAGAAGTTGATGTAATTTTGGAAGCTTTATATTTTAGTTCACATTTGTGTGTATAAGTATTTGTTTATTTAGTAAAAAATCTTGCAAATGAAATTTTATATTAGATTTAAATAAATAGATTTAGAATATGGATATGGAGGAAAATGGAAAGCGTTTGAAGGCTCATCAGGAACAGAGACCCCCCACCACGTTAATCCACCACTGCGCAGTATTTTAATACTTATTTTTAAAATAACCGTTATAACATATAAAGATCCATACACTGACACGCAATTAAGATTTTTTTATACCACGAAGGCGGGAATTATTCAATAAAACTCCATTTTGGAACAGACCATTGGTAAGTTTTTTTTTTTTTTATTTTTGTTTTAATAATGTTACAGAACCATAGATTCACCAACAGATAATACATTACTACATTTATGCAACAGAAACCAAGCATAAAGCCCATTTGATGGTAAACAGTCACAGTCACTATAGCCTATGGATATGAGTAAATTAATATTTGTATACCATTCTTACAATAAAATAATATAACCAATAGGGAGTAAATTACAATCTCCCAAATCAGACGAAATAATTTTGATAATTTGTTCCTGTATGGCACATATACTCCTACGTAATATTATATTCATAATATCTCTGAGAAATTTGTTTAATTACACGAAACATTGAAAAAAATGGTCCCGTCTTATCACTTAGAGTTTAGAGCTTTTATACTCAGATATAAACACGCACGCGCAAACAAACAACAATTACAAAAACTTTAAAATGTAACTATCCAATAAATATGATATAATAATACAAAATTACAAATGTACGTAATTTAAAAGGCTTCCCAGATACAGTGTAGACCTATGTGGGAACCACATTTTAAGGAATTTTGTGCGTTTCATATTTTAATGAAGTTATTATTATTATTACATAATACCAATAGTATTGAGAAACAAATACTTGAAAACTTGATAAAAAGCTTCAAAACAATAGGTCATCATCGTCCCAGTTATGAGGGTAGCACGCTGGATCTGGCTTGATATCCCCCATCGAATCGGTGCTGGTTGACAATGGTGCAGTGCAGGGGTGTAAAATACTCGTAAGATGCTCCAGCGAACGAATACGCGACGAGGATGCATCACTTGAGACTGTTAACAAGTTGTTTATTTTACTGAATTATTTTCCGGAAGTCCATATCACTGGTTATTTAATTAGGATTATTTTGTTTAATTCGGCTATCATTATTATGTGTACGACTGCCAACACTCGAAGATTACCCATCACTATTAGTGTCACAGTCTTCTATATTAGCCAATATTATATATTTGTTTATTACTTTATTGCACCAATATTACAGGAATTGTTGAAGGATTTTCAATAAGCATAGAGTAGTACAAAAGGCAGTCTTATTGCTAAGCAATTTCTTTCAGACAACCTTATATATTGGCTAATATGGAATAATAGCGGAATTGAACAAAATAATTCTAATTAAATAACAAATATGTTTAGTTTGTTTCTATAGTAAATAATGAAAATATAAAAAATCAACGACAAACGAACAATTGACCCGACCATAGACAGTCGTAGAAGTAAAAAATTTGACTGAATGGTTATTAATTTAATTTAGAGAAAGTTTGTCATTGCTTCAAAAAATCTTGGTTACCTTTTCCTTAACTTCTGTTTTATGGTGCAATAACCACACTTTATTAGAAAATTATTATATTCTTATTGGTTAAGAATATACTTAGCTGTGCGAGTACATACTTTTTTTATGGATGGTAATATTAGGATAACTGCGCCTGCGCTATCGATTTACGCTGGTGGGACTAGAGTCTCCATTACTAACAATATCTTCATCTTGCTTTACCTAGTTAGGTATGTTAGTACTTAGGTACTAATTAATGACCAATAACAAATAGACAACTAGAAATGGTCAACGACAAACTAACTGCCCACCTGATGGAAAGCGGTAAACGTTGCCTATAAACATGAGTAGCACCATAGACATTACAGTATAACTACACAATGACACCCATCGTTTACGTTATGCGTTCATATTCCTAAGGATTAATTAAGTGGGTAGGTATACAAATTCATATCAAATTTAACGAACCACTAGAATCTCCGTTATCACCACAGGGTAGTTCGGGACGCAGTTTCGCGATGGTTTGACTTCGAATCTTCTTCGCTTTTACCATTTTCAGTCTATGAAACTCTTCCCTCTCCTAATTGTCGATAATAGAACATTAGAAATTGACAATATTTAGAAATGCATTAAAATAATTCGATTGATATTTTTTTATTTTAAGGTACGGCATTGGGCCTTTTAAGGTAGGGTATTGTTTCTCAATGCCCCCCGTAGCTACTGCTATGGCCTAATATAATACTAGATAGAACTTAATGCTCAAGAGGTAGACAGCAGCGTCCCTCTTAAAATATCACCAAAAACACCAAAGCTAACTGCGGTTGCTAATCTGCCTGCCAGCGACTAGTGCGTGGCAACTACTGGCAAAACCCCTTAATAGGGGGAGAGCTGTGTTTAGCAGTGGACAGTTAATATCATCATAAGACTAGATAGGAGTAATAACGTAAAAATGTAGATGCCCATGTAGTACCTACCTATCCAATAAATAATTTGTAAAAATTACTTCAAAATAGATTACCCTTTCGTCCATTTCCATCAGTATATAATTCTCGGTGTTACGTAATTTTGGCATAATTATTTTCTCAATACCATTTACTTTTCTATAACAAAATAGAGATAAAACTAAAACTTTCAATTCCTCGCATTCTTCAATCGCTATAAACTGATTGAGATTTCTATTGAAGTTATTGTTCTTGCTTCTTATTGACTTGACTATTCACATACATAACGAATATCTAGTTGGGATGTTTTAGTAATTGATAAACTGTATCAATGTTATAATTAAAAACTAACAATCTGGTCCGGCTTTGCACGAGTAAACAGAATTAAAAAAAAAAAAACAAATCTATGTTACTTGCTGATAACGTAACTTTATATATGTGAAATAATTTAAAAAATTTATTGAGTAGCTCTTGTGTTTATCCATTACAAACAATGAAATCTTTTCTATTTATAAATTAGTATTGTTAAGTATTATATTATCTGTGATATAGTTAACATTATTGAATAAGGTAACAGGTGGTTTTCATAGAATATTCATCCTATAACGCTATATATTAACGACAATGACCTTTATCTCTCGGATCTCTGTCTACCCTTATTTGGTGGGTTGGCATAAAGTTAGATTAAAAAAATTACTGCAATTCTATACAATACCTGAGCGTAGTTCTAATTGCCTCATCCAAGAGTATACAAGTATTTCTAAGTGAGGCAAACTTAACGAGTATGCGGATCGCTTCTCTAAATGCCTTCTTAGCCTCCCCGGTGCGGTGGCCACCAGCTCCGAGGCCGGCGTAACGGAAAACATCGCCAACGGTCAAGTCCTCAACCGCTTGCAATGATACAGTCGCCACACCAGAGATGTTTTCAGATATACGTTGAACACGGACTTGAGCCTAAATTTGTGTCATAATCAGCAATGTTCACTACAGTCTACTTATGGATAAAGCTCTAAGTTCAAATACTACAATAATTTCCATTATTCCTATCATTAATTATAATAGTAAATAATGAAATTAAATATACGAAAAATCAGACTTTTAGTACACAAGATGGGTAATGGACCATCAAAGAAAAAAAAAAAACAATATTTTTAATAAAAGCTTTTCGTTATTTCAATATAAAAATTGAGGCATTTTATAAGTTTTCCAAGTTCATCTTAATAAGAGATCAGTAAGGAGTATATTAAGAATTATAAAAAAAAGCTTTTGGAATCAGAACTTAGATTATAATTATTAAGAATCGGAATTAGATCCGATACAAAAAAATATATTTATCCTACGATGCGGTCTCGTTTCCAAACTAAACAAATAATACCTAGGTAAGTACACTTACTTGCCCAATATTTTCTAGAACTAAAGCATTAGGCTCTCCATTAGTGAATTTAATTGCTGCCAGAGATATATAAGCTTCCTTTAGCGTATGACCCAAGATGGCTTGAGTGGAAGCTAGTTCCGCGGTCGCTTGCCTGCCCCTTATACGTAGAGCTTCGGCTTTCCGTTTCAACAGCTGATACCCACGTTTTACTTGCTCCTGGCGATGGATTATCTCCCTCAACATGAACATAGACGCCGTGACCGGGTAACGATTTTCTGTATTCATGTTTCGTTTGGTTTTCTTTACCCGTCTTCCTTTTGTAGGAATTGCCTAGCTCTATAAACTGTCAGATGTCAGTTTGATTAATTTTTTATTTTTCATAGAAAGAATTAGCAAGATTCTTTGGATTATGTTTTGTAAATAGATTTAAATACTTACCTAATGTTCATCAATATTTTACATGTTGAAAATATAAACCAGTATGAAATAGAAACACAGATGATAGAAATAGTCTTTATTTCATAATTATAATCTTTACACTTTAATCATTCATATCCTTAATCATAACCGTTAATATCACAATATACCAGTGATATTAACATCCACCCAATCCAATTTTAACGTCCATATATTAGACATCACTGTATGATACTCATATCAATATTGTCTAAATCTCAACTATCTTGCCAATAGTTATAGTTTCCTAATGGTGGCATAGGAGGTCCATTTGGAGGTCCTGCTCCGGAACTATATGGTGAACCTTGAGGAGATCCATATCGAGGCCGAAACCAGGGCCTGCTGGTATATTGGTACTGATTATTCGCGTAAGCTGCCAAGTTCTGTCCTGTAGCATTAGGGTACGGATTCTGGGAATTTTGATTTGGAGGGAAGTTCAAATTGGGCATGTTAGGAAGACTCGGCGGAGGATAGTTTTGGTTTGGTGCCGGTGTTGTGGACGGAGAGAAGTTGCTTTGTGACGTGTTCTGTGTGCTCGGTGTTCCCGAGCCATAGCTTTGGTTACTTGATTGTGAATTCGCTCCATTCGTTGGATTAGGGTTATAGTTCGGTGGTGGCTGTGTTATTGTGGTTTGATTTACATTGTAACTCGTAGTCTGGTTGGCACCATTAGATGTGCCATAATTAGGTGTAGCAGTCTGATTTTGCGGAGAGATTCCAGTCGTTTGCGTTGCTGAAGCATCAACAGAAGATGGGAAATTTTGTTGACCAGGATTTTGTACACTTGTTGTGCCTGACATAGAGTAATTGTCTTGAGAAGATGAGATGTAATTTGTCTGGTTGTTAGTACCATTTGTGCTATCAGAGTCGCTGGTGGTATTGGACTGACCATTGCCATTGTTAGAGGCGGGATTGGTAGTTTGATTGTTTGCCAAATTATACTGTACGTTAGGATTATTGGGCGGGACCGTTATTGTTCCGGAATTAGCTTGCATCATGTAATGGGGAGGCATGTTTGTGTATTGTGTAGTTGGTGTCATGAAGGAGTTCTGGGGTACTATTTGGTGGACCGGTGGGGGTTGTGTCACGGGAATATTTGGAGGCGGATTAGTCATTGATGGCGGATTAGTCATTGGAGGTGGATTTGTCATCGGAGGTGGATTAGTCATTGGGGACGAAGGTGGAGGAGCTTGTACGATAGGTATCGTTCCAGAAACAGCTAAATTTTGATTTGTTAGCTGCTGCCCTGCGAGAGCAGCGTTTAGTTGTTGCGCCGATAGTTGAGTATTTAAATTTATACCAGCCGGCATGTAGGCGGAGTTGGCTGGCATGTTCATTGGCATCAATGGCACGTTATATTGAACTCCCCCAGGTACGGTCAATTGATTTGGCTGCATAACTGTCACATTCTGCCCAGGTTGTAACATTTGCTGTCCTATTATACTCGGAGGTAATGTTCCTGCTTGGACTAAATTGGGATGATTCGCCGGGATCATGTACACTTGGCTATTTGGCTGGCCAATTACAGTCGGCACTTGACTGATGTTTAGCGGGTTCTGTAATACAGTCATTCCCGGTGGTACAGTTATCATTTGTACGTTTTGAGCCGCGCTTTGAACTTTACTCGCTGACAAGTCTTGTTTCAAGCTATCTTTGCCAGCTTGGATTTGTATAGCGTTTCTGTCTATTTGTCTAATGTACATTCCGCTGCCATCTTGCGATACTCCTGAAGCTGCCACGCTGTAAACAGAATGAATGTAAATAATACTTTATGAAATATCATTACAATATGAAAATCATATATCAATAATTATTACTGAGTGTTTGAAAAATTTCACAGCAGGCGGGATTGGAACACGCATCGTCGACGCCATGCCAGGACCAAAATTCAAACATTTTCTTTCAGATAGGGGTTGTTCTGACAATTATAAAAAGCAAGAATTAGCCAAATAGATGCACTCATTCTGAAATGATGCGCTCACGTATATTTGGCAAATAATTTTAATTTATATAGTTAAACAGATAAGATAGTTAAACACATAAGTGAAGAAAAGTCTATATTATCGATTAAGTGCTAAATAGATTTACTATTATTTCACTGACACCGTTCTTTTTTTGAAGACGAAAAAATATTTATAAGTGCCTTACTTTGTTTGCTGTCCTGATGACACGTGAATAATGGTCCCATGAGCTGGATTAATTTTCGTCCCCATGCTGACAACGGTGTTGTCTCTAGCTGTAGATCACATAACATATATTGTAGTAACATTAACAATTACGAATCAATTTCTACGCTTCTGCACAATATCTACGCATTGCGATATTATTCACAATAATAGTGTAATCATGCATCTGTTTAAACATCTAAATATAATAATACAGCTGGCTGGAATGAAGTAGATGTACCTATAGGAACTAAATAAATCTGCAACCAAATAAAAAAAAATGCTGATTGATTTTGTCGCGATAAATTTCAAAGTTGCCTTGTTGATAGTCGGCTTAGCTAAATAAAGGAAGAAGCATGTAATATAAGCCGATAGTATTACTGTTTATTAATTTATAAATCAGCTTCCATCAGTATTGGCTGTAAAAATGGATATTTCAAGATAAAAATACAGTATTTTTAATTTTAACCCGGAGTGGTGTACCTGAAAGAATGTGTTTATTAAAGATCGAAGAACTAGTTCCTATCATCTTCAAAAATATTCGCTGGTATTAAACATAAAAAATAGTTCTTGTCGCCTTCAAAAGATGTTCACCGATTTCATAACACTGGTTATCCTAATTTGAAGACCATGCAACTGGTTTGGACCATGCAATTGTATGGCACTAAACACCAGCATGTTTCTAAGACCAGAAAAATGACAAATGATTCTATTTTCAAATACATTTAAAATTCAGCCTCATCGAAGTATTTTTTTTTCTGCTGGAAAGCAGAACACACGTCAAGGTCGATGAAATGTTAGATTTGCAGTTCTGTTTTTCAATGCTCGATAAACTAGGAAACAGGAGATGTAATTTTTACACAAAGACGAAGTGCTGGCGGGTAATATTGGTGACTTTTTATCCTATAAAAATGGGACGATTTCCTCTGGAAAAATAATAACCGCGCGAGTGTAGCTGAGCTGCTGGTAAAGCTAAAATGGTACACTTTGGTTTTTATATTTACGCAAATATTACGCATTACTGTGGAGCTACAGAAGACCTAGTTGCTGTTTTTCCCAAAATCAAGCAATCTGTGCGATTTTGTTGCATTTATTACGAGAATCAACTACGTATTTTTGATTACGCTAGAGCTTAATCTATTTTCAAAGTCATACGATGTAACTGAAATATCTAAACCAGATTAAAGTTCCTAAAAATTAGTAAAAAGAAAAAAAAATTAATTAGATGCTTTAACAGAGCATCAAATGCTGTAAGTTACGCAAATTTACGCAAAGACGTCCAAATGAAAAATTTACGCTCGCCAATCGCAATAATTATGATTCATGCATTGTAATATTGCATTTTACGCAGTGCAACGCATTTGCTACTATAATTCTACATATTTAAATGACAATTCTACGCTTGGCTCTGTTTATTAAGATATACCCTCTTATTTATAAAAAAAAAGTCAAACCTCTAAAAAACCTATATTTGTCACTGTCTTCCAAATTGAGATTTCAACGCAAATGTTTTTTTTATGAATTTTTATGAATGAAGGTTAGTTTAGAAATGCATTTCAAATAAGAAATTGACTATATAATGAACTATAACAATTAGTAATTGAAAAAAACAATTTACAATCTCACTATATTGAAAAAGTTTGTGAAAACATAAAGCAGTATATATAATAAGAGAATTCTATTCAATAATTACTAATATATAAACCACGCTGAGAGTATAAACTGTTTTTTTTTTTAATTTTAATATGGGTAAAAATACGCGAACGCATAAATAATACGCAAGCATTACCAGCTGCTTTTGTACTAACAGAGCCGGCCTTAGCCACCTGGCGCTCTTGGGGAAGTTTTTGACGGCGCATCGCAAAGACGAAAAAATAGTCATCGGAGATGCCAACAAAGGCCAGCTATTCAATGAACGAAATGAGACAAAATTACTCGTGCCAACGTTGAAATTTGATGCGATCCGTTATAGGCGAGCGACCCTTTAATTCACCGGGTCTCCGACGCTCCCCTCAATTAGGCCGGTATTAATTAATTTACTAGGATATATACATATGCTGGAGAAAAGCCAAAATTAATTCTAAATAAACGATTACGCGACAAACGTAATTTCAATTGCTCATGTACGGAGTCCTAAATTTATCTCCAATATTTAGAACCAGTTGTCAGTTTCTAAAGTAAAAATTGGCCAACGCCAACATTTTACGCTTTTAGGCGATGTATTTAAAATTAATTCTTCGTTTCTCGTGTTCTATTTACAGGGCCGGATTTAGAGTAATTCCCTAACGACGAACAAAGCCTTTAACTGAGGTGTCCCTGTGCAAAATGTTGACAGTACCAGACGGATTAATTAAGGACGGGGAAAAAGGGTCAGCATCTTTTGATGAAGCTAAAAAGTGTTGACGGCATCTGAATGCTTCTCTAACTAATGACAAAAAAAAAGTCAACGACGATTCACGCTGTTGTTCTTTCAAGAATAAAATTTGATATTTTATCAATCGTAGTTCTTCTCTTACATCACCGCGACTCATTTGGACCGCGCCAGCCCCGGTCCCATAAGCCAATATTGCCTATAAGATAAAGGATGGGCACTCTCCCTGCCTCTTACTGCTGTCTTTATAAACATTTGTTTTCCAATTAATACATTTATATCAGGCTGGAATACTACATACTAAATACAAAAGAAAATAACAAAAATATAAAAAAAATTAGGATGGATCCTTGTCTCTGTTATCTCTGTAAATAATTATTTGTTAAAATATTTTATATATTGTTTCTTCTTAGTATTCTCAGCTTGCGTTCTTGCCGTGTGGTCCCGGAATATAATGGGTCAGCCCTTCCTTTCCAGTGGGTGTCGTTAGAGGAAAATAAGGGAAATGGTTGAAGGTTGGGCAGGGGAGTCCCTCTTAAAACATCACCAAAAGCCTAACTGTAATTGCCAACTCGCCTGCCAAGTATGGCAGCTATTGGCAAAACCCCCTTATGAAGGAGGCCTATGTTCAGCTGTGGACAGTCAACAGCTAATATGACGATGATGAGTCTTGCATCTAAGAATACATTATTATACTGAAAAATAATTCATTAATGGCAGGTATACAATAGATGTGACATTAGTAGAACAAACTACGCCAATGCAATAAATCTAATGGTTCTAACATGCATGAAAATATTGATCGGCATTCGGATTTTTAGGCGATCGAGTAATACTCGATCAACGTAAAGTATTTTGTGAACTCGAATGTAAGGACTCTATACACGGTCAAGCAATTAGAATCAAAGCCTTAATATTCTCGTTCCAAAAGTGGAACGGTATTGTTCCAGCTTCATCTTTTATCGACTTACGCGACTTGATTGTGTGTAGACGCCTTAAATTTTTGTCATTCGATTTTTTTTTAATGTTGACCCAATAATTGTTGCTATACCTGTAAAGTATGGGAATAGCGACCTCAACGCAAGATTTTTATTATGTTAATAAAATTTTGACACGAAAACCAATTTTATTAATCTTACTAATAAGATCAGTTTTAAGATAGGTATTTTAATATTAATGTACGCTAGGCCATAATTTTACCTACAAAACTACACTAATATTAAAAACATAAAGAGTTAGACTACGCATTCGGCCAATAATAGCGTGTATTAGACATTTGAGCTGATATAAACTGAGGTAAAAACATTTTCTACATTTCATTTTCACTGATTCAAATGATTTTCAAACTTACTATAATAGATTTATGTAAAATAATGTTTTTTGTCAATTTATATCACCAAGCGCAGTAACCCGGTGTCCAATACCTGCGGCGGCGGTCCACGCGCGCGATTCTCTGCCCGAACCCTTGTCCTGAGACCTGCGGCATCACATCATTTGAATACACAACACGACAAACATACTTCTTGTCCCAGACACCGGCTTCAATGTCTTCGCCTTTTAAAAATTAAAAGGCATGCAAGCATTCACAATTCAATGACTCGAAATTCAAACTCATTCTAGAATTTTGTCTTTATATTTTATGAAAATTTTAAATTAAGAATTTCTCAATAAACAGGAAAGGGAAATGGATTTCATTTTGGAATTTAATTAATTTATTTCTCATTGATAGTTTATACTGTAAAATAAAACAAACCATTACATTATTCAATGTAATATCCGACACTAGGACTGAAACCAATTTCCCCTAATAATGTATAGGTAAAAATAGATTATACTTTCCACATTCCTTTGATTACTATATTTCATCACTTCTTCATTCAGTACTAGTCTTATCTTGCCCCTAGTGGTACTACCACACTTGCTACCGTCTAATGGTCTAATGAAGTAATTAAAAACGCCAATTGCAAAATTTTCTGTTTATTAAAATATCAACCCCTTTCTTTTTCCGGAGACTAATATGTAAAGAAGCTAAATCGTTTTAAAAAGACACTCGTAATATCTACTTAATATCTGAAATATAAGAGATGAGTTGATACAAATTTATTTAGATAATTAATGTATTTAATGCTTACCCAGCTGGCGCTATAGGTCGCAATTGCAGTTGATTTGGTGTACCATCTGATAGTCTCTTTTGCCCTCTCGCCTCTGGTCCACTTATATTTTTTGAAGACGTAGATGTATTCTGCAATTATTTGAAACAACACTAATTATTGCAATTAAAAAAAGAAAATAACGTTTTAAAAATTAATTACAAATTATAATATGTATAAGGATGTTCAGCAAAAATGTTAAATTACTGCAAAGATTATCATAAAGACAAACAGTGCAACATTACCTATATGAAAAAGAATAATAACACCTACCAACCAGCATTAGAAACAAAAAAAAAATTAAGATTTGTAATAACAAAAATGTAGGCAAAAAAGTATTACAGTGTCCCTTTACCTATATTAGTTCTAAAATATTAGTAACTTTAGAATTCAAATCACCACATGTTGGAATTTATGTTAAATTGTTTAATAAAATATAATAATCTATTTGTAAACATACAAAATTATTATTATTATCATGAAAATGGGAAAAATTATTAGCAAATGAACATGTTTATAGTAAACAGAGAATAGGAAGCTACAACATTGATGCACAGTGAAGGAAGGCTACATCTAAACATGATGCTCACTGATATAATCTGTGGAGACGATGCTTGTCCGGTTGATATAATATTTATCAAAGAACCACTGCTGACTATAGGCTGTTGAAGAATTGTAAACAATTTAAAAAAAAACTACCATTAATTAATATTATGTAAAGAATATTTCTTTAGCTACATTGATTAGTTTGGGACAAGATGGTTCTACTTGAATTATGTTTACATTATAACAATTTCTTATTAATTATTTGAAATATGATTTTTTAAATAATATTTTATTAGGCTGATAACAAATTACAACGTGTTGCTGATACAGTCAATTAAAAAATTATACCTCTTATATAAAACACATATTTCACACATCTCTTTCTCTTAAATAAGATTCTTAATTTAAAATGGAACTTTAGATTTAACATACTATAAATATTATCATCTTTCTGCCCTTGTTCCATATCTACTTGTGATCAGACTGATATGTCATTCAACTTTATTTGCTGACATTATTTACTCTGTTCCTGGCCATATCATTACACTTTTACACAGTCTATTCATCTCATTATCTTACAATCATCAACATTCATACTTAACATCTTTCTTACCACATTTCCTTCAGTTTCTTCTCAATTTCTCTGTCACTGAATCTAGAATTTCTGTTTCACAAGAATGAATAAGAGGGACTTCTTATTTAGGCTTGCCATATCATACAATAAAAATACCAATAAAATATTACATTATTCCTAAATTATAAATAAAATACATACCTTTTGATTGAGCTGCATAATAGTGCCAGTAGCTTGTAGCTGCTGCAACTGAGCAGCGCTTAACGGTAAGGATGTTTGTGGAAGACCTCCTGCTGGTGCTATCTGTACATTGATAATGATAAATATGAATAATTATTAATTATTTCTGTACAATATATTTTTATTAAATCTGTTTACACAGCTACTAACTTGAATATTTGTTTTCTTGAAATAATCGCAAACTATGAAACATATTATGACAAGTTAAATAAAAAATATTAAACTTAAAAAAAAATTTTAAACTTTTGTTCTTATTTTTTTTATCAATGATATCAATAAACATTTTTTTTACTTTTTTTTTAAGTATCATTTCAAAACAATTTGCATGATATAAATGATCTTTAGAAGCCAACAAAAAGAGAACCAACTTTCATAAGTTACCTGTCTGTGTTTTGATTTAAATTTATCTATATAAAGAGGAAAGATTTGATTGTTTGTTTATAACGGGTAAACTTAAAAACTACTCAAACGAATTTAAAAATTCTTTCACTTATTGACTATTACATTATCAGACAGTAACATAGTATATATATTATTTTTGTTAGTCTATCTATATCTGTGCAAAGCAGAGTTGAATCATTACTTTCATATAAAACTGTCAATCTTAGATTGAGTTCTATACATCCAACATTGTTTATTTCATTTAAAAAAAAAACTCTAACAACAAAAATTTTGAGTACTTACAGAAACAAATTGTTGCGACTGCAAGTTGGCTAAGCCCGATTGACTAGAAGTCAAATCTTGCAGCTGTTGATACGGTATGAGCATAGTCTGTGACCCTGGGACTGTCCACTGCACAGTATCAGAGCCCTGTATGTGATATTTCACATCTTTATCTCCTTTATCTGTGCTGTATAAGATTTTCTGTGAGGCATTTGTACTTGGGGCAGCACAGACCACAGGAGTAGCAGTGGCAGAGCTTACAGTTGTAGTATCGGCAGCTGAAAGGCTCGCTTGTGGAAAAGACAGCCCATTTGGCAGTATCATAGACATAGAAGAAGGTACTCCGCTCAGCCGCAATTGTGTCACATTAACAGGCTGCATGCTGGATATATCAACAATTTGGGTAGCCCCAAAATTTGGTTGTTGTAAACCTAAAGATTGTGCTATAGGCAACGAGGTGAAATTGGTGTTTGAAACTTGAACACCAGGCTGGACTATAGGTATTAGCTGTCCATTTTCTTGATTTAACACATACTGTTGTTGGGGCAGAAGTTGTAAGACTGTAGGTTGACGCATGGTCATCAGCGGTGTACTTGCTGGTGCGACACTCACTACTGGAGGGATGACCGTGTGCTGTGCTGATGTCAACGTCGACGAAGTTGGCAAGGAAACAGTGACGACTGGTGGTGGAACTGACATGGGAGTACTCGTTGTAGTTAACGTAGGCGGGGGAACGTTCAGCGACGGTGGAGGCCCTCCGGCATGAGCAGCGCTCCATTGCGCCAATTCAGCTCGTATAGTCTCAATAAGATTCTGTGCTAACGCCCGCGCGGCCGCTAGTGATTCCGCTCTTGTATGATGCAATGCTAAATGCAACGGTTCAAACTTATCTCCTTTTAAAACCGCTGTAACTCCTGTTTCAGACCGTATATATTCTAAGTTTGTGCTATTCTGCAAAAGGAATGCAGTTTATTAGCGGATTTTTATAAAATCTAATCGTTTATTGACAAAAGGCAAAGAAAACTTACTGGTCCTAGAATGCGACTTTTTATGTCAAATGCAGTCGGGGCATTATCCAAACCTATGTAAACCTTATCTAAAAGACCACCAGACATTGTTTTTAAGAAATTTTCCTAGTAGTTAATTATAATTATTTAAATTTTACAAGAAGCATTTTCTAACTCGTTATAGAAAAAACGTAAACGAGTGATCGTTTGACATTTGGAATTACAGTTTAGAAATCAAGTTTAAAAAATTAATAAAGTACAAAGTTAGTTTAATAAGTTTAATATAAAAAATAAAAATAGATTATGGATAATGTAAAATGTATCATTATTTCTTGCAAAAAAGTGCAAAAGTTGTATATTTTATAATATTTTTTATGCAAAAACATATAAAATTGTGAGACTTTTTAGAATATGATATTTTTGAACGAAAATTGAGAATTTTATTATTATACATATTTTTAGAGTAGCGATGTGCGAATCCGAATAATTTTTCCATTCAATGTAGTTGAATTAAAAAATTAGTAAATACTAATATAATAATTCGACTACAAAATTAGTAATATACTAATTTCCGTAATATAATGATTTTACTAATTAATAACTAATTACAACAAAGTCCTTTCTCTGAATCTATTTACAGCATTCCACAGTCTTTATGACTGTGGATTAAGTGCATTACTTAATAATAAGTAGTACATTACTATCCTAATAAAAACGACGATGAAAAAAAAAACGCCACCTAGTAATAAAATATAATTTTTCTATCGAATATTGGTACTTTTTACTAAATTCTAATTGACAATACTCTTATCCAATAAAAATTGAGTCATTTCAACGATCGGGTCGACTGGACTATATTCGTATCGACTCGTATATTAATGACCACTAATGAATGATAATTAGTTGTGAAATGAATCAAATGATATTAGTACTCGGACAACATTAGTAGTCGATTTATATTAGTAGTCGGATAAATAAAATTAGTAGTCGAATTATTTCAAATTCATTCGATAAATCTTAATGATAGGCTCGGTCGAATTAATAAAGTTTCTCATCGCTATTTTAGAGTTGCATAGCAAAAATGCATAGGAACCTTTATGATGCGACTTTGTCCTTTCGTCCTTCTGTCACAACGTTATATCTAGGTATATAACGCTATAGTGATGGGACTCGATTGATTTTTTTTCACTCGAGTCACTCGGTACTGATAAGTTACTCACTCGAATGCCACTCGAGTGAAGATAAAACTCAAGTGATTTTTATTGACTCGAGTCACTCGGAATATAAAACTCGAGTGACCAATATTTTAAAACGAATAAAACAGTATTAATTTTACATAGAAAATGTGTATTCATTTTCTCAAAAAAAAAAAAATCTAAACAAAATGTAAAAAATAGATTTTTCCTTCAAACTAAACCTGTCATACATAATCAAGAAACCTCTTGTATCAACTGTCAGTCAAATTAAAATATTATAATCTACTACTAATAAGTTTTAATCCAATTTAATTTATTCTAACAAGGAACTTTCATGAGATCTAAATATGAACAGTTTTATTATGTTCTTACACAATTTATGTAATAATATACGTGTTTTAAAATTAACTTAAATAAAACTTAAATAAACTTAACAAAAAAAAAAAAACAGAAATAATGTATTTTTAATGAGATAACAAATTTAACTGAAATTGGTGTAATAACTACTTTAAAAAATTGAATTGATCAATTTTTCCCCTACCAAACGGCTTCGATAATATCGACTTCAGCACACTTGCTAAAATAATAGAAGAATGTTTCTCCGTAACCTCTCTAGTAGTAATAGTTTGCGAAAAAAGTTTTGAATTATAAGTATTGTAATAGTTGGGTATGCTTTATTATTGTCAGAAGTCCATAAATCTGTTGTAGCAGCCGTATATTCAACTAAATGTAGAATATCTACAATTATAGTGCGTGCGGCATGATAAGCATCAGGAAGAATTTTCTCTCTTAAAAGTTTCCTGCTACCGCGGGTAAACTTGTCACAATTTGAATTTTTCACTCGGCTCGGTATAAACTGCTCGAGTAGTACGAGTCAACTCGAGTCACTCGTAATTCGAGTCAAAAATTTAACTCGAGTGCAAGTAATATAAAAACTACTCGAGTCACTCGAGTGAAAAGCAACTCGAATCCCATCACTATAACGCTATGACAGACGGACTATTATTGAAAATGTTACATGTATATAACTATTACAGATAACGTTATAACAAGTTGATGCTGATATCAAACTGAAATTTGTTAAAGTAGTTTTACATACATTAACCCGCACATATTGCATAGGAAATAATTGCAAAAATATGTTTTATTTTGCTTTGTCTCGCTAGTACCCCGCCAATGACAAAAAATAAAAATGAGAGTTGTTTTTTCTTAAAGAAAAAAAGTAAAAGAAAATAATATTTAAATAACAATATTATTCCCTCGATGGTATTACTGTACCTTATATAATATTGACCTCGTCGTCACCATTTGACGGTCATGAATTTGATTCTACACAATAGATATATTCTGTTACGGACGTGGCGGTCTTTATTAATATTATAAACAGGGGGGAAAGGGATTGTTAGTAATAGAGACTGAGAATCCCATTGCTAGCAATATATCCAACCAGGTCGACCTCCTCGCGGTTCCCCCTGGAAACTATCATGGTTAATTCTTAGTGAATTCATCATGATAGGCTAACTGGCCTGTTTTCATTCTCATCTATCACCCTTCACTGGTGCTCCGCCAGCGTATCCCGTTAGCGCAGACGGGGTTACCATACTACGAGGTCTGTCCGGAAAGTTCGTATAAAAGTGTTCTGGAATGCGAGAAAGAGGAGTGGGGAGGCCAGGTAAGCGCAGGACCCCTTCCTTATGTCCCTAACAATGCTTCAGTTCTGGTCTGACCGCCGTGCGGTGCGAACTGGCTTGTCACGCCATCTGTGAAGTTACCTCTTAACGAAACCCCGTCGGCATGGAGCCCGCTTCCGTTGAAGAGCAGCGCGTCGTAATCAAGTTTCTCTCGAAACTCGGCAAGAATGGCCGTGAAATTTTTCGATCTCAGAACAGTTTATGGGGATAACCGTCCACAAGTGGCTAAAAAGATTCAGAGAGGGCCGAGAAAGAGTTCGATGTTCGGGGGATTGTCCATCAAGAATTCGTCCCTCCAGGCCAGACAGTTGATGGAAAATTCTACGTTTTCAGACGCCTCAAAGCTCGTGTGGCACGAGTTCGTCCAGAATTGGCGCGAGAGGGGCGTTGGATTCTTCACCACGACAATGCCCCTGCCCACACCTCTCTTGTTGTCCGTGAGTTTTTGAGTAAAAATTCCATTACGGTGACCGAACACCCCCCCTATTCGCCGGATTTGGCCCCGTGTGACTTCTTCTCGTTCCCAAAAACCAAATTGGTACTTCGGGGGCGGCATTTGGGGGACATAAATGAGATAAAAAAAGCTACGATGGGGCAGCTGACAAACCTACAACCAGAGGACTTTCAAGGAGCCTTCTCACAGTGGAAACGGCGTTGGCACAAGTGCATTATGTCACAGGGGGAGTACTTTGAAGGGGATAAAATTGATTTACCTGAATAATTGTAAAATAAAATTTTTAAAAACTTTTATACGTACTTTCCGGACAAACCTCGTATTTTCACCCTTCAAAAAAAAATTATAAACATCATAAATAATGCGGACGAAATTGCGTGTAAAAGATGTCATTATTTCTTCTTCTGCCTGCATTTTTCCATTATTCGACTTCAGTTTTCCTAATCACGTAGCGGCATATGTTCCTATTACACTGTTCCTCCTCCACAACATTCCACTGTTTCATATCTCCATGAACTATTGCTAGTCATTATATATATTATAATTTTCCCCTTCCCCTTTTTAACCTCAATTTTACCTGGGTGAATCAGTATGTTAAATATTCTATGTACTAAATCAGTATATAACCTACCTGTGTATCAAATTTCATTCATCAGTAAATAGATCAGTAAATTTTGCGTTAAAGTAACAATCATTCTTCCGTGTATCCGCCGTAACAAAGTTTTGCATTTGTAATATTAACAGGATTTAGTTTTTTTTTCGTTTTGGAAAAGCTATTCCTCTAAGATTTGAAGACTGACGCGTTTACTAAATTTGCTTAGTTTGGGAATAGATATGTATGATATAACGGTATTTACTTATAACAAATTGATTTTAGATTATGGGCTTTATTATAGAAATGTACACCAAATTGCTATAGGCATGGGTTTGTACATTTTTTTTTTTTTTTTTTTTTTACAACACGGGGCAAACGAGCATGCGGCTCACCTGATGGTAAGTGACTACCGCCGCCCATGATCACCCACAACACCAGCGGCATTGCAGGTGTGCTGCCGGCCTTTTAAAAAGGAATATACTCTTTTCTTGAAGGTTATGTTGTCGTATCGGTTCGGAAATACTGCTGCTGGAAGTTGATTCCAAAGAATGGTTGTGCGTGGAATAAAGTGCCTTGAAAAACGCACGGTGGAAGACCGCCACTCGTCCAGATGATTGGGATGAAACTTTAGTTTGTGGCGGGTTGTACGGTAGTGAAAATCAGCAGCAGGTATCAATCCGAGCAATTCCTCAGAACACTCCCCATGATAAATTCGGTAGAAGATGCACAGAGATGCAACATCTCTGCGCAGTTTCAATGGGTCAAGTCGGACAGTAAGGCGTTGACTATCGATAATTCGAGCCGCCCGACTTTGAATGCGGTCTAACGGAAGGAGTTGGTACTGTGGCGCTCCTGCCCACAGGTGAGAACAGTATTCCATATGCGGCCTGACTTGGGCTTTATATAATTTCAGGCGGTGTTCTGGCATGAAATATCGTCTCACCCTATTGAGCACTCCTAACTTTTTGGAAGCTATCTTAGCCTTCTCCTCCAGATGACCGCAAAACTGGACGTCGCAAGATATATCAACGCCCAGAATTCCTAGACTTGACTTTTTATCGAGGGAAGTGCCCTGAAAGTGAGGAGATACGACAAACGGCGTCTTTTTTGCGGTAAACGCGCAGACTTGTGTCTTTTTGGGGTTAAATTGGACAAGATTTTGTTCACCCCAGATCGAAACTTGATGGAGTGAAGTTTCGATTTCAGCAAGTCTATTCCGGCACTCATCGGTATGTGCCCGCGAGATCTTTGCATGACCGGTATATAATGTATCTCCTGTACTGTCGTCCGCATAGCAATGAATATTACTTATCTGTAACATATCATTGATATGCAGAAGAAACAGAGTCGGAGATAGTACACAGCCTTGCGGGACACCAGCATTCAAAGGTTTTAAATCAGAGCATGCACCGTCGACTACGACCTTAATGCTACGTTCCTTGAGAAAACTGGCGACCCAAATGCACAGTCTCGCAGGCAACCCAAATGAAGGTAGCTTTGAAAGCAGCGCTCTATGCCACACCCGATCAAAGGCCTTCGCAATATCCAGACTAACTGCTAAGGCCTCTCCCTTACTCTCAATTGCCACTGCCCATCGGTGTGTTTTAAAAGATCCGAACGTCCCTGTCGAAAGCCGTATGGCGATCACAGATCAGCCGGTGCTCTTCTAGGTACCGGAGCAGTTGACGGTTAATGATGGATTCCATAACCTTCGAGAATAAGGAAGTGATAGCTATGGGCCTATAGTTAGCTGGATCTGAGCGATCTCCCTTTTTAGGGATCGGATGCACCAGAGCAGTCTTCCAAAACTTTGGGACTATGCCCGATGAGTAGCTAAGCCGAAAAAGACGCGTAAGAACCGGAGCCAACTCTGGTGCGCACGTCCTAAGCACAATTGGAGGAATACCATCAGGCCCACTCGACTTATGGATTTCGAGGGAGAAAAGTGCTCTACGCACTGAGCTATGCGTGAATTTAATGTCAGGCATAGAGCTCCTACAACACGTGATGGTCGGTGGTGGTTTCTCCCCGTCATCCAATGTCGAGTTTGACGCAAAGATGGATCCAAGAAGATCGGCCTTTTCTTTAGCGTTCTGGGCCAACGAGTCATCCTCCCTGCGCAAAGGTGGAAAAGATGACTTACAGAAATTCCCTTGTGCAGCTTTGGCAAGAGACCAGAAAGCTCGAGTCCCAGAGGGCAAACTAGCCAATCTCTTGCCAATTCTACTAATATGCTCTGACTTCGCTGTGGCTATAACTCTTTTGAAGGACCTAGAGGCAGAGTTATACTTCTTTTTAAGAGCACTGGTGTTAGGATCTCGCGACGCCACACCTTTAGCCCAGGTTAGGAAGCACTCCTGTTTCAGACGAGATGCTGTTCTACAGGAGGCTCCATACCAGGGCTGGGATTTCCCGCCGACGGGCACCACAGAGTTAGGAATAAATAATTCCATTCCCTGAAGCACCACATCAGCAATGGAATCGGCAATGGCGTCGGGATCATCCAGTGTGAAGCAAACCTGCCTCCATGGGTAAGATGCGAAAAAAATCCGCATCTCATCCCAATCTGCCGACCTGTAATGCCAAATGCGACGTCTACCCGTAGAACGAGGTGGAGTCGGACTCGTAAGAGGCACTTCGCTCCGCACCAAACAGTGATCCGACGATCCAAGCGGGGCTTCGACGGAGATCACATAGTTGTCTGGGTGGGTGGTCAGCAGAAGGTCCAGCAGTGAAGGTGAATGGTCCAACACATCAGGGATTTGCGTAGGCGAGGAAACAAGCTGTGTCAGACCATAAGCCAAAGCAAAGTCATGAACAGATCTTCCCGCATAGTCGGTTGTACGCGAACCAAGCCATTCGGCATGGTGGGCATTAAAGTCGCCAACAATCACGACTTCAGCGGAAGGAATCTGCTCAAGCAGGGAATCTGTAGCCATTTGGACGTGCTCAATAAGTTGGTCGGTTTCAGTGTTACCGCTGTGGGACCTGTATAGGCACGCATAGATGCGGGGATGGTCATTGCAATCTACGCGCAGCCATAGAATGGACAGGTCCGTACCTTCAAGAGTCCCAAGGCGTCGACAGCAGATATCCTCTCTGACATACACACATACACCGGCACGCGAAACAAAACAATGTTCAAGCTTATACCCCGGGTAGGTCAGGTATGATGTTTCGTTAGGAGGGGATATCTGTGTCTCCGTGAGGAAGAGCAATGCCGGCCGCGCCGTTTCTAGGTGGTGGTGGACAGCGTTCAGGTTTGAATGAATTCCCCTAATATTACAGAGGCTCACATTGAGCAAAGGGGATGCCGCAGAAGTCTTGCTCTGTTTGCCCTTGGTCCCATAGAGCGGAATTTTGCCCCCCAGAATACGCAGGGCAGCCCGAGCGTGGTTGCTCGAGGGAGGATTCTCCAGCAACATGGCTGCTGGTACCTCCCTGGGGTACGTTATTTTTTAAATTCCACTGCCATGGTATTGAAAGATGGGGGGACGGAGTTGGGGGAGGATTTTAGGATAAGGAAGGGGATGGGTATAGGATGGGCCTCCGGACTCCCTCACTCACCATACGGAATGTGGTCGCACTAAAAGTGCGGCCACTTAGCGTCGGTATTCTGTGAGGGTGTGGTACTTCCCCGGTCGAGCCGGCCCATTCATGCTGCAATACCATATGGTATTACAGCGTGGCTCTACCACCTATTAAAATAACATAACATCTGTCATATTACATGACCACATCAACATAGATTAGTTCCCCCTCAATTTCTTGCACATTATAAACGCTCCATGATTGAAATAAAAGACATTTTGCATAATAATAATAATATATATTTCTACAAAACATGATATGCTGACTATATCGTTACACAAATGTAAAAATATAATGTTTTTATCCTCTGTTTTAACGGAGCTCTTTACACTTACATATATATAGATTTTTGGGTTTCTTACACAAAGTATATATTATAAAATAACTTTTATGAATATATTATTATGTATTATAAATTTATATTTTGTCATGTTGTCTCATTTTCACATACAAGTTATTCACAGATCTTTAAGGCTTTACAAATAAATTGTTTCTTAATAATGTTAAGCTCGTTAGTAAAATAACAAGAAACTCAGTGACAGCAAATCAAGAGACAAAGAATAGACTCGATACCAATAAATTAGGTGGGGAAACTTAACGTCGTTAGGTATTTGTGATACATACAACGAAAATGATTTCATAACAAACTTAATACTTCATAAATCACTTATTCCTAAAATCACCCAATATCCTAAAATCTATATTAAAAATACAGGACTAGAAGATCAAAAATATTTTTTTTTACAGCAATATCTTCTTAACCGAGCAAATTAAGGACGGAGAGTGCACTCCAAGCTCTTATATTCTGATTAACGATGTCGTGAAGAAGACTTTAATATCACTAGTAATATCTTAAAAAGTTAGTGCATCCAATAATTACCCTGAATTCAGACAATTACTTAGTTCTATCCACTTGCACATTACCATAAGAATAAAATATCTAGGAAGCAGTGACACTGATTTGACTATTTTTGTGAGAGATTTTGCTGCTAAAATCAATTCTTCCTGTCAGATGCCGAATTCTGAATAGGGGTATGTAATTAATATTACAAATATTAATATGATTTAAAATTAAACACAGTATAAACCTGTACTTTTCTAATTGTAAGTTACAATACTAAAATAATTTGCTAAGCATTCTTTATAAAAAAATTACAGGGTGATATTGCAGCATATCTACAAATGATAAAGATGCGTGACCTGCTATTGTGACGTCCCGATTAGCAACCTAGGATTGTATTACTGAGTAGCCAGCCCTGATTACATAGGGACGTTAAGCCCAGCAGATACCCTCACTGATTACATTTTGAATTCGCGGGAGTGCCACTTCTATCCAATATTTATTATTCTTATGATATTACATTCAAACATTTGATAAAATTTTATATAGAGATAGTATGTTAGTAAGTTTATTAATGATAAGGATTTGTCCAAGTGGATGACAATTATTGTTTTTGTATTTATATTGTATGTATTTTGATGCTTTTATTTAATGTCTAATGCTTGTAACAGGTTAGGACTCTTCTGCCTTGAGGTAGATGGATTGAAAGGAAAAATATATACAATTGAGATTTTTAACTTAAATAGAGGTTCCAAGTTAATGTCTGAACTGAATATGTACCAAGATTTAGAACTCAGATTAAAATAGATACACCATAAATTACAATTTACTATGTCGTGGTTATCAAATGAGTAAAACATTGATTTTATATAAAAAGAGATTTGATTATAAAAATATATTAAGCTAGCTAACTGACCTATTTTATCATATTGTTACTACATGAACATTCAAATTGTAACAACGTACATCACACTTTTTTAGCATATTTAGTTAACAGTATTGTTTTTTAACGAAATAATTAAGAAATTGACAATATTGTATACTAAATATGCCTTGTAAATATGTTTAACAATGCAGGTCAGTCGTCAGCTTTATTAGGTTTCGATTCTGCCAATAACAATCTATTACTACTCACAAGTGTTTTACGGTAGATCCAATTTCTCAACATCTATTCATCTAGTACAAATATGTATGTAACCTTTTTCCATCTAAATCATATGAAATTTTCTACGTAGCTCGCGTCATATTGTCCAAAATTACTTCCCATTCAGCGTGATACACTGAATTTTGAACACATTAGTTATAATATCATTCTCACGGAGTCTCACTTGCCTTCAAATACTTTAAATACATTTAGAAGCCACTTTTGGCACTTGTTACATTAACAACAGTCATAGAGTATGTTTTATTGATATCCTGATAGAAAATATAAATGTGTTATCTTTGTGTTACCACTTATCATACATCTCTAATGAACTTGATAAGGTGACGGTGAAGGAAACAGGATTGAACAATTTTATGAACTAAATAACAAAGTCATTAAATGACAAAATGATTAGGGGGTAAGTACTCTGCATGATTTATGTAATGTTAAATACTAATACACTAAGCGATTCTAAGTTTAACTTATATTAGTAGGTTTTGCAGCATAAAAATAGCCTTCTTTGTTTCACTGTAGATAGAGCAACATGTTATAAACTTAACAATCTTTCTATAATTGTTATTGTTAAAATTATAAAACAAAATAAAAATAAAAATCAGATAAAAACGTAACCAACAGTAGGTGAATGCGTACAGCATTTGCTTATATTTATAGTTTAATAAAAATTTATCTTAGTAACTAAACCCAGGGTTCCCAAAGTATGAACGTCTGCATCCTGATGCGCCGTAAAAAGTAAAGAGGGGCGCCGTGAGTCGATCCTCTATTTCTATTATTATTATCTGAAACCACAAATATTCGCGGGTACCTTTTTTGAACGCTCCCATCGTATTGTTAATGTTTATTGTTCTTATCTATCTAACCTAACTTTTATTGTTGTTGGTATTGTATTTATTTCTTTCGATTATCTTTACCAAATAGCTAGGTCGGACGAAGTGACAAAATACTACATTTGTAACTGCGCCGCGGGATGAAAAAGATTGGGAACCCCTGAACTAAACAATAATTTTATACGCGAGGAAGTAATTAATACATTTTATAGAAGACGAAAACCCACAATTCCATTGTAGTTTACTTGTGCTATAGGGTTTGATTCTAAAATGATACATCAATTAGCTACCCGTGACGTGGACAATATCTAACATTTTCTCGATGTTTCTCAACATAATACCAAGTAAAGGTAGCTAGACATCGTCCTCGCGATACCTGTTTTCTATGTCGCTAATTTTTATATTCTTCCTCTTAAAAAACAAACAAACACGCGCCATCAAATATTAACTCCGGGTTAGAAGTGCAAAAGATGGAGATGATATCGTAGATGACATCACTTCCATGGAGTAAAATGGGAGGAGTGAAAGCATGGAAGATCATTACAGCAGGTGGCTGCAGTTATTCCATAGGTTTTTAGGGGAGAAGGATTGTTAGTAATAAGGACTAGTAATGCCATTTTTAGGAATATATGTCACGTTGACCTCTATGCGATCCTCTCTGGAAACTGCAGTGGTTAATTCTTGATGAAATGTTCTTGACTGACTTGCCTTTATCCGCATCTATTACCTTTCATCAATCAGGGTTTGCATATAGACGATAAATGGAATGGTAATCCTGTCTGTGCTATTGATGTACGCTGGTGGGGTACCAGCGAGGGATGACAGGTGAGGATAAGGCCCGTCAGTCAGTTTATCACCACAAATTCATCAAGAATTTATTATGATAGTTTTCAGGAGGGACAGCGCTGAGGTCCACCTAATGATGGTGAATATATTGCTAACAATGGAGATTCAAATCCTGATTATTTACAATCCATTCACCACTTTCAAGGAGTTCAACCCATTAGGAGTTAAACTTCTTGAAAGCAGGGCATTACTGCAAGCGATTCAGTAATCCCGTGGAGACGGGGCATTGTTACAGACAGCAGTAATGACTTATAGGCGCGGAAATCAGGCGGGGCGTCACTGCAAGCGGGCGCAGCGCGAACAATAGTCCCCGTTGGCAGGGCTACCGTAGTACATGCAGAGTGGCGCGCGGCACGGTTTGGGTGACGGCGGACGGTCGTCGTAGAAGGTGGATTTGCTCAGGTAAAGAGTCCGGTCACGCTTGACTTCACCGGCGCCGGTGGTCCCTTTGGCACCGGTACGGTCAGGCTCCGCGTAGAACTGCGAGCGGCCAGTGCCGTACCGCGGCGCGCCGGGTTCCACTTCTTTACGGTTCTTTTCTGCTGTGTACCTGTACGGAATGAATGAGATATTAATGACACGATTTCTATAAACATTTAAAAATATTTTTCAAAATTACATATCACCTTGCTTTTGATTTCCGTTTTTTTTGTATATTAATCATTAATTAGTGTCACGATGTTCAAAGAACATTACTTACGAGTTTCATTGTGAGTTTCTATACTTTTAAATCAATTATTAGATTTATATCAAATTTATAAAAAATCATATATCTTAATATATACAATCGTGTGTTAAAATCGTTAATTGCTGATCACGGAAATCGCTCAACAAATTTTAATGAAATTTTGTAAATGCGTATTGTTTCCTTGAGAAATAGGATAGTTTTTATCCACATAACAAAAGCTATATTGCAAAGTAAAAAAAAAAAAAAAAAAAAAAATGTGAAGAAAATGTATGTTTCTAAACTCACCCAATCCAAGCCTCATTAAGGTAATTCTTGACCATCTCCTCTTGCACGGGCGCCCTCGCCGCTAGTACTCTGCAGCAGAGCACCTCGCACGTGGATTGCCGCCTCATCAGGCCCTCTTCAGGGTTGCTCTGACTGCCGCTGCTCTTCCCCGTCAACTTGGCCATAGAGCCGAAATTCTTCTTTATTTTACTGCTCATAGAGCGACCGATGCTGCCGAATTGTTTCGCTACCGAGTTCAGTTGCTTCGAGCTCTTCGTTGACAAGGCGTCGAGGGATCTTCTCAGTTCTTCCGGTGGCTGGTTTTGCGTGAGACATTCGACTCTCTCGAGATCAAGATAAGCTGCCAACATTGCGGATCGCTGGTACTCGTCAGGGAGAAGGTTGTTTATTGTTTTCTGGTCGGGCTCCACGTCCCAGCGGAAGTCCTCGCCGGGGTCCACACTGAACCTGTAATACAGATAATTTATGATATGTACTCTATAATACTCATTGCAGGGTGTCGTCAGTGGATGCAGGTGGCTCAGGACTGTTCTTTGTGGCAGTCTATGGGGGAGGCTTATGTCCAGCAGTGGACGAACAATGGCTGAAATGATGACTATACTACAATGATTAATCATGTAATTACTCATGTGATTAATCATGTAATTGCGCATACTGCCCGCTAATAATTAATGCTTCTTTCCACTCAGGGTTTGCTGGAAGAGAACTCTTACAGAGTTAAGCTCGCCTGTTGTACATCTTTATTTTATATATATATATTATATGTTGTAATTTTTTCTGTGTACAATAAAGAATAAATAAAATAAAATAAAATAATTTAATGTTTAGGAAATTGATTGACATTTTCAGTAGAGACAATATGAATAAATTTGCTTCAATTCACGTAATGGTACCATAGCGACTCAGTTGTTCAAACTACTCGCATTCTCATCTTTAGAACGGTGTCCATTTTAATGCTGGTAATATGTTTAAATAATTTAAGTGTTAAATTTATAATATTCATGTTATAATTAATATGATAAAATCGTTTTAACATTTAATGATGATATTTTCAAGTATGATTTAATAGAGTCTACTTAGAGGCATAATATCATCTTCAATGAGACAAATGTGACATTTGTTTTAACAAAAAAGAAAAAAAATTCTAGCCTACCATACAAACACTCAAAAATATATTCTAGTGAGTTTCTGCTCTCTTATTAGATTTTGGTTAAATACAGTAATAAAATTTATTAAGTACTAGCCGTATCATGGGTCTCCGCCCGTGTGAATTACTACATAAAACATCCTGTTTACTAAGTTAGAATATAGCCTGCGTATCAAAATTATTTTTGTTCGTTCGTTCGTTCGTAATATAATTCGTTCAGTAGTTTTAGCCTGAAAGAGTAACAAACATCCACCTATTCATACATTACAAACTTTCGCATTTATTATATTAATAGAATTTTAGACCAAGCTGTGCTCTGTTTTTTCGCATTACAAATGTCACATCTATATATACATATAATAAAACTGTAGAGGTCGAATGTCTGTACATAGAAAATTAAAAACTCTAAAAACCGTGTCAGAGGGATGTTAGAAGTGAAATAGAATACATCTAGATTTTTTAATTTTTTTGTTTCTCTGTATGTTTGTACGGGCTAATCTCCAAAACCGTTGGCCCAATTTAATTAAAATTTTTGCATGATAGTACTTTACATCCCGGGTCATATTATATAAGACTTAAATCACGAAAATTAAAGAGTTCCCGAGGGATACTTAAAAAACTGTAATAACTTATACTACTTAGTTTAAGACATTTTGACTTAAGGCAAAAAGTGAACGTGAAAAAAAAGAACGACATGTCATTTGATAATTTTGGTCTAGTACTCCCAGACATAATAAATAGGTAGGTACATACATCGATATATGAGTATACTAAACAAGAATAACAAGTACCGCACAGACAAAGATGCTCGCGGTATCAGCTAGTATTATATAAGATATAAAAATATGCATCATATTTATGATGCATAATTATAAGCATACCTTATCGGCATAGGGTTCCCCGCTTGATCCTCTAGCGGCACCCTCGCGCCATCTGTGGGCAGTGGCTCGCACGGTACCAGGGCGGAGAAATGGCCCGCGTCGTATGCCAACAGTATTGGTGCTTTACTGCACAATTCTGGCTCCAGTTCCAGAGGTAAGTACACGCCTCCGAAAGGTATCGGGGCTATGGGGTCACCGCGGAAGTCCTGTAAAAACATAATAATAATAGATTTCTTGAATAAGATTGAAATTCTTTATCTATAATAATAAGAGAAAACAATAATTACAATTAGACATATTTCGATGTCAATATTGACGAAAGAATGAACGCTTCATCTACTTTTTTTACTTTCTTATGTATATCAACCCTGTTGTGCATACACCAGAGGGAGACTTTGTACAAAAGTCGATTGCTTGGGTACCTCTATCCCATTCGTGTTTCTACCGTGAAGCAGTTGTTTGCATGGTTGTGTTTCGGTTTGAAGGGTGGGATATGGCGTGAATTTACAGGGTACAGAGGAATAACATCTGAGTCCTCAGGAATGGCAACGTATAGGCGGTATCATGGGCGAAACAGTATACTCTGTTATGTCCATGGTACTGCTCATGTCTATAGGCGACGGTTACCACTTTCCATCAGGTGGGCCATCAGCTTGTTTGCTATTCTAAGTAGCATAAAAAGGTCTTCAGCATTTGGTTTGATTTCCTTGATTATATTATAAGTTCAGTCTGTAAAGTTGAAACCGAAATTAAGACATCAAAAGCAAAAGAACCAAAGTGACTGTCATAACCCAAAGAATAGGGAAAAAGGAATTGTTAATAACGGAGTCTAATAGCCCCATTGCTAGCAATATACGCTATCAGGTCGACCTCCACGTGGTTCTCCCTGCAAAACCATTGTGGTTAATTCTTGTGAAATTCGTCACGATGGGCTAACTAACCTGCTTCCATCCTCACCTATCATCCCTCATTGGTGCTCCGCCAGCATATATCGATAGCGTAGACGGGGTTACCATTCCATTATCATCCAGAAAAAAATCCCCAAAAAATAAGCTAGCTAAAGTAGTAGTATGGCAGGTCACATAGCTCGTGGATGCAGGTGGTTCAGGACTGTTCCTTAGGACAGTCAAAAAAGAAAGGTCGCTATGTTCAGCAGCCGACAGATAACAGCTAATGATGATGATAATATAAATTCAGTCTACGTCGAGTTACGTGTATGTTAGCATACAATTTATTCATACAATCGATCTATATCTATTCCCGATCCCAAGATAAATAGACTACATATTTCATAAAATATATGCAGTTACAAATATCCGAGATATATTCGAATCTATGTCTATGGAAACAAGGTTAATTTTTCTGCATTCGTTTCAAATGACGTCACTTACACTGCTATTTAACAGCACCTATATGTAACTATGTCCAAATAGAGCCGAGCCTCTAATTTTGCTAATTAATATCTGCAAATAGAATGCCAATAGTGTGGATGGTATAATTGTACACATTTGGTATTTTATCACTTGATTTAATTTGATTGGTTTTTCCAATGAGTTTGCATGGAAGAACACTGCCACTATTGCATTTTTTATTTTGCACCATAATAATGAATTGTGTCATTCAATTTGGCATTCGATTTCAATGACGCAGTGATTGAATAGCTTCGCCTAATGAAGTGCTGGGTTCGATTCTCGGTCAAAAATAGGCCCATTTAGGAAACACTTTTAGATCGGTTCGGGTCTGGATGTATCGAGTTATTCCTTCAGATGATCATTGTTTGTTTCTTCATAACAAAAACAAGGTATCCTCAAGAATGGCAACGTATACAATATATAATTGTATTGTGAGTGACAGAATATACTCTGTTATGTCCATGGTACTGTTCATGTCAATAGGCGAGGGTTTCAACTTTCCATCAGGTGAACCGTTAGCTTGTTTACCATTCTATGTAGCATAAAAAATATTCAAAGCTCGAGGACCAGGTTGTGGTTGCGTGGCACTTTTAAATTATTTTATTAAACAAGGTGATATCTTGTAGAAGTCTATATTACTGTTTATTTGATTAGAATTATTTTGTTTAATTCTACTACCATTAGTATGTGTGCGACTGCCGACATTCGAAGATTAATCACCAATTAGTAGTGGTAGCTTCTGATACATGAACTACCAAATTAGCCATCAATCTCCGACCGCCATTTCGTCACACATTTTGTGACACGTGTTTCACCATTAAACAATGCACGTTCAGGCATATTATTAGATTGTGACTGAAAATTGTTTCGTTGAATGATAATAACAAACATGTTTATTATAACTGTGTGCGTTGAATAATACTTATAGAAAAAGAATGGTTTTCGAATTACGAGCCTCTGACACATGACGCTCATAAAAGAAATGATCTACAAAAATGGCGTCCGATTGGTATTGTGTGGTGGGCAGCAGCGGGTTCATCCACAACCCCTTACAGGGTTGCAGGTGCGGGTCTCGATTTTTTTTATGGGTGAAAATGGTATGGTAACCCCGCCTGCGCTAACGGGATACGCTGGCGGAGCACCAGTGAAGGGTGATAGATGAGAATGAAAACAGGCCAGTTAGCCCATCATGATGAGTTCTTTAGGAATTAACCATGATTGTTTCCAGGAAGAACCGCGAGGAGGTCGACCTGGTTGGGTATATTGCTAGCAATGGGATTCTGTTTCTATCACTAACAATCCCTTTCCTAAGGGGTTACAGGTGCGGGCCTCGAGTTAGCACTCTTTGCCCGGGCGTTGACTACGCAGGCTGCCACCTGCGCGTCACTAAGTTTGGGCCCAGTGGTCCGAACTGACACTATTGTAAATAGCGCCGGCTAAGTGGCATAAAATACGCGGTGGACCGTGCCGGGCCTGCGGGCACTGTGCGGCGGGGTACGTACCCGGAGCGCGACGTCCGCGAAGACGACGACGACGCGGCGCATGACGTGCGCGAGCGCGAACACGTGCAGCTGGTCGAGGCCGGCGTAGTGCGGCGCGGCGGCGGGCGCGGGCCGCGGGCGCGGCTCGGCCGACGCGGCCGCCACCGCGTCGCGCCACTCGCGCTCCCACTCCGCCTCCGACGGCGTCAGCCCCGCCGACCGCAGCGACGCGCTCTCCGCCCACCGCCACCGCCGCTTGATCGCGTCTGATGTACATTTAGAACAGCCCTTTACATTATTATACACTAGCTGTTGCCAGCGACTTCGTCCGCATTTCCGTAAAATAAGTAGCCTATGTCCTTCCTCACGGTTCAGTGGTTTTGATGTAACAGACATTTCCCTTCACTGCTCCGCTCCGATTGATCGTAGCGTGATGAAAAGTATACTATAACTTGTCCAGGAGTATGACGAATAATTGTACCAAGTTTCGTTAAAATCCGTCGAGTAGTTTTTGTTTCTATAACGAACATACAGACAGATAAAAATTTTACCAATTGCATTTTTGACATCAGTATCGATCACTAATCACCCCCTGATAATTATTTTGGAAATATATTAGGGTACAGAGGAATAATACCTAAGTCCTCAGGAATGGCAACGCATGGAGGATATCATAGGCGAAACAGTATACTCCGTTATGTCCATGGTACTGCTCATGTCTATAAGCGACGGTTACCACTCCCAATCAGGTGGGCCGTCAGCTTGTTTGCCATTCAAAATTGCATAAAAAAACACATTCTCCTTCTTCACACTTCATAATTCCGTAAACTTACTCTAATAAAACTAACTTTCACCAGCAACTTCACCCAGGTAACCCAGATATATTCATTACCCGGGATGAAAAGTAGGTCTTTCTCCAGCCCATGTAGTATGCACTCTAGTACATACAGGAGCTAGTTACAAATGTCATTGACACGGTTCAGATAATGGCTTCAAAATTGCTGACGTGGTTTACCATGTCACTACTTTTGCAGTTTCGGTATATTACTATAGCACAAAATTCAATAAAAACATGTTTTACTCATTAATTCATAGCCATAAAGAATGTGCTCTTTTTGTTTCACTGCTGGTCGTTGTATCTCACAAGAAGAAGATAAGAAATAGAAGGTAGAAAAATATACACGATTTCAATATAAAGTGAGCTAGTTGTCACAGGCGTTGTATTTGATTCAATGTAAATCTGTGTTGATGAATAATTGAACGCAAGGTCTGTTCAGGCTTAAAAAGTCAAATGGGTAAGGAATTCCTTTAACATTTACTACAGCTTTTACGAGTACGGGAGACTTTGTACAAAAGTCGATTGCTTGGGTACATGTAAAAATAAAGAATTTCCATTATTGTTTCTGTCCCATTCGTGTTTCAACCGTGAAGCAGTTGTGTTTGCATGGCTGTGTTTCGGTTTGAAGGGTGGGATATGGCGTGAATTTACTGGGTACAGAGGAATAACACCTGAGTCCTGAGGAATGGCAACGCATGGGGGGTATCATGGGCGAAACAGTATAGTCTGTTATGTCCATGGTACTGCTCATGTCTCTAGGCGACGGTTACCACTTTCCATCAGGTGATGGAAAGTGGTAACCGTCGCTATATTCGTTATATTGATATTTATTAATTACTAGTTTTTACCCGCGACTTCGTCCGTGTGACTGGAATGTGTTTCTTAAGCGAGATAAATAGTACCTATAGCTATCTCCATCCCACATAGTATGTGTATACAAAATTTCATTATTAATTTCGTTAAGCTATTAAGAGTTATAAGGTAACAAACATACAAACTCAATTTCGCGTTGCAGTAAGGATTCAGTATATGATACTCACTTGTAAGCACATCACCGCCCTCCCCAGACAACAGCGCCTGCACTTTGGTCCTCAGCGCGAGGAGTCTGTCGTGGAAGCCGTACGCGGCCAGCGAGGCAGCGTGAGGGAGGCAGTTGCCGTCGCCGGACGTGGCCAGCGGGAGGAGCCGCGGCGCGCCGGGCACCCGGCCGTGCCGCCACCAGTTCAGGATGCCGGCCGACTCGAGGGTCACCAGTGTGGCCGTCTCCAGGAGGTCCTTTTCGATGAACGTTCTGAAATTGTTAGGAGCGTTTGAGGAAAATACTCAATATTTTCCTATATACAGAGTATATAATTATTTATAAGTAAAAATTTCAATAGATCAGCCATATAGTTTGATTTTTTTTATCTGATTATGATACATATAGTCAACACCATGTGTGACAAAGACAATGTATTTTAAGTTAATTAAATTACATTTATGTTAATTTTTAAAGAACGTGTATGAGCTTATGTTTGTATTGTCTGAATGGAATTAAATATAAATATATAAATATTAATTAAAAATCATAATACATCGGCAATTAATTTATCAGAACGTATCATCATCTTCCTACCCTCAGCCCAATTTTTATTTGGGGTCGGCGTAATATGTTTTTCTCTTTCGTTCTTCTCTATTCGCAGTCATTTTCGCATTCAATCCCATTCCGGCCATATCATCTTTCACACATCTATGTCTTTTAGGCCTTCCGCTGTCCTTATATCCACCCACATTCATTCTTAATACCTTTTTTAAAACATGCTTCTCATCCCTGCGTATCACGTGTCCATATAGTCAGAACTTATGTGTAGTAGGTACCTACATTGCTTTGGGTAAATGAGGTATCGCGGACAATTCTCGGTCAAGCCATTTAGGAAACAACCTAAATCGGCTCGGTCTGAGTATTTTGTAGAAAGACCTATTTATAGACTAAGATTATTGACAATCGCTTCCTGTGCCTATTCTATAACGAACCAGATAAGTTGAAAAATCCGCTTTACACGCAGCGTAATAGGTGTATATAATTTCATACAACCCCTCGTATTTAATAGTCATCTCGCGCTGAGGGCAAAATATTAACGGACTTGCATAGTTTAATCGGCGGGTTTATTTCACTGTTAACATTTCAGATTGTTCGAATTTTAAATCCAAATTTGAGTGACAACCAACAAGATCGCCGTAATGTATTAAAGTTGGGTTCGTGTGAAATATATAAAAGGTCGAAGGACGGTAAACAATAACACAGAGTTCAACGCCAGTCAGTTTGAGTTGCGTGCAGGTGCCTAATAAGCGCTGGCCTCCAGCCAAACAGCGACATACTGTTAAATCAGTAGGTACGGTCAGCAAGAAAATTGGCCGAGCAGTAATAAACTTTATTACCTTAGGATAAGAATCAATTTGATTAAAACTCAGTTGGACTAGAATGAGACGTCGTTACACGAGATATCCTCTGGATGGTTCTGAACTAATACTTTATTATTTCATTATACAATCTACTTAGCAAAAGAGACAGATAGAGCATAACCTAAGCCGGTAGGTATTAATCTAATAAAGAGGTTAAATAGGGGTGAAGGTTTGTATGGTAGTAGCCGATGATTAATTTTAACGGGCATACAGTTAATATACCTACTCGTAAATATTCTGTATATGTAATTTTATAGAGTGACTAATCTGTGCTGAAATATTTTTTAAGGTTTTTAACGATCGTGTTTATGTCATGTTTACATGGAAGTCTTAAGATTTCAATACAAATTATGGACGTAAATGTGAAGGCGATTGTAACGTAAATTTCTGTACAACTCGCACCAGACTCCCTGTAAAGTTATACCTACTTTAGTTTGTTTTTGTTTGTATTTATAATAAGTTTACTATTGTAATCTTTTGGAGGAAACAACAGTTTTTCGTCCTTCGAGTTAACACTTTGCTGACCGGTGACGAGTAAACTCGTCATTGCAATAGTATGTAGGTACGCTCTCCTATCACGACGGGCAAGACCGTTTGGATTACAAAGCGTTCACGACCAAAAATTTACTTTTCTTTGTATTTAGGTTTTAATCACAATTTTCGTTTAATTCCAAAGATTTCAACCATAACGGAATTAATGTTAATTTGGATTGCTAATTATACAGAAAATAGCTATGTGACATGGGACATCGCTGATGATGTGACTTTTTTTTTTTCTTTCAAAGCTTTAATTCAGTTTTGTGCAAAAATTTGGTTTTGTTGAATACTACGGTTTTGATGCCGACTGTACATGGTGACTACATTATAAGGATGTGGCCAATGTTAATTCGGAGACAGGTGTATTTACGTCCGAGTGATTCGTTTCGACTCTCGGCCATATGTGAAGTGGGTGGCGTCAAGGAAATTGGGTTTCTGTCGCTTGTGATATCCTGTTCTATTTATGAAGAATCACAAAACTTAGTAAATTCAGTCCTACCAAGCGGTAAACCAACAGTAGAATGCTTAACGATACATACTATAGAAACACTAACCCTGTTTACCATCAGACGGGGCGTAAGCTTGTTTGCCACTAAAGTATGAAAAAAAAACTAGTTGGCCCGGCAAACTTTGTCTTGCCCCTTACCGCCATCTACCGTTTATTCCAAATGGGTTAATTTTTTCTTAATAAAATAAAAACTTTTCTTTTTAATCTTATCTTTGAAGTTGGAGAACACATATTACAAAATTTCATTTAAGTTGTTTGAACCGTTTGCAGAATATGGAGACAATGGAGCATTGACATTTTTTCTTCTAAATGAGGAGGCGGTTCGAAATTCTATGTTTTTGGGTATGAGTTCTTCTGGTACCTGAAATCCGGTGGATACACTGAAATATCCGGCAGCAGAAGTATGTGGTCAGAGCTGAGTGTGTTGGGCTCAGGTTCGGTGTTGCTGCGCAGCGCCCACACGAGACCTTCGTTGTCTGTCGCCCGAGATATCCCACGGGATAACTTGCGGCCTGCCACAAAAAAAAAAAATATGATAATTATAACTCTCTTTACTGATGTAATTTATTTATTTATTATATATACCAACTAAGGGCGAGAAAAAATTCTTATTCAAATCATTTACATTATTTTATTAGTGTAGTAGTGCAATACTTTACTAGTTATTGTATTTGGGATATGATTCGTAGTTGTATTTCTATACAAAACTTAATGGAAATGTAAACAAATGAATAATTGACCCGAATATAGACAGTCTGCTGTCCAAATAGTAGTACAATACAAATAAAAAATTAATACATAATTTTTTTATTTTTAAAATTACATCTGGAAACAACAGCATATAATAAAAAAATATGTTTACACTATACATTAGCCAATTACAGATTCCCAATTTGTATACCAAACATTATTTATTTTTGAGGGTAGGTACTCGAAAATAAATTCAATGTAAATACTTATTCTAAACGTCGCATTACTGGAAGTTCTTACAATAATTAATAAAATTTACAATTAATCGAATGTTTGGATTAATTATTAATTTCATTCAGAGAATGTTGCAGTGATTATTTTAATAAAACTTGTTTACTAAATTCTTTTGGAATAAACTAATAATAATAAAGATGAATCTTTCAACTTTACATGCTCTTAGTATTTTAGTATTGAGTCAACCTTTCTGTCACATTACTAAATATGTCCAGTGCTTTTTAAACAGTTTACGACATAACTTTATCCTATGAATTTCACATTTACGTAAGTAAGGGAATATCCGACGCATTAAGGAAAATAATAGGACCTATGACTGTTATACTATAGATACGTGTAAATGTACATGGCGTTCCGTTCTTTCTATGACATCAAATGCCTAGACTAATGCAGAATTATACAGGCATAAAAGTGTCATGAAAGTGGCAAAACTAAGAATTCGTAAATAAAAAATTGGAAACGGCTTAAAAAATTTAAGTTTCTCATACTAACTTGAGAATTGGACGTGTCGTGTTAGTATGAGAATCTTAATTTTTTTTATGTTTTAACCCATTTTTGTCTGGGAAAAATATTCAGTATTATCAGTAAAACACACGCTTAATGGATGCTAATGCTGTGCAAATATGACAAATCCGTGTATTTAGTATACACGTATTATATGGATACTGTATTGATGGATAAGGGCTGGGGAAGGATATCGGTCGGCAGTGATGTTCATTGGCCGGAATAAAAAGGAGTCTAAAAGTCCCAGTAACTTATTTGTTTTTTACCAGTTGGCGCTTTAACAGCTTTTTATTTATTTATTTATTTAACTCTTTATTGCACCAAAAATATAAAAATAAACAATTCAACTGAAATACAGTAGCATTAAGTATACATTAAAATTAACATATAAAGGTACAAAAGGCGGTCTTATCGCTAGGGCAATCTCTTACAGACAACCTTTGGTTAAAGGAGAACATATATAAGTGGGTAGCTGGCGCAAGAGTGAATTAATATTGTTTACGTATAATGAACAAAAACATCAAATACATATTGTTTATTAGACTACTTATTATAGCAAATAAAATATACTACATATACAATTTATCCCGGTTGTTGCGGGATGAATTGATACAACGAGGTTGGTAGTAATGTACATTTCATCAACTGATTAACAACTGACTTGCAATTGACTATATTCATTGATAAAATGATGTTATATCGTCATTGTCGTACAATACTGACGGATCTGACGAATATTACATATAAAGATCCGTCAGTATTCTACGACTATGACGATATGTTAAATAACAAAGAAAATTTTGGGGCGACACCTTAACCCACTACAGTGTTAATTTTTATTTTATACAACTTAGAATGGCAAACAAGCTAACGGCCCACCTGATGGAAAATGGTAACCGTCGCCTATAGACATGAGCAGTACCATGGACATAACAGAGTATACTGTTTCGCCCATGATACCCCCCCATGCGTTGCCATTCCTGAGGACTCAGGTGTTATTCCTCTGTACCCAGTAAATTCACGCCTTCACAAATTAAGTAAATTCAAAATTTGGCAATTAATAAACCTCTTAATAAACAAACTATTTTCTTTCTGCACTGCACGCACTAACATATGTAGATATGACTACATACATACGGTCAATGAACATATAGCGATCACGCGGACATAGTCACTGGTAAAAGCTAGTATACAAATAAATAAAATACATCCGACACGCGCTTCCACTTTAATTACCTACCTACACAAGATGCTATAAATAATGACAGTTGTTTATTTTTAACATTATATCTCGGCTATCCGTGTAGGTCACTATCGTAAAGACTTGCACTTTGATGTTTATCGGGTTTTAATGGAGTGACTCCAACGACATAAAACGATCTGTTGCTAGGCATAGCGTTCATTTATTATATAGAGGAACGATTTTTTATTCATTTGCAATAGACAAATTCTAAAAATACTTAATCGATTTTAAAGCACCTTCACTTTTGGAAAGTTATATTGGGACCGATTCTGAGTTACCATTTTAAATTTGGAATATCGTTATCTTAAATTGCATAGTTTGTGTAACTGCTTGGTTATATATTACTTCCTAATTGGAGAAAATCCCGCCTGGAACTCTAAATTTATTATTTTAAAATCGGAGAAAATACCGCGAAAATTCTGCAATTACTTTTTAAAAATTGGAGAAATTGTACAATATATTTGTCAAATCGTTTTGGGTATAATGACTACAACCAACACTTAATATTCGTTTCATAAAAAAACTTAACAGCGTTACCACTCAGACACTGAAAACACTTTTTATGGTCAACGGCCACGTCCTTGGCTTAGAGGGCAAACGTTAGGTTATGAGTAGTTTGAACCCTATGAGGTTATTTACGGTTACAAATTAGCATTTATTACAATAGGAACAAAAGTTATTTTGTCATTTTTATAATTAAAAAGAAATAATTAAATGTCAACTCCCTATACAACGTACCTAACATATCAAACGTACCTAGATAAGATAGACAGGGGTGCGTTATTCGTGTACCGAAATAACTTAAATTATAGAAAATGTTTGTTTCACTTGGGAAAACTTTATGAATAACACGCTCGGTTGCATTCATTCAACGAGTGGCATTGTGATATGCATATATAATCAGTCAAGAGTATGCCGCTAGTTTAATTAAGGAAGTACCCAGTATTACGGCTATAAGTTACGATTCAAGGCTTTTGATTTGAGTGCTCGAGTCTAGACAGCTTTACAGACAATTGGTGATTTAAAATAAGCTGTAATAATACTAGTGTAGAACTTACATTCGGGTGCCGGTGTCAGCACTAGATTGGATGGAGCTGTGTACGGCATTGTGAGATCCAACGTGCTGACAGAAACGGAACGCTCTGCGGTGATGACGTCACCACCCGCCCGCGGTCTCAGTGACGCTCCCGGGCCTCTGTCTGTAATTAAAAGTTATTTTAAATTAATATTGTTTGTTATTTTTTAATCAAATAAGTAGATGTGTCATTTAATTAGAAATTCATTCATATGGTGACAATGTAAGAATGTATATATTGGCAATAAATGACAATACACCAGTGTAAGAGAAGAGAAACACGAAATAAAATCCTATACCGAGCTGCCTGGCCAGTTTGGTAGTAGTTCAAATGTTCTCCTTTTACGAGAGACCCGCGGCCAGACGCCACCAACAAGTTCGATGGAGGGAGGGGAAAAATACTATATGTAATTGGAGTTTTACAGTTCCCTTGTTAGTAATATCCTCTATCAGGTCCACCTCATCGCAGTTCCCCCAGGAAACCATTGTGATTAATTCTTGTGGAATTCGTCATAATGCGCTATTTTTATCCTCAATTATTACTCTTTACTGATTACCCGTTAGCCAGTATACTAATAGCGTTGGCAGAGAGGGGGGGGGGGGGATGATTGAAAGTAATGGAGTTCATTAGCCCCATTGCTAGCAATAAACCCTATTAGGTCGACCTCCACGCGGTTCCCCCTGGAAACCATCGTGATTAGCTTTGGTGGATTTCATCACGATGGGCTAACTAAAAAAGCAAGTTGGATACTCTGTGAAATGGTTATTAAATGTCGATAAAAATATACTATACTTATAGTCTATACTTATAAAATCATTAATAAATGTAAAGTGGAAGGATGCAAGTACTAAGGGAGATCTACATAGACGATTAGATAGATTAAAAAGTTTCCGGAATTTATGAAAAACCAGAGGGAGATTGTACAAAAGTTTTTTGCTCGGGTATCTCTGTCACATTCCTGTTTGTCGTGAAGAAGTTGTGTTTACATGGCTGTGTTTCGGTTTGAATAATGAGATATGAAGCAACGAAGTTACAGGGTACAGAGGCATAACACACTTAGTTTTCAGGAATGGCAATGCATGAGGTATATTAGGGGCGACATCGTATACACTGTTATGCCCATAGCACCGTTCATGTGTATAGGCCACAATTAAAATTTTCTATGAGGTGGGCTCTCAGCTTGTTTGCCATTCTAGGTTGCATTAAAAAATGCAAGCAAGTAATATATGTAAGGATAGAGTTCTTTTGCAATCGGTCCTCTCTGCTTACCCTGTGAGGAACTTGACGTGATGATAAACAGAATGAAACAAATGAAATAACAAAGTCGTGATATAATGAATATGCATTCATTGCAACTAAGAAGGAGTATTTTTGACGCCAGTACAGTGATTCACAAAGTATTTTGATGTGTTATTTTATTTTTGCTCTTATGTATCTCTTTTGTTTGGTTATGACGAATAATAATTTAAAAATAGACTGCATAAATGGACTTATTTTTGTTTATACCGTGTCTCTGCTGAATAATGCTATTAAAATATCTAAAGACGTACTTATTTCGTTAAAGATGTATTTATATGCGAAAATAATTATTTTCCATCGAAGTTTTTTTTTTACAACACAAAAATTCACCTTAACATAAACAAGGAGAAAAGAATTATCTAGATACTAAATTAAATATTAAATACTGTCAGTATTTAGGTAATACTATCCACTTTTTAGGCATTTATTACCTAAAAAGTGGGTGGCCTATGTTCTTCTCCATTAGAATACTACTCCATGTGGGTCAAGTAATAACAAAGTTATTTTCTCATTTATAACATTGTTGTTATTATCATATCATGTCATAATTATGGGGTTATCCAAATAATTCCAATATTATTTACCATGACTATTACTACACGTAAAGTATTATCAGTAACTAAGTCGATCGTGCTCTGTAAAAAATTAGTTACTTCAATGTTGATAAATATTCGAATTTTGAAAGTAGAATGGTTTGTCCATAAGCAGATTTTGTTTCGCAACAAGTAATTTTTTGCTCAGCGAAAGAAATTTTTGTAAAAGAATTTAACGGGAGTGAACACTATCGATAAAAAAAAAACGATAAAAATTAATGACGTAATCGCGTAACTTACAAAAAATAATATAGACGAATTTAATATCTCCCTTGTTTGGAAGTTATTTAAAAAAATTCAACACATTTTTACTGTGAAAGAATGTAATTTAAAGTTTTCATCGTTCTATTTCGTCTTCCTCTAAAGCGAAGTTCCAGGGAATAGTTCATTTATGTCAAACCGCACCCGATGCCCACTTCCTCCTTTACTGAAGTGTGTCACGAACAATAGACGACCTAGGATTAGTGTTGAAATACGAGACACACAGGCGCCGTAACGCGCCTTAGAAGATAATAAAGAAAATAAAAAAAAATGCAGTAAACCATTTATCTATATGACTTTCTTAAAGAGTTTAGATATAAACATCTATTTCTTACACCACATTTCTAATAAATATACATTATATGTTATATATACGGTATACATGTAGAGTATTTATATCAAATTTTATACACTTTACGCCATACATTAAAACATGATTTTTGTTTCTGTAGACGACACCGTTTAAAATAAAATAGATGTCGCATTTTGAGGGGAACATTCACGTCATCCATTTGTGCAACCGTAATCATGTATACACGTTCGTTTCTTTCCGGAAACATAATTTTGATTCTCAAACAGAACATACCTATATGATTCTAAGTACATGCACTCTTGTCCTTTCTATTCGTTTACGATACGCAGCATTGCTTTTTGTAAATTTTCAAGCTTACCTTTTTCATATACTTGAAAAAATAAATAAACATTAGTTCATCTGTATATTCCGTTTTTTTTCTGGGTTACAAGATCGTAACTAAATTTGATAGTAGGCTACTGAAATCCAAACAATAAACTCTATTTATATGTGAGCAAACGCAAATCTGTATAACTTCATTGAAGTGAACAAAGTGACCGGTGAAGCAAAGCGCAGGATGTGAATTACAATGGCTCTGGCGATACGCAATAAATTATATTGTATTTATAGTTGTACAGTTAATACACAATAAAACTGCTTAAATGGAACAAAAATGATTATGTAGAATATAAGCGAACAGAATCCGAAGGACATAAAGTGGTTGGGCTACAATTGTCATAGAAATACTACTGCAACAGAAATTTATTTTTATATTGTTAAAAGTAAGGTCTTCTTTATAGAACTTGGAATAGCGAATAAACTAACGACTCTAATGAAAAGTGGTAACCGTAATCTATTGACATAAGTACCATGGACATCAGAGTGATATATTATACTGTATTACAATTTAAATAAATCATGTAAAGTAAGTAAAACGAGATTTTGATAATTCGAGAAAGTAAATGGTTCAAAGTGACGTTTTAAAATTAAAATGAATCACGGGTAACAAAAATAATTCTGCACAACGAAACACGAGACTCGACGTCAGCTGTCTAATGGAGGACACCGACAGTCATTGCGGAAATAAGATAAAAATATTTTCAATGTATTGATGCTATGCAGAGGTTATAAGTAAATATAACTTGTAATCTAGATTTAAATATTAACTTATCACGACTCATACAATGAATTGAACGAAACCAATATTCATTTCATTGTGTGACGCATTTCATATAGGTCTTTTAGAAATGTCTTCTTTATAAAACGAAAATAAAGTACGGCACGCGTAAAGCCACAGGATTTCTTTCTAATATCAAATAAATTTACGTATTACACGAGGTATTGCAGATGTTACCGTAAATCAATTCCTCTTTGACGCAACAGAAAGTTAGAAAAGCAGATTTATAATAAATTAATTTATGGAAAAAGTAAAAAATCTATAGCAATTAAAAAAAGTTGATTTAGACGTAGATGAAAATGCAATTTATTGTAATTTACCCTCCATAAAATGCTTTAAATTTTTTTGGTAACAATAATACCTAAAAGAACTTACTTCTCTCCCTCATCAGAGGGAGAGTGTATTAAAGTCGTTTGCTTGGGCATCTCTGTCTCTTTCGTGTTTCAACTGTAAAGCAGTTGTGTTTGCATGGCTGTGTTTCAGTTTGAAGGGTGGAATATGGAAGTGAATTTACAGGGTACAAAGGAATAACACCTGAGTCCTCAGGAACGGCAACGCATGGAGTATGATGGGCGAAACAGTATACTCTGTTATATCCATGGTATTGCTCATGTTTATAGGTGACGGTTACCACTTTCCATCAAGTGGGTCGTCAGTTTGTTTGCCATTTTAAGATGCAAGAAAAAGAAAAAAAAAGATTGGGTACAAATAAATTACAAAAACACAAAAGGTAGATTATGATATCTACAATACTGTAATAGTGTTGAAACTATATTGACACAAACACAACTTTTACATACTAGCGGCTCGTCCCGGCGTCGCACGAGTGGACGTTTTTACATTTTAAAAAGTGGCCATTAAACCTCTGTCCCATTCGTGTTTCAACCGTGAAGCAGTTGTGTTTGCATAACTGTGTTTCGGTTTGAAGGATGGGATATGGCGTGAATTTACTGGGTACAGAGGAATAACACCTGAGTCCTCAGGAATGGCAACGCATGGGGGGTATCATGGGCGAAACAGTATACTCTATTATGTCCATGGTACTGCTCATGTCTATAGGCGTACTACTTTCCATCAGGTGGGCCGTCAGCTTGTTTGCCATTCTAAGTAGTATAAAAAAAAAAAAAAAAAAAAAAAAAAAAATTAAAGCTGCACACGCGACGGAAACTTAAAAATGGAGTAACTTCTCCCGTTTTTCCAACTTTTCCCTTCACTGCTCTGCTCCTATTGATCGTAGTGTGATGAAAAGTATACTATAACCTGTCCAGGAGTATGAAGAATAATTGTACCAAGTTTCGTTAAAATCCGTCGAGTAGTTTTTGTTTCTATAACGAACATACAGACAGACAAACAAAAATTTTACTGATTGCATTTTTGGCATCAGTATCGATCACTAATCATTCCCTGATAGTTATTTTGGAAATATATTTCATGTATAGAATTGACCTTATAGGTATAGATAGATAAGCCATTTATTATGCTCATGTTAAATATTAGTATCACTTAAATCTATTACTGTACCTACGATAATAAGGCGGACATTAGACAAGCCACACTAACGTACGTAACATTTTAACCGTAGTGAAACTTGATCCATGTTTCAATTCTAAGAAGGATGTGTAGAATTGCTCAAGGGTATTACAGCTACACGTTGATGAATCCCTCGTTATCTATTACATAATAAGCCTGTAGTTGCATACTTGGAAATGCATAATAATTATTGCATATATTTATTATGCGTTTTCAAATTATACAACTGTATAGGTTTTATTGAAATCACCTCTAGCATCAGTCACTTTGGTTCATTAGGACTAAGTACATTCTTAAATATAATTATCAAACTACCCATCCACTGGGCTGTTGGGTCGTTTGCCATTCTAAGTTTCATAAAAAAAATATAATAATAATAACGAATGTCATTTTGAATCATAAAAACTTAGATATGAATCACTACTGGATAGTAACTCAATCTGTCCATAAGACAGCGAGGTGAATGAACGGAAGGGAAAGAAAATTGAAAAGCTGTTCGTCTTAAATGGACATTTATATGAATATTTATTTAAAAAGGAAGTAAGTCGATTCTAACTTGCTTGGCTTGGTGAAACAAAACAGACATTAGTTCGATATTTATAGCAGCATCACATGTTGCTAAAATTTGGGGCAACGACTCAGCTTCGTGGGCGGAGTGGGATATTCCTTGAAGTAGAACGACATTACGTCAATTATAAATAATAATGACGTGTTTGACAGTTTGCAAAATACGAACACTATTGAATTTTAGTCGAAATTATAGTATTTTGTAATTTCTATAATTTGCAAGATTTTGTTGATACCTATCACTTGTTTTCTGGGTTGTTTCAACAGTAAACCAGATAGAAAAAGGAAATGCTACTTTCTACAAATATAATATAAATGTGAAAATTTGTAAAGATGTTTTGGAATATTAGATGTTTGTTGTCCAAGTACGCTTAAACGGATTTGAATAAAATTTGGTAACACGATGAACTATATTCTCAATATATAATGTAGGTTAGTTTTATGACAATTGAATTGAGTAAAAACGTACGAATATAAAGCGCTAATCAGAATACTATACGCAAGTCTTTATCGTGTCTTTCTTTCATTAAAGACTGAATTTATTCAAATTTCAATTGTGCTCTATATACAATAAAAAAAAGTAACTAATTGTTATAAATATATTTTATAAAAAGTTAAGCGTGTCACAAAATAATAAAAATACGTCAATTCAGAAAGGGCTGATTTCACAAGCTTCTGTTAAGATAAAGCACAATATTTCATACTTCTAATAAAATGTACACACTCAACGAAAAGATCTTCGCCTCATTTGCCTTAGTACCTCGAAATTCAGATCAGCTTACATAACTTCATTTATCCACTGAATATGTTTCTTAATGATGCAATTGCAACACTTTCTCTATTGTACCTAGTTACATCTTTATGTTTTAATTTTGTGGCATATTTCCTTTTGATTGCTGTAATTTCTTTTGAAACGATAAAATGAGAACAAACCTTGTTCTCACTTTAACGTATAGCTTTATCCCACTTGTGGCACGCAATGTCAAATATGCCGGTTTTAATTACATGTGTATATTGTGTGTGCCTATTTCATTTTCCACATGCTCGTGAACCGGGTCGATATCGGGGCCAAGTAGGACAATATGTGCCACCAGGTGCAACCAATTGTTTCTCGTCTTTATGGATCGTACATGTAATATTATATTCAATATTCAGAACTTTGTTTGTACTTTGTTTTGATACTTGTGAAATTTAGAGTCGTAATTGGTGTAATAATTTGTAACATGTTTTTTTATAAATATATTATAATACGTATGCTATTATGTTAAATTTTAATATGTAACTATAAGGAAGATTTTTATTTTTTGTCAATTGGGTAAGCAGAAATTACAGATCTAACTACTTGTTTCCATTCGATCTTTGATTCTTCGCTACTTTTAGTGATACAAAAAATTTTATATAAGGATATGTTTTTTATGCATGATAATGGAATGGTAACCTCGCCTGCACCTGTATCGATATACACTGGCGGTGCACCAGTGAGGAATGATAGAGGAAGATGAAAGCAGGCTAATTAGCCCATCACGACGAATTTTACAAGAACCATGATGGTTTACAGGGAGAACGGTTTAGAGGTCGATCTGATAAGGTATATTACTAGACACGGGGCTGTTAGACCCTAATACTAACAATCTGTTTCCCCCGAGATATGTATATTATGAGACATCGATATTTTGAGATTTTCATCTGTTGAGATTCAGATGTCATGAAACTAATCTTTCGATATTGTAATTATTTACATCAGCTTTATCCGAAATTTAAAACGTGAGTAAAGCCGATACGTATAGTTACAATACAGCGTGACTCACGATAGTTATATTATCTTTTGATAGTTTCATATTCTGAGATATTAATGTTTTGAGCCCCGTATGTTATTTTGAGACTTGTATGTTTCGAGCGTAAAAGATAAGAAGGCCAGTGGCTCTACTTGAGATTACATAAATTACGGCAAAAGAAATAATGATTTAATGGAGTCGTTACTATGTAATGCATGGTTTTATAGGAGTTTCCTTCGGAAAATGCACTGGTTCTACAATGAATTTCCGGCTAAGGTTTATCCTAGAAATTATATCAACAGATTCTTAAGAAAGAGCACAATCATTCTTTTGAGGATTAACAAACTAAAGTATTAATATTATCACATGAATCGCTGTCAACTGTGCCCTATTAAAGGTAACGATTTAAATATTATCAAATAATTCGTTGTAAACTTTGAACACTTAAATATGGTTACCAAACATTGTTTCCCACACATCGCTGCGTAACTCTTTTCTAAAATTACACTTCTACTTAAAGAATTTTGCAATTTATGATAAAGAGCTAATTATTCATCTATAATAAATTGTATTTACCATCTGTATGCTTCCCAGCAATAGGATCTGCTTCCATCACCATCTCAAACTATCCTGAAACAAACGATTTTATGCCAATTGGTATTTATGTACATGCAAATTTTGTTGGGTTCAGGTATACAGGTCATTCACCACATAATGCCAGATTTAGATGCAATTTTCTTATAATACACTAGGCGTCAAGAGCGACATCTGTCAGGGCGATTAATGTTGCCGGTGCGTGCTCTACATACAGATGCAAAGTGCTCGCCGGCGACTTTTGTCTTTGTGACAATTTCGTCACTTTTATCAATTTTACGGAAACATTATTGTTTGTTATGTGGGAACGTGTGCGCTCCTATACAAATGGCAATACTTACCTACCTGATAAGAGTAACAAAACTGTTATGGAGACAAAAGTCGTCTTTAGTATTTTAAAAGAAATATTATTATACAAGGGATTTTTGTAATGTATTTTTTGTACGCTAGCCTAGAAATTTAAAACACTTTAAAAATTATCCGGGAGTTCACGTAATGATCTCTACATGCCAACTACGCCAATTTATGCCCACGTGACCGTGTTGCAATGTTTGTCATGGTCAAGCATTGTTTATTACAATATTTGGCAGAATTCAAATAGACGAATAAGTTGCTATGTAAATGTATCTATATATGTAAACGTATTAGCAATAATGACTTGTAAGATCACCTACGCACGGTTTAAAATAGAATACTGCTGCTTTATAACACGACCAGATTAAAGAGGACTCTGCCGTGCCGTATTTACGTGTATCAATTTCAATTTGTTATGATAAATAAGGAGCGAGAGGTAGTTCTGATGTAAATACTGGCGATCTTCGTGTAGGTTGATTACTTATATCACAAAGTATATCCGAGACATAATCTAATTATACAATATAATAAGATGAATAGTTGAAATACTTGGAAGGATAATTTATGTATTTTTTTCTGAGACTGAGCCTCTTTGTATATATTGGAATTTATATATGTGACTTTGTAATCTTTATATATAGTAACGTAGTTTGTTTAGTCGGCGTCTAGCTATTAAAATGTTATATTGTAAACACGTAATATATGTGTACCCACTTATTATGTTAATTAGTTATATGTTATAAGCGTTAGCAAAAACATATAGTAAATTATACAAAAGTCAAGTACAAGATATTTTAGTCAAAATGCAAGATATAAATAATTTTAATTTTAAACAATGAGATATATAGTAGAATTCGGTAACTTCGACATGTCTTTACGTCGTCCATTCCGCAAAACAAAACTTAAAAGTTTTCAATCAGTGCGCTCCTCCAGTGATGACATACGCTGCCGGGTCTTAGACACAGACGGTGGGACTAATCTATAAGCTAAAAGTCATTCAGCAAGCCATTGAAAGGACTATGCTTGGAGTTTTAAGAGATTTGAATCGCAGCCGTTAAGATTAGAAGACTGAAGTGGCAATAGGCTGGTCACATTTATCGCAGAATCGATGACCAGAGAGTTGATGATTGTTTTTGTAAACGTTTTCTGGAACTGAGAGCGCGTTTGAGCAAATATAATTTGGGGTGCCTCTTAGTAAGATGTTATGGCAATTTGCACAAAATTGCTTGGAATGATTGGATGCGTAAAGCACAGGACCGTGGAAAGTGGCGCACATTAGGTTAGGCATTTAATGGACTGTCGTGGACTGATGACGATAATCAAGGAGCATTATATCACTCAAAGATTGCAGTTTTACGCCTAATATTTACTTCAATAAGATGATATCGTTAATATGCAACGTAACTAGTATAAAAAATGTATCACCAAAAAATGAACGAATCTGTTTCTGTACGAATTCGTTCGTGTACGAATAAATTTAAAATGTTATGTGTAAATTAATTTAACACTTGTGGTCTAAAAAAACTAACTACGACCTAAGACAATGTATTACATACGGACCATTATTTTCATACGGAATTCTTTGTAAATAGGTAGAATACTTTTATGGTGGAAACAAAACAAGCCCAATATTGATACTAGGTAACAAACATGCTATCGTTTATTTATCAACATAACGCAATGCTGCGTTCTTTGACGGTACAGATAAGGCAAACACTACTAGACGCATACTGACTGACTCACCGATCACCATTAATGGTCATGTCAATATGAATGTTGATACGAAATAACTATGTTCTGTACAAAATATACGTATGTGTGTGTGTGTGTGTGTGTGTGTGTGGGTGCGATGAGTTATATTGAAAATTAATTAAAACAAGTAAAACCTTTTATAAAATAATGACTACATAAAACAAGTTTTACCAGAGGGAGACTTTGTACAAAAGTCGATTGTTTGGGTACCTCTGTCCCATTCGTGTTTCTACCGTGAAGCAGTTGTGTTTGGATGGCTGTGTTTCGGTTTGAAGGGTGGTATATGGCGTGAATTTACAGGGTACAGAGGAATAACACCTGAGTCCTTAGGAATGGCAACGCATGGGGGGTATCATGGGCAAAACAGTATACTCTGTTATGTCTATGGTATTGCTCATGTCTATAGGCGACGGTTATCACTTTCCATCAGGTGGGCCGTCAGCTTGTTTGCTATTCTAAGTTGTATAAAAAAAAAGTAGATAGGATAAAAATTTAAAATTTAAAAAGTAACTACTTGTAAAAACATTACTTTTGTTGTAAAAGTAGGGTAATATTATAATTATAAATAAACATAGTCATTATGGAGGAAACAATAAAGAGTATCTATCTATCTATTATAGACATAGTAAGCCGTGAACTTCTTTATCGTTATTATATTAAAGTAATAATAAGACATCGTAAGTACTATTACAAACACATTTATATTCAAATTAGCAAGGCTAAGGGTAGCGTACAAGCTTCAACAGTTTTCAACTTCTACAATTTTATGGAAGGCTATTAGTTTTTAATTAAATTGAAAATATGAATACCAATCACAGTGCTTACTATGTTTAAAAAGAACCATTTCATTATTTCAAGTTAAAATATTTCTATGACTTCGTCGAGAAAAAACGATGTCAATTTATTTTACCGCTCGTGCGAAAATTCAAGGCCATTTGGTACCTTTTTTTAATATAAATTTTTAATGGATGAACATGGACTGATAATTTCGCTTGCTTTATTAGTTTACGCTGGCGGAGAGCCTGTGAGAATTGATAAGAGACAAAGTCAGGGCAGTTCGCCCATTATAACGAATTCACCACGATGTTTTCCAGAAGAAACGGCATTCACGCCGTTGTTGTGGTCCGCCTGACAGAGTGCATTGTTCGCAGTGAGGCTGCTGGTGCCTGTTACTAATAATCCCCCTGTACCAGCACTAATATTTCATCACATATTTCTACATTACTTTAAATAATGTAAATAAGTTTATTATTATTGTAATCTTATTTAAAACTAAAAGATTATCATTTGAAGTTTATTGTTGCAATAAGATTTTTCTAACATTGAAAAAAAAGTCGAAATCTTCGAGTCGGGATCTTGACTGAATTCTTAAAAGTACCAAATTAATTCATATCTAACTTTAGGCATTCATATCCAATATTGGTGACGTCGATCATCTGTCAAGTTGTCAAAAACAATATGATCAGTTTTGAGTAGGTAGGCGTAGTTATTTATGATAAAAAAAAAATCTGTTAGAGAATAAAATATTAATCGTAAAACAAGTAACACATAAATCTATCACAAAATAGTTTACACTTACTTCATATTTGGTTTTCAATATTTTCAAATACATAGTTTGTTGCCATTAAATCTAAATTTTTAATAGCTTAATGAAAAATTTATTGCATAATTAATATTTATATTCACTAGCACTTCTTAAACAATCATTTAGAGGAATTGAAATTTTCTAGTTTTAAAAAATTGACAAATAAAGACGTCTGCAAACTTCGGTATGAACTTTCTAAATACTTCTGTCTTGGCTATTTATAGGAAAACTGTGTAGGATATATTTATAAGTTATTATGGCAGAATATACAATGATCGTTCTAGAATGTTATAGATATAAATATATAAAAGAATCATTATGAGTTACATTTGACCTCAATTCTAAAACCGTATTTTATATATTGTGAAAATGACAAAAGCAGCATTGTAATATTCAACGACTGCCTTTTTCCTGGATATTTATGTAAAATTGTCTCTTTACAATAACTGCGAACACATTGTCACGGTATATTTTGTCATGATGATGTAATTGGTCATATTATTTAATCCTACAACTATCTATAGGGTTATCCGCAAATCAATTGCGTCTTTTGTAACATTTTTCATTTTTTACTTTTTTCAAGTGTTAAAAGAAAACTCTTCGTAAGGCTATAGACTGATACATTGTTTTTTTTTTTAATGAGTGGTAATGGAATGTTAACCCTGTCTGCGGTATTCATATATGCTGTAGGAGCACTAACGAGGGATAATAGAGGAGGATGAAGAGAATGCTATGCTATATATTACATCGCTTAATAGATCACCAACTAAGGATTGAATTATGTAATTTTTAACCGATTGAGATAAACATAACAATATCAAGTCATGTGTAGTGGATTTAAATCTAAAAACCAGTTGGAAATAATTGTAGTAGCACTAATCTATTGGAAATCTTTGAAATAATAAAATAGATAAATAACAAAATAATATCAAAATTTTATAAAAAAACATCTTTAAGACAGAACCTAAAGAAATTCGAAAACCAACAGCAGTCTAGGAATTTCCAAACTTATTAAATTTAATAGTTCAATATACATACTCGTATACATAGTCGGATGAGCAGCAGCGTCCCTTAAAACATCATCAAAAGCCTAACTGCAACCAACCCGTCTGCCAAGCTTGGCAACTAACTGTCCCCTTGTAGGAGGGGTATGTTCAGCAGTGGATAATTAAGGGCTCATAGTCGTACAATACTGACGGATCTGACGAATATTACATATAAAGATCCGTCAGTATTCTACGACTATGATGATATGGTGATGATAATACATACTCGTATATACTAAAAGAAACAAAAATATCACATTTATAACGAAAATATCACATTTATAAATAAACAAACGATA